CACTCACTCATTTCTTGATGAATTCTTTTATCTGCATAATCTTTCCTTGCTCTATTGTATCTTCGGTACATATTTGTTCAATTTGTGGGAGTAAAATACTTCAAGTTTAGACTTAATTCTAATGAGCTATGGGTTTTGAAGGATGAGAGAATTATCTACTTTAATCTCAGATCTAATAAATTTATTAAAATTCAAATTTTCTCCTCCAAAATTCTCTATGTTCATTATCATTATTTTTGTTTCTCCCTATTAGTTGAATCAACTCTTTTTCTAACTTTTCGTTTCTCAACTCATTAAATTTCTTATCTTCTCAAGAGCTATCTTTTAATTTCAGTATATGATATGCATCATCATCATCAATATCACTGTCCATAGCTGAAAAGTAGTGATTAAATTTATTAATTTTGTCTCTTACATCTCCCAAATCAGTTGATTTTTCCTCACTTGAAATTTATTTTTCTTCATTTCTGTCCGTACTCTCTTCTACTAAAATTTGGATGGTTTTTTCACAATCAATTATTGTTTCTCCATCTAAGGGTTCTTTGTCCTCACCATCCTCACTATATTTAATCATCAATCATGAGTAATAAGTAATTTTATTGATATTTTCTACTATTATATTCTCAACCTTAATATTCTCATTTCCTTCTAATGATTTGTGTATTTTCTCTTCCTCTACTAATTTGGGGTAAGGATCAAATAAAATATTCTCACTCCTTAATATATTCATTTTCTTAACATGTTCATTTTGTGGGATTTTTCCTAAATTTGTCCAATTAGACCCTTCTTTGTAAAATTCTACTGTTGGATAGTTTCCTAAATTTTCTATAGGCTAACTAGATAGTTGTCTCTCTTCTCTCTTATTTTCAAAAGCCTCTATAAATTATTTTTACTACAACATCATTTGGTTCATTGTTTACTACATCATTTGACTACTACATCATACCCATAAAATCAGATTGTATTTCAGATGGTTTATTTTTTTAAAATTTATGTTCTCTTTTTGGACGAAATTCAGAATTTGAATTGGGTGTAAGTGCTTATAGATTTTGAATATTATTTGGGTCTCTCTATGAAAAATTATTCCTTCAATTATGATTATAAGAATTAGAAAAAGATTCCTTATTTTTAATAAAACCGTGAGCTACATGTGATTGTTCTTACATAAGCTAAAATGATTGATCTACATTATAACATTGAAATTCGAAATTATCACTTTCACCATACTATAAATTAATAATATTTTATTATTATCATAAGTTAATAATTAATAAATAATATATTTAAAGCCTTAACTTATGATAAGTAGATATATTTTTGTGTTAAATTGAGAAAAATAGTTTTTAGTTGATTAGTGTGAATTTTTAGTTAATTATGTAATTTTATGTAAATTTATATAATTTTTATAACTATATTTTAAAGATAAAATAAAATAAATAAAAAATAGAAAAAGGAGAAGAACTAGCAGTTGACTTTGAGAGCACTGCACGCAAGTTGAATGCACAAACTAGGGGAGCCATGAGTCGAGGGGCTTGAGTGACAAAGAACTAGTTAAGGCATGTGTGTATTACTCTCTTTCCATGTCATTAGGGGCTAGCAAGTTGTGAGGCAAAAAGTAGTCGTACAAAAGTAGATATATGAGAGAATAATATTGAAAACAAGAGGAGGTAGAGACATATGTATCCCATATTTTGAAAAATAGTCCATGTGAGACTAAACTTATGTTGGTGTTCATTGATAGGTTTTTAACATTTTTATACTAAAAATGCTATGAAAATACCTCCATGGCATCATTGAGTTAAAAATATACAAGTAATTCTCTAACTCTCTCTCACAGAAGCAAGTGATCAGCAAAGATTAGAAACCCATTACATAATGTTAGTTGAAGATTAAATTACTCAAATTATTCTCCCTGCAATGAAAATTTTATCAACATTATTTGTGGATCATCATTAGCAATTGATTAAGAATTTTAAATATAAAAATTACAAATTATTCAAGAAAATTATCTCCAATTGATTAACAAATGTGCCGTCATTGACAATAAGACAATCTATTAGGAGATGAACCATTCTCTCCTTAGAGCATCTCAAATATGAGGAAAGACTTCTCTTTGTTGCATGTACTTGATGCTGAAGCTCTTTAAGATGTATTTCACCTCCATTGAACTCATATCTCTTGGATGATAGCTGTTAGAGATCCAAAACTCATTGAACTTCTATTTTGCTAGGTAATAGCTGCCAAAAATAATTCATTAACTCACCTCATCAATTTCTAGATTTTGCAAGAGTATCTGGAGATTACTCATGTCATCTTTATTGAAGAAAAGCCTTTAGAGCTGTGAACATCATACAATAATCTTCTTAAATGCTCAAAATTTCAATGATCACTTACACAACATCAAAGCTCTATTTTACTTGTTTTGAACTTGTTTAGCTTTTAATTTGATGTCATTTTGTGTGATTTTTAAGTTTCAAAAATCTTATTTAGTTAATTATAATTATTTTAGCTTTTATAAATTTTAATTTAATCATTTACACAAGAATCATGAGGTAGAACTTTTTTTTCACCCAAATTGAGTTCATCAGAGTGCTGACGTCAACTTGACAACCACACCTGAATTTTCCTTTTTTGTGACTTTTTAAATAGATTTTATTTTTATCATTTAGTCTAAAAATCATAAAAAATCGTATGCTTCAATAATAATTTTAAAATTTTATCTAATATTATCTTACATCCTTATGATCTACTATAAAAAAATTCACTATTTTTGAAGCCTTTTATCAAATGATAATTGATATATTCATACTCAATATTTTAAAAAAAACAATTTATGTGATTTATTATACATTGATCAAACCACATCAAGTAACTTAGAAAATATACACGAATATATAACAATAAAGCTAGGAAGTAGAACATGCTTTCATGAAATCTACAACTTCTTTGAAATGATAATCATTTTGTAAGACACAACATAGCTATAGATAAATTCAAAAGATATGTGTTGGTCAATGTAAGGAATTAGGGCAAAAAAAGACAACTAAAAAGTATCTAGAGATCAAACTAGTACAAATGTATGAAAATCCAACCAATGCCCATTGGTCATGGGACTGCATTTATTTCTCACTAATCAATGAATCATTGTGTTAAATCAAATTATAGATTGCATCTACAATTGCTACCTCTCCAGCAATATCTTTCACTATTTCTTTGCTTTGGATGGCTCAGCTTTTATGATGCAACTTATTAGAATTCACATAGGATATCTCACTTTTTAGATTCACCTCTTCTTGACACAATGCCCTTGGGTAGTTAGCTGCTACAGACAAGTGTATGTCATGCAAACCTATGTAAAGATACTAAATATATATACTATATAATTTCTCTTAAAACAATGCTAAGAATGAAAGTAGCCACATATGGGGCTCCACATGAGCCTCACATTTTAAGAGAAAAACAGGTTGTAGGACTAAGTTGATACATATGTGATTTACAAAACATGATAGTAAAGAATGAAAAAAGTTGGACAGATGAATTTGGAAAAGGCTTATCTTTCTATTTCTTGCTTCCTTTTCATGAACATTGGGGATTTATACAAGCTCATAAGAACCTATAAATAAAGATAGTATAAATAGGTTCATATTTTTAATTATAGAAATATATATGAGATTGAAATGATAACAATGATCTAATTATTGCTAATTGATTTTCAATTTTAATGGCTCAATAACTCTGATAGAAGAAAATTGAGGAGATAATCAAATTCATAACCACTTCCTGCTCATGAATTATTAATTCACAAGTTTACTATAACTCCATAATGATGATAAATATATGATTGTTTCAACTCTTTAAAGATGTTAGAACAAATGAATTACATTAGCAAGCACAACAGCTGATGTTGTTAGTTAAACACGTCTTATTGAGAAAACTCTAATTGTCAAGTAATGATAAATAATAATTAATTATAATATTCTACAATTTTACCTACCTCATCTTATTTTACAATTTTCAAAATGATAATCACTAAATATCTAACCAATTAGCAGAAACTTTTTTCATGTAAAACCAAGTGCTAAAAAAGGAGTATGTTTCCCACTTTCAACAGGTCACTTCTTCAACCAAAGCTAGTTGCAAACATTCTAATTTTCTTTTATACCATTATTTGCTAAAAGCATCATAACAAATGGGCTGATGCAAACATTCTAATTTTCTTTTATACCACTAATTTTCTTTTGTACCATTATTTTCTTTTAGAATGTATATCACGTAACTCAAAAATTTGAAACTTTCCACAACACTACATTGAAGCATTCAAGGCCAACTAATGGGCTGATGCTGATGATCCTTTATTCCACAAGATGGATAAGTGACTACATTGTGTATTATTCAAGCTAAGCGCTAAACATTTGTGGCTTGGTCCAATGGTGTCGGATTAAACTTCCTGAATTGGGGTGATGCTGCAGCCAATAACACCTGTCCATCATCATAACTCATATTCCTTCCAAACGTATTTTGAGAAGAAAAAGTTTTCCCTACCAACACCTCAGTGTCATCGTTGGAAGAATATCACGAGGGTTCTTTATAGGTGACCAATCGTTCTTCACACCTACAAGGGGAAGAACTTCCACATTGAAATCGCCACTATGCTACTCCCACTTTATTGACTCAGACTCCGCACGAATCTTCTTCGGACTAGTGTTGCTAAAATTATCGAAGCATGCGAGTTAATTCCTTGAAAATGAACAAGAGCTTACCTCCGGCAACTTCACTAGATGCCTCCACCCAGGCAGCAGATCAGAAAGTGCACCGTCACGGAAGAAGACAGTCATGGACCAAACTCCAAACCACCCCCGGCCCCTTTCCCAGCCCTCCGCGTTCTGCTATCCACTTAAAGGAATGACCGGATGCCATGTTTTCTCAGCAACTCGGCGACAAAAAAGATTACAAGTTTTTCAGCTCCTGTACAGTCAACGCGGGAGACATTATGCAGTGTATCACGCGAGGTAGTTGTATATTTGCGGGTTGTTCTTGTCCCGCTCAAGGTACTCCCTGTCGATGAGGCTCTCGATCCTCTTCTTTATGTCACCCGGTTTTATTGGGAACTTCAGCTGCAAACCAGCAGAGAAACAGCACACACCCGCGTATATCTGTTATGGAGACTGCGCTCAAGAAGGGGGAGCCTATGAGAGGCAAGAGAGATGAAGGCTACCTGCTGAAAGAGCTCAGTTATCAGGAGCGTGTGGCTGAGTATCTTCCTCGTCTTCATGATGCGGACAATGGCCGCGTCCACCTGAAGGAAAAATCCATGTCAACACTTAAGTGCCCAAGATAGATGCACACCAATGCCAAACGACAGATGGCAGGCCATTCGTGTGTGGTGTCACTTCTTTCCTCCAGCGGGCTTCTGGCGATCATGATGATTAGGGTGAAGATGATAGTGATAGTTTAGGTAGAGTTAAACGCAGGACTCGATCATATGGGGTGCATGGAGATCAATGGGAATCAATCATAATGGAAGAGGAGGACCTGATACTGTCGGTCCTGGAAAACCCTCTCAGTTGTGCTCGCATTCTCTTCAACTGTCTCCTTCATCTGTATCGCATTGATCTGACAGCGCAGCCAGTTAGACTGCGAACGAGGCAAATATATTAAAGAAAACGACTTTCGGTGGAAAGGTGGCTTACCTTTATGCGGTAGAGAGGAGCGCTGAACTCCTCATTGAACACAAATTCATCATCATCCTCCACTTCTCTTCCTTTAGGGTTCTGAGAAGCATTCCCAAGAAGAGAATTCACTCTACTGTAATAAAATGCAGATCCCAGACGCTGATATTTAGGAGGAAAATAATTCACCTTCTGAAGCACACGAACTTTGCCGCATGCAAGGGACTGCAGGGTCCTGCGTAATTCCTTATCCTCTATGCTGGTTGAGTCCTTGACGTCTTGGAAAGTGAGCTTTTGGGCATCGTTGAACAGCATCAAAACGACAGTCTGCAACATGCAAGGAACCGATGCTTGATTTTTTTCATAGCGACAATCCTCCATGCCATTCCAATCACATCATCCCAAATTTACCTGGAATAGTGAGACTGCCAATTCCTTTTTACCCCTGGGGAAATGGGCTTTCAGCACACAATGGCCCAAGGAGTTCTGCCACATCAGGCGTCTGCCACTGTGCTTACTCAAGTAGAATTCCTTGAATATATCCTGTCATGTCAACAAGTATGTGTTGAGGAGACAAAAAACAGGAGCCGGAGAAACACTGAAGAATGGCCAACAAAGTATTCATAGACATACCTGGTAAACATTAAGCTCATGAGGAAGCCTAACGTCCATCGGTGGATATGTAGGCCAGTACCTGCCGACACATCTCAATGGAGAGTGAATGCAGCAGAGAGGAAAATGTCGTCCCAGAATAGTAATAATAACCATAGACCAATTGTAGAAAATATGGAAGGGGCAACAAGTAAACATACCCAGTTGTTAAAACATGTACGCTCATCTCAATACCAGAAGGAAGCTTCGTCCTCGCTTGAGATGACTGCTTAAAAGAATCATTGATTTCTTTTGACAATTCAATGTCCTGTAAAAGCATTCGCGAGACATTATATGAGCTCAAATTGGATGCGCAACACATCCTCGAATTGGACGGAGAATAATAATAAATATTTTAAAATCAAACAACTTGATGGTAAATCCAAAACATACACACAGATAATTAGGATACTACCTCTTGGTTCTGCTGCACTAATGCAGAAAAAGTAGACGCTTTCTAAAAAGACTGCGGTTGCCTGGGGGCCAGAGACAGGGCTAAGGTAGATACTATCCTTACTGGACGAGGACAATTTAAGGAAAACTTTGGAAAGAGAGGAGTCGGAACATATTTAGAACAGATGTGACACCAGCATCTGATTATTGCCGGGCCTAGGACAGAGTGAGAAGACAGATAAGAAAGGTCACCCAAGCAAGAAGAGAGGTTTCATCCAAAGAATAGTCGATTATGTGAGGCAATTCTGTTCAATACGCCCATCTATTGTTTTTCTTAATGGAGTGTGCCAAGGTAAACACGAAGATATCTTAAGGCAAAAAGAAACAGATTCCCGTGAAAATAAATTAGAAGAACATATACAGAGGATGACAGGATGAATGTCCAGAACACAAAAAAGATGCCAAAAATGGAGGGAATGATATTTCTAAGACCAAAAAACAGCAGAAATACTGCACCCCAAATTCTTAGATTTAATAAGATGGCAGAAAATAGTAGAAGGTCAGGAAATACCCATAAAAGCAAGCAACCTCAATATTTCTGCAAATAAAAAAAATAAAATAGACATACGAATAAACATCAGAGGTTAAATAAACGATCTTGAAGAAGCCTACACATTGTATGAATGATTTCCAGGTTTCTTCAGATTAATTTGCTTGTCAGAATATTCCCCTAAAGTTATAGTAATCCTTTACTTTTTACAACGTTTACATTCGATCAAGTGTTCATCGTGTACAAAGGCCCACCTTCCGCAAAAATAGGTTTTACGGTGAATTTCTGAAGCCAATTCTGTACCTTGCATTACTGAAACAATCATAGCTACCTAAGAATCACCCCATTGTTTCCTACTTCCGGTACAATTCATCGACGTCCTTCCAGGTAAGAAGAACATGGGTCATCATCTTGCACAACATAAAAAAATCGTGTCCCTCCATTTTTTACTTTTCTCCTAAGCTGAAATGACTGATCCTCAGGCATCCAAGGAAATGACAATTTTACAACACAGTGACAGCCCACTTTTGATATACAGATCAAGAAACTCCAAATTATATGTCCTAGTTCCCATTTGATTTTAACTTTGAAGTGTAGACTGTCTGTCAATGAAAACATGCATCAATTAGAGTTTTTCATAGGATGATTTGGCCAAATTTTCCATGGAGTCATATAGAAAAGTAAACATCCATATTTATCGTTCTCAGGGTAAAGAATGAAAAAACTCACAAAAAGGAGTTATACAAGGAAACCTATAGGCATTTACTAAATAACTAAATGACGAAGTCATAAAACAATGGCAACTAGAGGCCTAAAAAAGCTCTTATAATACAAAAATCCTTTGTCAACAAGTCCTGCACAGAAAGTTATAAGCATTTACTAAACATCAACAAGGACCAGATTCATAGTAATAAATGAAATATGTCAAAAGACAAAAAAATACGTAACAGTGTGTAGATGTTAGAAAAACATTACCAAAAATAATTATTATTCCTTCAAACATTACCAAACATTTGGAATAGCTTCTGAGATTCCAAGGTGGACTTGAATTTTCCAAAGCTCATCACGATGATGGCATTGCATCCCGAGGTCAACAAGAAGAGGATTTCCGAAATTTATTTCACTAATTTCATCCGAATTCCTCTCTCTACATATAAAACTCTAATCTCACTGAGCTCGGACGGGAGGGGGTTTCCTAACTCAAAAGGGGGAAACCTTGTATTCTTCTGTGGGTTAGTTCCTACTGCCATCCCAATTAATGCAAAGGGAGTGATAAACAGAATCACAACAGTTTGCAATACTTCTGATTCTAATCAATTTTGAAGCTAACCATACACAAATTTAACATACTACTCGTCTTTTTTTTCTGTATCTTGACTGGATTTAGAGTAATCAGGCAAAAACTTTTGGGACAAGGAGGAAGGACTCATACCCTTGGTGAATGAGAAAGCTTCATATGATTAACAGTAACCCCCTTTAATAGAATTAAACCCTTGTAATATGAGTAATAAATAACAGGGAACGTAAGGATTATATAGAAAAAGGGTATCGTACCAAATTAAAAAAATCCAATAAAAAAGGAGAAGAAATTATAGACACCCAAACCTTAAACATCCCCTCCAATTTATTTGTAAACTGGCTACCACACTCCGCTTTGAGCTGAAATAGGGAAAAAAATAATGCAATGAGAATTTCCTGAAATTTATTATTTTCTAACCGTGAACAAATTTCTGAAAATATAGATTACTTTGGATATCATTGACTTCTCAGCATCAATGGAGGCACTCTTTCCCAACAACAACCGTTTAGCAAGATCCTTTTTATAGAATGCCTCAAACACATCTTTACCCTGAATAACACAAAAGACGAAACTTTTAGCAAAAGAAAACGCAAGAAATAAGTAGAAAACAATACAAAAGTAAATACCTCTGACTTTTCAAGGGGAAAAAAATAATTTCATATTTCATTACAGCTTCAATAAAAAGAAAAAGAAAAACAGCGAAAAACGCATAAAAGTGGCTTACTTGTATGAATCTGAATAAAACTAGAACTTTATCAAGAGTTCCTTCCAATTCTTCTTCAGATGTACCTTTGTTACCAGCCCGAAGCTTCTCATCGAGAAACTTAGCAATGAGTTCCGCTGGCCGGTTCTAATTTAAGGAACAAGAGATGCAATCATCAGTTGAATCAACACTCAGAAGACAGCAGCATACAGCACGAGTAGATCAACAATGTAGTTTGATAATAGAGATAACCAACCCAGGACAAGCTAAAACAGCTATACAAGAACATGCAACGTTCTCATTGTTGGTGTGTAGAAGCCTCATGCCACAAAAAATCGATTGAAACACAAGCGAAAATTGAAAGAACATAAGCATAACTAATATGTCAGGACGAAAGAGTAAATATTTTTCACGAGAGATCAAACATATGCATGAATACTGAATAGATTTTTCTTTGTGCTACAGAAAAATACAAACACGACAAAGATCGGAAATTATGCAGATGCTGATGGCATCCAGAGAAAAAAGAATCTGTATATTGAGGGAATCAATGCCTCCTGATTTGGATTGTCCTGTGAGCCAACATATAAACAATCACAAAACGAAGTAAAAAATGTACACAAACTTTATAAAAGTCATAGCTTACAAGGAATAGCTTGCACCATCATTGGGTGATTTTTAACGAATTGGAAAACTCCTACGATTAGGTGCAGCAGGAACCAAACGAAGATCTATATGATACAGCACAAAAACACTTCCTTCAATTCTCCTGAAATAATCTACAAAACATGAAGATAGGAGCCAATCATGCTTACCTAATGTCGAGCACACATGATTTCCAGACTCAGACAATTCTAATCAGGATAAGGCATCCCAATCCAATTCAAGCAAAGTACTGGATCCTCATGAAAGATTGATACGAAAAAGGAAAGGACAGAATCATCTAGAAATTGACTAATATCACTAAGGCCAATTTTGTGCTATGCCTCTCACAGAGTTCCTTGTACCATCAATATCATGATTAGAAAAAAAGAACTAAAGGGCCCCATTTGCAGCTAACAATGAAAGAAGAACAGAAGAAAGAGCGGTACTAGCAAAACAAGATGGAAAAGTGTGGGGGGAATAATTACTCAATAGCCATTTTATTAGAATCATGTCTAAGTATACGCCAAAAATAGTCAGATCCCTAGGGAAAGCTGAATTGGCCATCTGATCAGATCCATACGTTGAGATGGCAGATCCACATGACAGTGGTGCTACAAGATTCACGAATATTATATATTTACGATTCAAAATGTAGATAGTGATTACTAAATATATATTTGACTTTAGCAAAAGTTGAGTTTAATTCGATTAGACAATGAAATATAGTAGGATAGATCAAGATTAGGATCAACATGATTAAAAGTTGAAAACTGTTATTATCATACATGTAAACGAAAACATGAACGAAAAAAATCTACGAAAGAACAATGGATGGATTTTCTACAGTAAAATTGCACATTAAAAAATCTGGAATGACCTTTGTTTATAGGTCTTTGCAAACAATGGAAACGAAAATGTAGCTGGACCAAATTTCACCTCCAAAAATTACTTTAGAATCATTTACTCTGCTTTTGCAGTACAACATACAAGCTTTAAAACAAAAGGCGCGATTAGAATTCTCAATTAGGACTTTGAGTAGCTATTTTGCCGAAATACCTCAAATGTTTCTTGAATATCAAAATTTTTAACTCAAATAGAATAGAAACCCATTCCAACAGAAGTTCGGTAAGCAAATAGAACAAAAAGATTAAAAATAGAAGGAAAGAAATATGGCCCACCTGACGGAGATTGATGAGATGCTCAAATGCATCCTTTATTGTGTTGGAAAATGATTCATTTCTGAAAAAACCTTCCTCCCAAATAGTATCAACAGTAGCCTTAAAGTCTAGGAGACAGGAAACTAAGTCCTTATCTTTTTCTTCATCCATAACAATTCCCTGTCCAGTTCCCCGGATGTAAGAGCTGAGGGCTTGTCTTAATAATTCCAAGGCATTAACCCTCGAAAACAAGTTATACATTCGTCGGAGATCATCAATGCGACTTCCATTCATCAGCACTGTGAATCCCTAAACAACAGAAAAGTATTATCATAATTAAAAGAAATGTTTCAAGAGGGAAAGTGTAAATAAGGCAATGTAGGGCTGTTCACCTTATCAAGAATTGCAGATACATGGCAAGAAAGAAGTTGCCTTTCAGCAGTTGCCACCAGAGGCTTTCCCGTACTTCCATCTAGGTAGAGCAAGCATCTTTCATGCTCTTCATGTAGCCTCAACTGTTTACATACATCACAATGTTTCTTTCGAATCAAAACTTAAGCTTATGATGTATGATTTATGTGAAAAAAGTTACAAATATTCTATCAAATGAATAAAAAAGTAAAGAGATGAGAATGAAACATGACGTAAGCACTGAAAACATGAGAAACATGATAAATCAACTCTGAAGAACGCACCTCCACATGTTTCAAGTAATCAGGAACATCCGATTCCTGCATGTATTTCACACCTTCAGAGGCATAAAATTCAGAAGTGCATTCAAGAAATGGTTTTTCAAATCTCTCTGTGTAGATTCCTATGGCAGTAAACATCTTCAATAGATGATTGAGAAGCGTTCTATCAACTGCTTCACCTGATCTGATATGCATATCGAAACCAAATGAGCATATAGACTGTGAAGCAATGATTACAAAATAAGAGAATAAATTACAACCAATCCGCTAAGATTTAAAGCAAAATACCCAGCATTCATAAATACATTAAAAAAGGAAATCAGTTTTACTAAACGAACTGTTGAAACGTCTCTCCCTGGTGTTACAGTTATAATCAGGCTATTTTTAATCTGATTTAAGTCTCTAGGTAACTTTGAATTAACTTTAGAATATAGCAAGAATCATGAATGAGAGAAAAGAAATACAAAATTAGAAGATAAAAAGATAATTCAATATTTAAAAGATTATACACTGAGTCAAGAATTGTACAAGACATCATCAAGATGATAATTTACACACCAGTCTCTCTCAACAAAGCCATTATGCTTTCAAGAATACTAATCAGTGTATTCGTCATATAGAAAGCGTTTGATGTACATTGGACTGTAAAGGCCTCAATTGATGTTGTGGATAATTCCCTCTTAATATATTAAGAAAAAAATGAAAATGTCTTTTGGTAGATATACTCTTAGATTTTTGAGATCCAAAATCTCAGCTCGAACTCTCTTTATTTATAAGACTTCATGAAAAAGAGCATTACACTTCTACTTTCATTTTTCAACTGTATCTGCTCGGAGAATCCAGTGATATAGGTGAAGAACCATTTGGCATATGACATTTCCCTGTCAATTACTTAAATATCTTTAAAAAGACTAATCACTAGTTTAAAAAATTGTTGTTCCCTTATTACAGAACAACTGAATCCATGCTGTTTCATATTCATCCATTTTATACCTCAATTCGAATATAGTGCAGCGTACTTTTTGCAAAGAAAGGAAATTATAGTATAATTGTTTATTTTATTTAAGAGATATTTGAATTCTTCAGATTACATTATCCTTTATTGCTGTGGCAAGGTCTTCTTATTTTTCTCACAACGCATAGATATGGGAGCGGCAGAGGATAATCTACTCATGAACATGTCACACTTTCATTATCTGTTGGGAAGATACTTTATGCCGAATCTTACCGTCGTTGTCCCTAAAAGTTTTTTAATAAATTGATCCCTGAAGTCAAGAACATGAAAGATGAAAGCGGAATAAAGAACAGTAGATTGGAAATATTTTAAATAACAATTGGTACGAAGAAGGTGGAATGGAACCAGACTTTGGTGTATCTAATCACAAAAAATGTAAATGAGGAAATCAAACAATGGTTGTAAAACTTTGATGTTTACTCCGGTTCCTGATAAATATAGATTAAAATAAAGTCTCCAATGTATTAGTCTTCTATGTAGTTTTGGCAGAAATTACGCAAACATCTTAAAAAACCATCCTCAACAAAAGAAAGCACTGAGGGATTCAATCTAAATTATACGCCCCAGTAGATGGTCTTAGGTGAGAAAAGATACTTACAAAGCAAATAATATCGGTAAATTCCACAGAAAATAGATGACTGAAAATAGACTAAAACACGTTTATCAAATGGCAACACGTCACATTTCATCTTTGAGCTCAACAAGCTAGCACAGTCAGCTTCAAAAGCCAAGCCTTACAAACATTAGGGATGTTATCAGCAAACAAATCAAAAAATTAAAAAAACTGAGGGCCAGACCTAAAACCAAGTTTCACCGGATCGGGCCAAGTAAATGAACCATGCAACACACCCCAGTCCCATCTATAATATCACATCCATTCTTATAGACACAGCCCCTCAACCATTATGCAGCTGGCTAGTATGGCCTGAGACCTGACACAAGAACCATCAGGACATGGACCCCATAGAGAATAGGTAGGCTGCCCTATGTATCCTAAATCCTAGTTTACATAATTGTTCCCGAGATATTTCCATGAAATGTAAAAAAAAAAACACTTTGGACAAAAAGAAATAATCTGATACAATACAAAGCTAATCCCTGCAATTATATGCCAAAGATAGGGAGAAGTACTTGACGGTTCATCAAAGAATATTGACATAAAATTGGAATGGGATAAGATACGCGTTTGAAGATCATAATGTTTATTGGAATTGTCCATCAAACCACACTTTGTGAGGTATCATCGCAAGCAATCGAATTGAGAAGATAGTAGACCACCGCCTTGCTTTTGTCACCTTATTCTTGTGTAAAATGGTCAATGCACCGACCTACTGTTATTTGAGATGCAATGCCTTTAATGAACTTCCCCCAAAACAAACATCAGAAAAAAAGCCGTTTATGCCAGAACAACCATCAATGTCTCTTTTCAACGAGATGTATATAGATTTCCATTGTTTGAAAAATCCCTCCGAAAGAACCACGATTTCTATCACCTATGCCCACGATTTTTATCTTAGTTCAAACCAGAAATGTTGTTTATCGAACACAGCTTATGCAAGCCTCATAATGAGTAAAAACCGATACTGTACCATAGTAAACATAGATTATAGGTCCTCAGAGAAGAACAGTATCAGTATGCTACAACTAGAACAAAGAATGAGAAAGTGGTATAACTTCAAAATCCCCAATGTTTAGCATTGCAGAAAACAACGAACAGAGTTAGGGATACATACCTCTCCCGCTCAATTAATCTTAGAAGCCCAGTGACGGTTTTATGCTCTACTTCCGTGAAGAATGAAAGATGTTTGCGAAAAAGCTGCAAACCCATGTCCCATAAAGACCGAACATTTGGAGTTTGCTTGACATACGTTCTATCGAGATACAATGCTATACCACGAATCATTAGCATCTGATCACAGAAGTCCTGCCAACATTTCTCTACCAAACACAAGAATACTACCAAGTCAGGGCTCTGCCCAACCAATGATTGTAGTGCTGTAGATATGTGTACTTCACATTCTCTCTGAATACGTCGATAAAGATTTCCCCCCATCCTGTGAAGACAAAGATCACTAACAGCCTACACGCAACAGGAAGAGTTTATTGGCACTGCACTTACTAAATAAGTTAAGACATGATTAAATAGTAACTACAACAAGACATATCGGATGAATTCACCTGATAGAGCTTTTCTAAATCACAGGGGTCAGGCTGCTTTAAAAATATACCGGTAATAGCTGACTTCAATTTTGCCCAGGTGTCCTCTTCAAAATTGGTTGGTAATTTTGGCTTGCCTTAGTGAGGGAAAAAAAAAATCAATTAATAAATATAAATGCATAATAAAAAGTTACAAATAAACTCTCAACTGACCAAGAAAAATGACTTTCAGAAAAAAAAATTGAATTATTTTCAAGAAACATGGGCATATTTATGAAAATACATAACATTGATCACGAAAAGTGAATGTATAAAAGATCTCCCATTGAAATTCAATCTATTCATGTTGAAGTTCCCACTTAAATTGAAACTGGCAACCAAGAAGCTGGAATTTTTCCTGCATCTATAGGTCGTGTATTTGGGAGATGAAGCTGGAGAATGCTGACTTTAAGTGTTTTAGACAATCGCAAAAGCTGCCACAATGACTTCAGAGATTGGAAATGTTCTTCAGCTGCTACAATGTTGGGATTCCACATGTCCTCCTTATGTAGCGATATTTTTTTCATAGAGTGTCATTCTTAATAGACTATCTAGAACGGAAAACAACAAGCATAGATTTAGAGAAGGATTTAAACGGATGCTTTGAACCGCCTAGATCTATCCACTCTTTGAAGGAATAGGTGAGAGACTAAATGGGCCATAAACCTGGAGTAGTACCAAATAGGTCAAACTCAACGACTGGAAAAATGTTATGCAAAACGAGTACAAGGCTAGCTCGCTAAAATGTCATCTGACTTACAATATAATGAATCATCGGATTGGTATATAAAACCTCCATTTCTTGGCCGATCATTTTGCTAATTTGAATCATATATAAGTTATATCTCATCCCCTACTTTTACCTTTACAAATCAATTAACAGAACAATGTTCTTCCAGTTGCCAACCACCTATCAAAAAACCAATATGATGAATCACTGATTTATTTCTCCTTCCTACAGCTATATACATCCCTCAGAATGACCTGCTATTTTCCTTCTTCCCCTTTATATTCATTCATAAATACTTGCATCTTCTACACCATGTGGAATTTCATCTTCTACGACTAGAACAACGACATAGCATAAGTGAGGATAGCATACGTGACCCAGGAATTGGTATAAGCGTTACTGTACAGTGGTGAAACCATAGATAAGTTTTATTTCCCCACTTGGGTCACCATGTGTGTTAGAGATGACGGCCAAAAAGAAAAGGGAAAGTGAGTAATTATCCTTAGATCACAGCGTCACTTTGCCTATGCACACCAGCCGTGATTAGCGCCAGCTATCATGGAGTCCTCTGCGCTTTCGGAAAAAAACTAGGAACACATCTGGGATCAGCGTAACGCTTGAAAATGTCTCTTCAGGAGCCTGCCTTCTTGGTCCAAGTGCCAAAGAATAGCACCCATTCATTTCGCCCACAACGGTGGCAGAAAAAATCAGAGTCCAGAGCATACACGATAGAAACGTGAACAGGAAATATGGGCGGCTAAATGAATCGAAAGTTAGGAAATGCTAGGGGGGAATGGATTGGACCGAAGACAACATAGATGCAGAGGAACAAGAGCACCTTTGACGAGTTTAATCACCAGTTGCTTTTTGGCAGCGGGCTGCGGAGGAATAGCCTTCTTCCTGGTAAGATTGGCAGCAGCCCCCGTGGTGAGCACAGTCGACGGGATGGGATCAGCGGCGGCGGCCTTGAGGCCATCATGCTCGACGAGCATAGCGTCCTCGTCCGCAAGGCCACCTTCATCGCCTGGGGCCTGTTGATGCTGCGGCTGATGGAGCCCATTCTTGTCGAGGGCGCATGCCGCGCCTGGGGTCTGCTGGGACTTGGCCTTCTTCATGACAGGAGAGCAAGGCGAGCGGTGGGAAGGAGGAACGAACGGTCCCCCACTGTGATTGGCGCTTGCGCTGTTCCTGACGGCGGAGGAAGAGGTGGTGGATGTAGCGCGCAGTGGCCGCTTAGGGTGAGTCATCAATTAGACGAGATCAGGGGAGGGCATGGGCATCGGAGCGCGAAGCTTTCCCCAGAGGAATCCAGAGAGGGCGAGCGTGGGTCTGCGCGGCCCTCGGCGTTGGAGTGTGGGCAGCTGACGGGGGAGGTACTCGGGAGCGAACGACGAGGGGGCTTGGGGAAGGAGCCCCCGAGCGGTGGAAGAGGGGTTCTTCTCGGAGGGGCCGCGGCGTAAGAAAGGGCAGTTCAGAGGTTCGAAAACGAAGAATCATCCAGGATGGGCTGGGCACGTCCGGCTCGCGGCGCTGGGCCAAGCCTTGCCGGGCGTCCTGTCAGGCTGCTGGACTCGGGCCCCGGACCTGCGGAGTTTAAAGTCGATCCTACGGAGCCCAAACCCGGCCCGTCATCAGGCAGCGGCGACACAGAGTGGGCGGCACACCCGCGAGGACAGGAAGAGACGGGCTAAGGATGGGCGTAACTGGGCTGGCACCAACGAAACAAACCGTAGGGTATTTGGATGGGGTGATCTCGAAAATCTGGGGTTAGCTCCAATTGTTCATTTCGACGGTCCCAGACTGTAGCCGTCCTGAACAGGATCTCCTCCTGTATCCTTCCTCCCCCCGGTGACCGGGCGGTGCCGGAGTGGGTGGTGGGGATGGAAGTGGTGTATCTGATCGGCTCCCTCGTGTCCTCTACGCTCACCTCCGCCGTCCTCTCGCTTCGCCTGGTGCTACGCTGCCTTGCGTCCTGCCTTTGCCGCCCTCCCGGGGGTGACTTCGAAGCCGCCGAAGGGGATGATGCGCCGCTGCTCCGGTTGTACCAGGGCCACGTGAAGCACGTCCGACGAAGTCCCCATCACCACGCCTTCGAGTACCCCGTCCGCTACGCCCTCGTCAACCTAGAACGCCCATGCTCATCTACTGCCTCTCCTCTCCCCTCTTCCCTCTTCCCGCCTTCCTTCTTCGCCGGCCACCTCTCCGCCGATAATGCTCGCGCTGTCACCGACACCAACGGCCCTGTGTAAGATCCTCGAGCACTTCCCGCGCCCTCTCCTCTTCCTCTTCTTCAGTGCGAATGATTACCTGTGATCGGAGCATTCTCTCCCTCATTTTTAAGTCCACATTTTTTTGGGGTTACAAATTGGATAGGAGCTGATGAGGCCTTGACGATCCTCGTTCCCCATCAAACAATGATGGCTGCTCACGACTCGGGGAACCTGCAGAATCTACACAACCCACAGTTTCCACATGGGGCTGTCTCCCATGCTCCGTGAATCCTGTGGCCGGGGAGAAGCCTCCCTACGGCCATCAGGCGTAGGTCACACACCTTTAGAAATCCATTCCTCTCGTTAACCATTCTGAACTTTGGAAGCCGCACACGAGGTTCTCTCTGTTTTACATTTATAGGTCATATTTTCCCCCTTCCATGAGGATAGCAAGAGACAGGGCGCTCAGCCGATTTGGACCGACCTCTTGGGATGAGTGTGTGTGTGTGTGTTGTATGTTGGTGAGCTCCAGCCTTGGTCTCTTGACTAGCCTTCTAAGGTTTTTCTTCTTTATGATGGTGATTCTCTCATCAGTATTTCCAGCCCTTTGCACCGCAGAACGTTGTTGAAATTTCTTTGGGGCAAACTTCCCTGAATCTCCTTTGCCACCATCGCTGCGTCACAAGATGCCTCCATCACGAAAGGCTCCCAGCTCGCTGATTTGATCCTGCGTGATCAGGGGGGCATATCTTAGAAGATATGACAGGAATGCACTGCTCAGTTTACACTTCCCACTTGGAGAGTCGGGATAACTATTGGGAATTGGGGAAAAAGCATCATGCTATGCTAAATGGTTTCTCAGCCTTGATCTTTTCTCATAGACGCCCTTCGCTTCAGCAGGTCAACTTACATCAAAGTAACATAAGACGCGTCATCCACTCACAAGTGTGGCAATCTAAGCACATGAAATGTTGATTAAGATGAAGGCATTAATCCCTCATGGCTGATGATCTACAATCTTGCATTTGAGTCTCGTTTCTTTGGTGCTTAGGGTAATCCCCTAGATCTCCCATATAGTGGCACCACAATGACACTTAGTACAGGTCGGTTCTCCAATTTTCTAATGAAACTATCGTGACCTCTAAAAGGCATTGGCCTTATTGTGAGCTTAAAACTCAAATCTCATTTACAGTTGAATGCCTATTTCATCTAGAGGAGGGACTCAGTGAATTCCTACGAATGTTGTTTTACCTTATAGCTTGTCATCACTACAGTGACCTGATTCTTTAGATCTCCCCTCATGTAAGTCGGGTTACTCATGTGTGTGAAACTTAAGTAATCTTCAGCCTTATTCTTAGTAGAATTTTTGTCTTTCTTATCATCAAGAATTTAGCGATTGAATCTACCAGTAAAAGCGTATGTATGCACTTTCTTGTTATTCATACTTCTTGTCTGTTTTTAGTTATGATTTGAATTCATCATCTGTGGGAGTGTAGTTTTACCATTGTGCATTGGAAAGAAACTATGCTTCTGTTTTCATTAGTGTGCTTACTTTGCAAGAAATTTCTCTTAGAAAAGTGTGTTGTGAATCACCCTCATCTCCGTAGTATCTAAGCACATAACATGTCTTTTGAATTGGACCGAGAAAGAATGGCCTACATAACCTTCTTGTGAGTACAGTGCAACGATGTATAAACGCATAACTTGTAATTCATTTACTACCAATGCTATTGACGTTTTAACTTCTATTAGAATAATTCACAAGGTCTATTTTAAATTTTTCATTCTACAGAATTTTAGGTATGGTTCAACCCGAGTGTGTGACTCATCTTTTAATTGCTTCCTGATGCGTCATATTCAAGCAGCTTGCATGGTCATTCTACTTAGTAATTATAGAGGAAAGAAAACGTCAGGAAGACTCTATTATGTTAAACATCTAATTATTTACGATTTCCTTTACTGAGAAACTTGACTACTGCTTTTGTTCTCGTAACGAACTTTTATAGTATCTCAGAACAAATGATGCTTGAAATTGCATGATTGTGGGAACATTTTTCTTGTGCTTTCTTGGCATGTCCATTGGTAAGAAATGGATGTCATATCAATTGACCAAGTTAACTTTAGCCCTAAAATTTCATTGACTCAACATGTCCTTTGTGATATGCTTTCCACATAAAGAGGATTTGGTTATCTTTCATTATTCTAATATACTCTAGCCTTTACCAACATATAAATAAACAGTGATATACTATTATACTTTCATTTTAATCCAAATACTTTAGTTCAAGCCATTGATTTCAGAACCTGGCGAGATAATAACTTCCATAAATTTCTGGTGGTATTGTCTTGGAGGTTGTACTTGTAATTCTCTGGATGATCATATTATTTTGTACGGTTCATTTACGTCCCGTCACTAACAACACCACAAGAATGGTCTCAATTTCCATTTTACGGATGTCAGGGTGTCAAGAAAGGGATGGGTTTTGATTATCTAGCATCAAACCAGCCTGACACCAAGCATTGATTGGTGTATTAGGCTAGAATTCATTCCCTTATGTTCCTTTTGTTTGAACTGAAGCCAATTAGGCATAAATAGTTGAGGTGATCGACTGCTAGTCTCTATCTCAGTTAGATGTCGGAATTCCCATGTTTCCTTTACATGTGTCTACAATTGGTCTTTGCACTTTGGACCTCTCTCGTTAGGTAAATCTACAATTTAATACATGCTATTAATTCACCGCATTAGTTGATGTCTATTTCCTCACGCTATTCACAGGCTGCTGCTCACGATTCCACCGAGTGTTGGGTACGAACAGAATCCTCTGAGCATCTACTACTGTTATGATGTCGTATCCAGAGCAGACAGTAAGCATGAAGCAGGAGCAGGTGATGATGGGGAGTCCATGGCAAGTACTAGAACCTGTCTAAGGAAATGCATCGCAGAGGTTAGGGAACAGTCGTCCTCTTTATACCTACCCCACTTTCCCCGGCGACAGGCCCTGGTTTTGTTGATGGATGGCTTGACTTTGACCCAGGTCACAAACACACCATGGGGCGAGAGGGCGTCATTCGTTTTCGACCCAAGATCTGACCTGGTTGCCAAGCCCTTGCACGTGAGCCCCTTCATGGTGAGCGCCCGCCCACGCATTTACTCTCATCTCTCGTTCCACGTCCTGGCCCGCCGCTGCAGCGCAGGGCTTCAAATATAGTTATCCTCTGGGCTGATCCTGGCTAGCCAGTTCCTCTGTGTGAAGGAAAACTGGTGGGTTCTCTGTGTGTTTTTCCCTTCTTCTAATGAACGGCACTCTTTCTTCTACAAGGGTGATTTATGTGCTCGTTTATTCTGGAATTGGATGGTCCTTTCAAAGGGACGTGTCAGGCTATCTGATCGCGCGCCTTTCTACGCTTGGAGATGGGCTTCCCTGCTCCTTTATTCCCCAAACAAGCAGACTGATAGGATCCCCAACGCAGGATATGCTGGGGAACTGGAAGATACACGCAGGCGAACCAGGCGACAAACTCTTCGTTGGAATCTCAGTCCAGCACCCGGAGATGGGCAGCTATTTCACCGCGACCTTAAGTGCCAAGGAAGTTTCTTCATCTCGACCCAGCCCTGCGCTCTTCTTCTGGCTGATGCCTCAGAAGGTGGCCCTGTGGATCTACTGGCAGGTGAGCGGCGGCGACTTGATGTTTCAAATCTTGCCCGAGTGAACTCGAGAGGTTGTCTCCTCTCAAACCAGCATTTGTCCCGAAAATATTTGCAGGCTGTGAAGCTCTGGTGGAAGAACGTATCATTCATCCAGCATCCGAGGTATTCGAATCCAGCGTACAGAGAGGACGCCCTGTCGCGCGATCGGGAGCTGCGCTGCCCTCTCACCAAGGGGGGGGGAGGGGGGCCGCGAGACGACGACCGCCGTTCAGACAGCGCGGCGGCCGAGGGGGGAGGGGGCATGGCCCGGTGGTGTGTGTGGAGAGACGCCGAGTGGCCCTGGTCCTAGCTGTTGTGCTCGTCGGTTCGAGTTGGTTTCGTTTGGCTTGCCCTTCCTTTCTTTGTTGTAGACAATAATAAGGTTTGATCGGGCATTCTTCATTGTATTATTAACCATGTTGTCCCTTGAAATGCATCCATGCATGCATGCATCGAAGGAGAAGCAACTGTCGCATCTGGAGAGAGGGAGAGAGGAGGAGAGAGAATAGCGGTCCAATCCAACGGCCAGGATGGCCTTACAATTGCGAAGTTCCGTGTGCAAAAGCCCGACATCAGACGCATTCTCCTTTCAATGATAAACCCTACGCACGCGGCGTCTGGCTCCCCACCCTCTCCCGGCGATTGCTTCATGCCTCATGCTCTGCGATCTAGCTGGTGAAGTGGGTTCAGTCGGTACGTCCTCTCTGATCTCCTTCGTTCCTCGCCAAGTCATGCTCGAGTGCAGCACCGTCCGCAGCGACCGCGCGGTGCTCGCAGAGAAGTCTAAGAAGGGGAGGAAAAAGAGGGAAGAGGAGGATGACGACGAGAAGAGCAACTCCCCCCATGTAACGGCGGCCCTTGTCCGGGCCATCGCCTCCTTCCTCGAGGGCAACGGGTTCTCGAGGACCCTAACCGCGCTCCGTTCCGAGGCACAGCTCGAGGTGACCCAGGGCCACTGTTCTAGTGTCTCCCAGATTCCCGGGGAACGAGCAAAGATGTTTTGTTGTTGCTTGTATCGTGCCTTTTCAGTGGATGGTGAATGCTCTAAGCCTTCTCCTACGTCTGCTGTTTGTGGCACAGGTTGACGATGGCTGCAAGGTCCCCGTTCTGGACCTAAAGCATATGGTGTGCAAGTACCTGGAACTGAGGTATCCAGTGATTTATTTTGTATCAGCCCAATTGTTTTCTGAGCATCTGTCATCGATGCTCGCCAAAATTCTTTGGCGATTCCATTTGTTCGTGAATCTGACATTCAACCTGAAAAGGCTCATGAAATGCGTGTCTGGTTAGTCCATCTCCATTCTCATGACTGCTGAATTCACTGTGAATTGCAGCGATGATGCTGCTGTAGAAAAAGCCGACAACCAGAGTGAGCAAGGTATGTACTGTGATGGCGTTAATTTGATGAAGTTCTCCTTTATCAGGGTGGGAACGCGTTCGTATTGTGCCATTTTCTTGAATTCCACTCTGAAAATCTCTTCTAATACAAGTGCAAAAAACTAGTTAAAGTTGTGCAGTACAACGCTCCTCAGGAGGAGAAGGAAGGATGTGTCCAGGATCATCATGAGAAGCCCATCTCGAAGAAAAAGAAGAGGAAGTCTAAAGAAGCTAGTGACCAGGTCGGGGTAGAATCCGAGAAATTTGCATCTGAGAATGGCGTTGTCCTACAGAATCAAGTGAAAGAGTTGCTGCCTGAAAGAAGGGCTCTTCCACTGGAGGTTGCGTCTGCTGAAAGTCAGTTGCCTGAGGGCCGAGTGAAGAAGTCCAAGGACCAGAAAAAGAAGAAATCTAAGGAATCTGATGAGACCATTAATCCTGTTGAAGAAAGAGTGGAAAATGTATGTCCTTTGCTCGACAGTGCATCTCATATGTTACTCGAATCGAGTGATAGATCCAAGGATAAGAAGAAGAGTGACAGGAAGAAGAAAAAGGAGGAACAGAAGAGTAGTAAGTCAACCTCAAATGAGATTAATAGTGAGGTTGCTTACAAGATCTCTCAGGAAGAAGAGGGCAAGACCGATAGTCAGATTACAGACTCTCTGTCTGAGAATGTATGTTCCCACACCACTGGCGAAGATAACAATGCTAAGGGCAAAGATAAGAAAAAAAGAAAGCATAAGCTGATTGAAAGTTCGAGTGGGCATGAGGCTGATATCCAAAATGGAGTCGAGTCTAAAAGTAATAAGAAAGAAAAGCATATTAATCTTGCAAGCAAACATGGGACAGTAGATATTGATCCGAAGATTGAGAATGTTTCACCTTCAGGGAGTATGAAAGTCAAGAAAAGAAAGAATTTGCCTTCTGAAGAACCTGCGCTTCAGATTGACAATGGTGCTTGTTTGGAGAATGCAGAGCAAAGACAACCAGAGCTTGACCTTCTCTCGAACGGGGAGGATCATTTCCCTGGAAGAAAAAGGCAAACAGAACAAACTGAAATTCAGATCAATGAGAATCTTGGGGAGAACGAACTGGAAAGGAATGGATCATTGAAATCAAACAAAGCAGAGCTCAAAGATTTAACGGTGGGCCTCTCTTTCATTTCTTCTTTTTCTCAATCGTGGGAATATTTTCTGAAGATGTCCCATTTCGACCACATTACTCTTAAAAAAGGGTAACGGGAACCGTTTCGACGCAATTGAGGTGTTATTTATTTTGGTTCTCACCTCCATCTTCATCTGATACCCAAAATGAGATATTCAAGACATTATTTCTTTTGAGAATTTTCTTTTTCCATTTACCGCAAATAATTGCAGAATTATTTCTTATCGGACCAGTAAAATAGTATATAACTTCCCAAGCGTCCTTGGTATCTACATTCTTAATCAGGGGCCAAGCAACCGTGCAAGAAAAGCAGACATGTTAGCATTCCCCTGATTACTTTAGATATCAGTTATCCTCTAGGCAGATAATGCTTTGGCTATGAATACCGGAATAAGTTGTCCTTGTTGTCCCAAATTAATCAGAAGATCGCCATGATACTGGGTGCAGTAAATATTCCATAATTCAATATTGCTCCTCTTGAAAAACATATCTTTCTGGTTTTCCCTCACAGAAATTTGGTTCCATTAGTACCAGAACTGGCGTGCTCCGTGTGGTCTGGCATGTTTATAAATATATCATGTGGGATGAATTTTTAATATATAGACTTAGCTCTGTTCTATTTCTACCATAATATTTGTTTGACTAAAGATACCTCTCCTGGTGCCCTCTGTGCAGCCAAAGACTGTAAATGCATTTCAAAGAGTAAAGGTTGATGCTGTCAAGTTTGCTGATGATAGGCTTCAGGATAACTCCTATTGGGCGAAGGTACTGATCTATTGTTTTGACGTGGTCATTTAATAGATGGTTTCTTGGTTCTTGAGACTTTTAACACGCATTGTATTAGTCTTTTGTGACCTTTTTTTTTCTGTTTCTTTTCGTTTTTATCAGGCTGGTGCTGAAACCGGATATGGGGCAAAGGCCCAGGAAATCCTTGGTCAAGTTAGAGGAAGGTAGTTTGCCAGTTTTTCTGATCTTCACTTCACATATGTAAATCACTCTCGAATCAGTTTAGTTACTAAAAAACCGTAGATTCTGGCTCCTAAACGTATCTTCTAAAAAATTTTAGCAACTAGCATTGGTGCTACCTTAAATATGGCCGATCGAATCTTGTTAGAATTTGGGGTACTGAAATGGAAGAAAAGCATAGTAGTGTCAGATTTTGAAGATGGATTCTTGTTTTGGTGTTTGCTTGTCTCTTACCGAATTAATATGAGGCTGTTTTATGCATCTGCATGTTTTTAATCATATTTGCCTCGGTTTAATGATGGCCGATCAGTGGGGATACATGGTGCGGTGTACAGATATAGTTCGCATACTAGGTGATCTCTAGTTTGTCATTGTTTAGATCTAAATTATAGATCACTGGATAGTTATCATCCCCTGAATTTAACTGCCGCAATTTCCCACCAAATTAGGGGCAAACATGATATTATCTGACAATTAGAAAAAAAAACATGGGATTTGAGCTTTTTGACTTTCAGTGATCAATTTATTTTCTGTAAGAAATGCTGCAATTGGGAATGACATATATTTACAGTCATGTGAATTCTGGTGTAATTGATGTTTCAATCTTTGAAAGTTTGAAGTTGTGTCTTAATCATTTATGATGCTTATTTGACCTGTAAACGGTAGATTATTCTGAGTCTCATTCAATTGGTGATGTAGTGGTGAGCAAAGGATCTCAAACTCGGCTGTAAGATGACCCAAACAATACAAAATTGTGTTTCATCTCTGAAAAATAGGATGTTCTTAGGCTAAAGTATTGGTGTTGAGAGAGAATTGTCTGGCGTTTTAAACTTAATGTTGCCGTCATGTGCATTCTTTTCATGCGGTCTAGTGTACCTGGTATTTTGCGTCTGTGATAAGCTCCCAGTCAACTGTGCAGTGTTAGGCAGTCTGTATGTCCAAATCCTAAAACGAAAAACTTTGGATAGTTTGACCGAACATTAGCTGGCACGGTTGAACATACAACTGACCGGTCTTGGTATAAATTCAAGCGAAGAAAAACTTAAGAGATGATTCAGAATGGTTTAAGCTTGCCAACGGATTCAGACTAGGATAAAGGACAGCGTGTTAGTTTTTTGGTGGAAGCTTGCCATGAGCCTTCACAAAAGTGATTATCATGCTGTAGAATTATTTCAGGATTACCAAGGGATCAACGAGGGTCACATCTCAGAGAAATGGTAATTAGAAAGACAGAAGTTACTGCCGTTTAAAACATGTTTTTCTGAAAAGGATCATGCGCTCGGCTGACGGAATCACTTTTCTGATGATGGGTTCCAAATGGACCTTTGCTTGTAACGACCTCTGAGCAATAAGGTGCAACGATTGTTTTTTTTATTTAATGAAATCAAAAATATCTTATATTTATCAATATTGCCTGTTTGTATTTCGCAGAGTATGGAAGTAGCACGAGTAAATTTTTCCCTTTATGGTTTGCATGTAGAGTGAAGTGATGAGTGTGCTTGGTATTTGTATTGTCTAGTAGATATTAGCACCGGTTTCATTCAACATAATGACCAAAGCTTCTCTGGTTGCGCTAAAATTACATATCTTGCGGCCAGATATTTGAATTTGGAATGATTCTTTCCCACTGATGGGATGCATTTTCTGCTCGAGATATCCCTCATGCCCTCAGAGGCTAAAAGCATAAGCATTGTACTCTTTGTGGGGGCAGATCTCTGAATGTAGACGGCTGGTTTCTACTTGCAGGGATTTCAGACATGAGAAGACCAAGAAGAAGCGTGGAAGCTACCGAGGAGGCCAGATCGACTTTCAATCCCATTCGGTAAAATTCCAGTACTCCGATGAAGATGAGTAGCAGACCAGGAAAGACGCCATGACAGAGATTCCAAGTGGGGGCGGAATGCGTCTCCTAGGTTTGAACTATATATCTTGTTGAGTGTTGCTGGTGGAAAAGATTTCATCAGATTTTGACTCCGAGGACCCACATTAGACCCCCCTTGATTTACTTTGTCTCTGGAGATTTTATGAATCTACCCCTCTTCTCCTTGGCACTCTCACCTGCACACGCAGTGGATTCATCGAACTGTTGATCTCACGGACAGCGTAGGAAACTCTGACGAAGAAATGTTAGCGGCCCGAGAAACAGGAGCTCTACTACAGCCCGAGATGCCTCATTTTAAGGGGTGATTATCTTTTTCTATTTTCTATAAATAAGACATAGATTTATTTATTTTTAGATTATGATGGACGACAAGATTTGTCTTTCTCTTGATTCTATCTTATCTCTCTAGCAACTCTTTTTCTTTTTTCTTAGTTTCTATTTTTTCTTCTGCTGTAGATGAAATCTTTATAAAAGTAGATAAGAGCTTACTGTTGACTCTTCAATATGTGAGTGATCTAGAAGATGTTGAGATGTAGATTGAGGTATTTAGTAGAAGTTTTGTTCTTATCAAGATTTCTAATAATTTGATAATTTTTCTTTTATTTGTTCTCATTGATATTCAGAAATTGAATTTCTACTATTATTATTGAGATGTACATATTTATTCTTACATAAATATGTTTTGGGTTGACCTCTGTTAATAATTATCTACAAAATAAATTGTCGTCCTTTATAGTAAAAAGAGTGAGATTAATGTCAGTCCTATATGTCTAAATTAATATTGAAACTTTCCCTCGTTACTATGAAGGTCTCTGGCAACCAGCTACTATATATCCCGTGATTGGGAGAGAACATGGGAAACTAAAGAGGCTGGAGAAAGATGATCACACTCTTTTTTTTTTTGCCAACAAGTGATGTGAAATATTTAACAAGAGAGAATTTTGAAGTCATCTCGTAGATGGGCATTACCAAGGAACTAAGACTCTCTCAACTAACTAAAGGGGCATGGAGAACCCACAATGGTGTTATTTGCATAACAATAGAACGGTGGAAATATCCATAGTAGACGAATTAAACGTCTCACCTGCTCAAGTCTGGAAGTGTCCAAAGTACCAAACACAAGACAATGAAGATGACAAGATTCAATACAAAATAAAAAAACACTAGGAAGTGATACACTAAGATTTACGGAAGAGCTAGAGATTTTTCTTCGGTGGAAGACCAAATGGAAAGAGAGCCTTACAGAATGTCTTAATCTCTATACTATACTCCGTGATGAATCTCTTCCTTTTCAAGAAGAAAAGAAAGTACCGATTTGGAATAAGAAAAATCCTACCTTCTTCTTCTTCTCTATACTAATCCTGGAGTTTGTGAAGAATCATCAAATGAGCCCTAATGGGCTCTAGCGGCCTCTTTGGCTTGAATGCAGATCCAACTCCACAGTGAGTTGCCAGTGAGTCTCGAGGTAGTGCTCCCTAGAAAGAAATCTGGTTTAAGGAGAATAATCGACTAGTCTCCACATGTTTTCCCTATCCCAAGATAAGAATAAGTTTAAGTCGTTCTGTTGGAGTTCTAATTCGTGATTCTATTGTGAGAGAGAATATTGTGAAAGTCTGAGGGCGATCTGGGAAATGTCTTCACGGTTCTCTCCGTATTTAAATGGTGTGATATGGTATCATCGAAGCTTGAGAAGGTTTTACACCGTTCCTCCCCTGTCCTCCGTATGACAGAATAAACCATTCTTTTTTCCATCACTCCCTCTCTTTCCTCCTTTAAATCTTAGTTTCCGACGTAATCTCCTTAAAATCATAGTTTCAGAAATCGTTTCCGACACGTTCCTTTTGTGTGCGTTGTGCGAGCATTCTGTGCTGCTGCACAGAACGTTGTGTGTTGAACTGTTAGACGATCCTCTTTTCCTGCTTTTTTCTCTCTCTATATCTCGTTAGTGTATGTTGCATTGAAAAGACATGGAGAACTCTCCGCGATGTTGTTTAAAAAATAGAATGGTACGAATACCCACATAGGACGATGATAAAAAATATCCAAGGCCAGATTAGATACAAAAGAAAAAGCAGTAAGAAGTGGTATGACGAAATTTACACCATAAAGAGATATCATCCTACCTCCATGGAGGCAGCTAGATATATTTCCTTGGTGGACGAACAAATGGAAAGAAAGCCTTACAAAAAAAAAATTCTCTGTACTTGAATCGATAATGAATGTGTTCCTATTCAAGAAGAAAACAAAATACCCAAATCAAAGAAATAGAAACCCCACTTTCATCTAGCCCAACCCAACTTGTTTACAACCTCCTTACCTATCACATCTCACCATAACACTCACCCTTCTTCCAAACCCACCCCTCCTTTATGTAGAGGAAGAGGAGGTCAGGGAAGACGAAGGAGAGATAGAGGGAGAGGTTGTAACACATGAGAACCCATTATAATTGATACGGGTGTGTTTAAACGAATGAGGATCTATTATACTGCCCCCTTCTCTCTCGGGCCATTGTAATTACTGGGATAATGAGTTTAATGTTCATAACTAAGTTGAAAGATATATAAAATTAAAAATTAAATGAATAATGTGAAGTAACATTAATATTTTTTAGCTGTTTAATTTTTTTTAAAGCCCCAAATGAAGAAATTAGACATCAGAAAACGTATAGACATCAAACTAAGTCAAAAAAAAAAAAGCTAAAGATTTGGATTTAGAAAAAAAAAAAGGATAATAGAAAGTGTGTCAACCCAAAAAAAGAATGTGTCATTCATTTAATCAATATGTCAACACACCTTAAAAGAGAGACAAGCGTGTCGTCCCATCACTGGTTAGAAGAGAAAGGATGATGATGCCTTGGACAAAGCATGTTTTCAGATGACACCTCTACGACAAGCGTGTCGTCCCATCACCTTAAAAGCATGTTCTCAGTGCCTGCTCCTATGAGTTAAAAGCTCCCTCCATCTTGAGATCTCTTTATGTGATTTAATTCCATTCAATGTATGAAAACACTCTGAGGAGTGGTTTTAGTGCGGGCAGAAAGGCAAGTTAATACTTTTGCATCCAGCGTGAGGAGGCAGACATGAGAAATCCGTCGTGAAGTTCAGCTGGAATCATCAGGGAGAAAATAATAGAAACCCAAGCTATGTAGCCCAAGAGAAGGCCAAACACTACAAAACAATTTCTAATTTATTATGTCAATCCACATAATCCTATGTTGACCCATAATATATTATTTGTCAGCTTGAATAACACCAAACTTTGTAGAAATAACTAAAAATGAATTAAAAGTCCCTAAAATGTCCCGCTCCCCCACCTATTGGTATATTTGGTGGCCTACTAGGGAACCAACAGTATCATCCCAGTAATTTCACTAATCAATGACACCATGGTTGCTCTGTCACCTGCTAACAGCAACTTGTGGAAGTGTTTCATGGGCTATCTTCTTGCCGTGCCAAGATGGATAGGGAAGAAGACATCCTTCCCCTCTTGTTGAAGATATGATCACATCAGAGAAAAAAATTGGGGGAGGCCAAATTCGACAGGACAGGGGCAAATAAATGGTAGTGCCCTCTTGTCTTATTTAGTTCGATGGTTGCAACATCATCTTTCGTAATTATGTTGCCTTAAAGATATTTCCATTGATGTGTGAAGTCAACATGAGTATCACTAGGAAGTATGCGTATTTCAAGTAGGGTCTGCCATTTCCTCATTTGTGAGTATTTTTGTCTTTGGTAAGATTCTCTAACTGAATTTTTTTTATCAGGTTATTGACGAAGGAATGAAGCCACTGAGAATTATGATTCATGCACGTTAAGAGGAGATGGAGTTTAAGCATAAACGAACCTTGAGAGGATATGGGAGGCATCGCTGCTTTCCCTCGTATTTTTTCTCCTGTTGGGGATTCCGACCAAAATTACTGTCTTCCCTATCATATTCCACATTGCTTATCATTTGTTGTTGGCCACTAAATGCATCTCGTGCAGAGATACAAGTCTATGCGTGATCAGCCCACACTCTGACATCCTTGCATGCACTTCTTCCGTGCCGACGCATGCCTAGATTTTGGCTGTTATACAATGAATCATGATCATCCAAGGCGAGGTTAGGGACAGAGAAGCTGGTATGTGAAAAGGCTTACATCCAGAGTCACGTCCAGAATTAGCCAAACCAACTCGGGAGGCAAGTTTGCGTAAGTGGGCATGAGACAGTCGAATTCTTGTTGACTGATGCAGTGCCCTGCACGGTTAGAACACGCGGTTTATGAATCTCCGTCATAATCCCACTGTCGAAAGTTCTCCTCCGGAAATTCAAAGCCGGCAGTAATGCAGAGATTGATCGGTCCCAGTCATGTCTGACCTGCTCTTTATGCCCCAAACGTAGGAGAAAAGTGGCCCTTGGATTCTGAGCTTGTCGGAAGCTGCATGGGCTATTCCTCTGTAAGGACAAATTAACAGGGAGCAACTTTCAGATCATAATAACAGACAAGAACTGGCTGCCCGACGCAGGAGCTGGCCGACGGGAGTCGTCGCCCACCCATCTTGGACAAATGACGACAGTTCGCTGGGTTACGTTGAAGCTTTGGCGCAAATGGTTGATCTGCGTCTATGAGCTCCGCCCGTCAGAGAGGAGGGTCTCAAATTACACTGTCAGGTCCGTCGACCATACCCGCGCCTCCTCTCTCAGTAGCAAACCCCACAAAGTACGGAGGCTATTGGAGGTGTGGTGGGTGGTTCTGATGGTCGGGGACCCCTCCCGACGCGGCCATAAGAGACAGCCTCACCCCCCACATGGGCGGTTAGTGTTTGAGTTACCGTTATCATCCGCCCGATAGACGCGTGGGCCGCCGCAGCCGCCAGCCACATAATTCAGAGCGAGCGAGCGAGAGAGAGAGAGAGAGACAGAGACAGAGACAGAGAGACAGACAGAGAGAATCAGATGCGTAAGCTTGTTAACACCTTTCCCGGCCGCAAGATCCGTCGATATTATTGAGAGTCACCGCCTACTGGCTGTGGGGTGGATGATAAGGTCGACATTATTGATGAGTCACTGTCTACTGGCTGTGGGGTGGATGATAAGGACCGCCCACACCGACGAATTCCCATCGAAGACCACCTCTGGACTTGGAGGTGGGGTCTCTACACCATGATCTTCACGAGGAAAATTCATACCAGGCCTCGTAAAACAGATGTGTATCTGCCTGTAAGTACAGAAAATGACCCGGCAGGTCATATCCTCCCTGGCTGCACCATTCTCCCTCCCCCTTAGTTCCATGGATTGGACCCTCGATTCGCCCGGACCCTCGATTCCCCCTTAAACCTAAGGAGAGGGGTTCTCCCGCCAGGAGACCGCTATGCCCTGACGCCGAAGTGAGACGCCGGAGAATCTCACCAGTAATCCTTGCAAGAGCAGAAACCCCCTTTGAAGTGGTGGAAGCGGCTCCTGTCCCTGACGACTACCTCCTGGTCGTAGACCTTGGACATGAGCTTGATCGCCAGGTGGCAGTCTTCGCAAACCCGCAGGTTCTTCACGATCCTGATGGTCGTTTCCGCGGTGGTCTTGAGCAGCGCGTAGGGCCAGCCGCTCGCTGTGGCTCAACGCAGTCTCCTTCTCTTCCTCTATATCCGCGAGAACGTCAGTCGCCCGCGCCGCGTATCCTTCACGCCTCAGACGCACGGCGATCTCCTCGAGAAAGCCGTATATCGCGTCGCTCTCTGGGTGTGACCGATCGCCCATCACGAACTCGTGCACATTATTTCCAAGCTCGACCACGGTGTGCCCAGGCGTCTTCTTCACTCCCCCCTTCACCAAGCTCCTCCTGATCCGGTGCACGTCCGCCCACCGCCTGTCGGAGGCGTAGAGGTTCGATAGCAGTACGAAGTCACCGCTGTGGCCAGGGTCCAGCTGCTCCAGACGCGCCCAACCCGCCTCCCCAATGTCTGTACGCTTGTGCATGGCGCAGGCCCCCAGCAGAGTCCGCCACACAAACCGGGTTGGGCTCCATCGGCATCCCCAGGATGAAGCTGTAAGCCCGATCGACCAGGCCAGCTCGCCCGAGCAGATCGACCATGCAACCGAAATGCTCGATCTTCGGCGCTATGCCGTAATCCATCCTCATCCGGTCAAAGTAGCGGAACCCATCGTCCACCAGCCCACAGTGGATGCAGGCGTACATGACGCCGACGAACGTGATCTCGATCGGGGAAAGGCCGGCCCTTCCCATGTCGCCAAACAGCCCTAAGGCCTCCTTCCCAAAGCCATTAACCGCCAGGCCCACGATTAGGGACGTCCAAGAGACCGCGGACCTCGTGTGCACCATCTCGTCGAACACCTTCCTGGCGTCACCGATGGTCCCGGACTTGGCGTAGAGGTCGATGAGGGCGTTCCCCACGTGGGAATTCCTGTCTAGCCCAACTTTCCAGAGGTATACGTGGATCCTCCTACCGAGCACCAGCGTTCCCAGCTCTGCGCAGGCGGATAGCAGGCTGACCATGGTGAAGCCATCCGGCTGCTCCTCGGTGCTCGGCGGTCTCGGCGCCATCATGTCTCTGTAGAGCGTCAGAGCCTCGTTTGGGCGGCCATTGATGGCGAAGCCGTGGATAATAGTGTTTCATGTCACCAGGTTCCGGACTGGCATTTCTTCAAACAGCTGGTGAGCGTGCTCGAAGAGGCCGCAGGCAGCATACAGGTGGAGCAGCGAGTTCTGGACGAACACCGACCCGGCGAGCCCGTCGTGGACGGCTCGGCCGTGGACGACCTCGCCGTCCCGGTCGTAGAGCAGTTTGTCGCAGGCCTTGAGGAGAAAGGGATACGTGTGTGTATCGGGCCAGAGGCCGGCTTCGAGCATGCGTGGGAGAAGCAGGGGGGCTGGACCGGGGCTGTCGGATTCCGCGTGAAGGCGAATCATGGTGTTGCAGGTGAAGACGGAGGGCCGGCAGATGCGACAGAAGACGCGTTCGGCATAGGCGACGAGAGGGGACGGGAGGCCGGCGAGGGCGAGAATCAGGTGCTTGCCCAGGTCGGCGCTCGAGACGGGTGCGCCGGAACGCAGGGCCCGGGCGTGTATTTGCTTGAGGGCGGAGAGGGAGGGGCGTGACTGCAAGAGGTCGAGGCACTTCCTCCGGGAGAAGGGCCAGGAGGAGCAGGAAGCGGAGAGGGGATCAGCGAGGACGGAGTCGAGGACCGGTGATCGGCCTGAGGGGGGGCGGCGCATATCGCCGCAACATCACCCGCGGCCTACGATGCTCGGAGACCGGCTGGAGGTCAAGCCAGGCCGGGGGAGGGTGGAGTGCAGGGGTGTTGATCAGTGGGTCCACAAAGTGGGGAAGCGGGCCCATAGGCAGAAGCAAAGCACGTCGAAAAATCAGGTGGCCAGTTCGTCAAAAAAGTTCATCGATTTGGCATTTTTTCTATGGAGGTACAGCTCAAGGTGGGTGGGACTGAACTTCTGATTCCGTCGACGTATTTTAAAAGAATATAGCGTAGACTTGAAAACACCTCGAAAAAATCCATCAACCATGATGCAGGATGAATACGACTGATGCGGATGAAATGAGTACGGAACACAATGGGTAAATAACAAGCCACGAAACTCGCACACGATCGCACACGATCGCCCTCCAAACAAGGAAATCGCAGCCCACTCGGCTGGTCTCGAGCCTGCACGGCTAGATCCGATGGCGGTGGAAACACGTATAAGGAAAGACGGGATGAAATCAAAATACACGACCACCAGAGAGGGTTGAGAGGGGACCTTCGGCGTTTGCACGCCACAATATTGACGTCCATGGCAGAGCAGAAGAGGACGAGCCCGTCGCGGATCCAACTACGCGTTTAGTTGGCGGGGGCTCAAGGGAGGAAGCTGTGCCCTTGCGGGGTTCGGGGCAGCGCCCCGAAACCTAAATCCGATGCTGGGCGGAGCAGGGCGCGCAGGGTGTGCGCGGTCGACGTGCAGGGTGGAAGGTTGGTGTGCAGGGCGAGTCGCAGTGGCGCATCCGCCAAGCGAGGGACGCGCGAGCGCTTGGGTAGGATGCACGGGACGCGTGAGCGCCCGCGGGAGGTTCGTACGCGGCGCGATGCCGGCGCTCCGAGGGACGCTGATCGGCACGTTGCCGGGCACACGAGCGCTGACAGAGAGACCAGCCGGTGACGACAAACAGGGTTGACAAGAAGGTAGCGGGTTGAAAGGGGGACCCGCGCGACGGCGGCGGCTACAGGCAGCGGCGGTCACACGGATCCCTTAGGGCACGATCTCTCGTGTAAGAAAAGACTTATGAAGATCAAAGCCATTGTTCAATAGAAACCGTAGGCCTATTTATAGGCCTCGGGAGGAGAGAGAGGATTACAACCTGAAGTAAATGAAAGAAGGTCAAATATGAGTAAGTCCTAATAGAAATAGACGCCGGCGGCGACGTGGAGTGGCCTTGATGTCGTTTTCTTGACTGCGAGAGCGAAGTAGAGGAAAATCCACCGTGTATTTTAGCCTGTACGATCATTCCAACGTCTCATCTCGGGCCTTGAAGGACTCGACCGGCGGACGATAGAAAGTGACGGCTTAAGCTGAACCAGGGGATGCTGTGTTAAGTATGCGCAGTGTGGAAGAAACTAGTGTGTATACGAACTATTCAGTCCACCCACATTTTACTTCAGTTCTTTCCCGGAGTAATCAAGGACGAGGCCAGTAAACATCCGCATTGGGTGCATCATTTGGCGAGGCAGGCCCAAGGACAACATGTCTTGGTGATGGGGACGGCTCGAGGAGCCTCCGACCAACTTCCACATCGGTGCGCCCACCCAGCCCCGCCTGTTAGCTCACCACGACGGAGAATTATTTGGGCGCTCCATAACGGCGACTGAGAACCACGGCCGACAGGGGGAGGCAGATGATGGGCTTCTCTCTCGCCGGAAGTCGGCCGCAGAAGAAGGGGGACGCGACCGCAACGGTCACGAGTACCGAACACCGAGAGCTGTGGACTTCAACCGACGGAGCATGCAGTATCGAAGTTCCAGAGGGGAAGCCGGAGAGCTGAGGAGGCGATGAAGATTATCCCCAGTGACTTGAAGATTTCTTATATAGCGTGCAGGCTAACAAGGGGCATGTACCCAGCCCGTTATACATTTGAAGAAGAAATGGAGGAAACGCGGATGGAGAACGTTCAATCGAAGAATTCCCAGGGGTTAGTGGTTGGATTTTCAAAAATCTCCCACTTGGTGCTGACGAACACTGGTTTCACCCTGTCATTCGACACCTTGAGTGCATCCAGTGTTTCCACAAACTTCTGCACCCTCTTGGCCTGCAAAGCGAATGAACACCAACATTTGTATCGGGGTGGAGGTCATGACGAAGTTCGTCCGCAGTCCAACAGTAGATTACCTGCAAAGTCTTCTTGAAGACGGCTTCCCCCTCGGCTGGAATGCCTTCCACTACGATGGCTTGCCTCATGAGCACCTCCACGAGCGTCGAGATTTGCTCATCGGCCACCTTCTTCCCCTTCGATATAGTCTCGTCGATTGCGGCAACCTTGAGCCTCACCACAGTGAAGTACATCATTCTCCGGCATCAAGGAGCCCTCCAAATGGCAACAAATCCACGCCGAAGCATCTCACCTGGTCGCCGAGCTTATCGATTTCCATGGAGGTGTCGGAGATGGCGCGGTTGATGCTCTCCATTTTGGCCATTCTCCGCCTCTCGAGGTACCGCCTCTCCACGCTCGAGACGTCCTCCATCAAGACAATTTTCGATCGGTTCTTCACGCCGCACGTGTCAAGGTACTCGCTGTTCCCCCTCTCCTTGGCCTTGTAGAGCAGCCTCTGGTCCGCCGGCTGCAGACCCGTATATCCGGCGAGAACCTTCTTCAGCTCTCCTGTTGGCACCCCAAATGTAATAACTACGTCAGCAGACAAGTTGCCTAATGTAGGGCTGCATCGCCGTTTACTGGGATCTACTAACGTGCAGAGCCACGGGAGACGAGCAGAATGAAATTATGGTACTGGGTGAGGCCCCTGCCTCATGGTCAACAGACAGAGGGTGTGGTGAAGTTAGCTGAGGTTCCCTTGTCGACACACACAGGGTGTGCTGCGAGCGGATGGGACGGGCAGCTGAAAGAGAAGAGAAATGCCGCCGGCTCTGCCGAGAGAGAACACGAAAGCCTGGAATACTCTCTTTCTCTCTCTCTCGCTCCCCACATGACAGGACCTCTGATGAAGGAGATCTGTGATTCCAGGTGCTTGCGAATTACTCACCGAAGGTGACCTGGGAGCTGACGGAGACCTCGTGCCGTGCGGCGCCATACACCACCCTCACTCGCACAACAGTTGTCATCGACGCTGACGCTGCGGCGGGGGAATCGCCACTCGTCGAGCACCGCTTCTGCACCAGCATCCCCCCTGGCCGCCTCTCCCAGGCGACACTCTCCGCCGTTGCCTCGTCATCTCCAGAACCCTTCTTCCTCCACATCTTCTTGTTCCCGGAGGAATCGAAACCCTCGGGCTCCCCCTTGTCAGTTGCACTGCCCCCCCACCCCACTCCACTCCCTCCGGCGCGAGCCGCCGACGGTGCCCAGAGGCAGGTGGGGGCTTTAATACCCGCGGAGATATGACTCAGAGGGGGGGGAGCGGCAGCGGCATCCTCCGCATGGTCCATGGCGCAACGCACGCAACAAGAGATACAGATCGACGCAGGCTGCCGACAGTTTTCATGGGGGCCCATGCCTAAGAGTCGTTAGATCCGAGCGGCATCAGTTGCGGGTCCCATAAAGTCGCGCCGGAATGGGCCGGTCGCACCAGGGGATCTCCTCTCACCACGACTGCGCGCCAGGTTAGGTGAGTTGGCGATCGGGGAAGATAAACGGAGGAGATGAGTGGTCCCAGGAGGGGCAGGTCTTATTTATTCCGACGTGGCAAGTATTTTTCTCGTGGGACCACATTGCGAAGGAGGGCGCGTCTTAGAATTGGCCCAGGCCATCGCAGAGTCCATCAGACGAGATCTTCTGGTCCCCACGTGGGGTTAAATACGAACCGTTCCTGCTATCTAAAACGTAGTCGGCTGGACATTCCACCAAGCCCATCCAGAGGCATCAACCAAACGCCGGTACACACACAAACGCTCCCCGTTCTACCGGCTCGTGTCCGCCTCGAGACAAAAGAAAAGTCAAGGGACAGATGCTTTCAAAGCCGTGTCCGTGCCGCCTCCTCCTGCAGCATCCAATCCCTCGATGCTCCAACAGATAAATGAAGCCTTGCCCCTCTTCGTTCCCGCAGCCCAACCCTCAAACGGAGGATCACAGGGAAAACACCAATATCGGGACGCGAGAGCGATTTGCTTAAACGTTGGCGCACAGGGAGAGAGCAGATCCGCTGAGAAAGATCGGAGCCCAGGAGAACTGATGGCAGGAGAAGCTGTCGCCTCGTTTCAGGCCCACAAGATTCCTCCCACGGTGACCGCAAGCATCTCGTCGAGGATTCACGGCCGCCACCTGGGTCTCCCTGTACGCGCCGGTCACTCCAACATCGCCGCCGACCCGGCGCCACGGCGGGAGCAGAGGAAGCCGGAGAAAGCCCTCAACCTCCCATCCTCCATCTCGAGCATCCTCCACCTGAACCTCGATACTCACCTCCCGACCAACCTCCTAAGCGTCCTCCACCTCAACGGCAACGATCATCGTTCTCCGAAAGACGATGTGCTTTCCCACTACCTGAAGAACACGCCCACGGCATCCCCGAAGGAGAACATAGCCTCCATCTGGCGGGAGATCCACGGAGCCCGAGACTGGGCAGGCCTCCTCGACCCCCTCCATTCCTGGCTCCGCCGCGAGATCGTCAAGTACGGGGAATTCGCCCAAGCCACCTACGACGCCTTTGATGACGATCGCTTCTCCCGCTACTGCGGGAGCTGCCGCTTCGGCCGCAGCCGGCTTTTCTCCCAGTTAGGCCTCGCCCACAACGGCTATGAGGTCACCCGCTACCTCTACGCCATGTCTCATGTCGAGATGCCCACCTGGATGGAGCGCTCCCTGCACGCCGAAACGTGGAGCAAAGACTCCAACTGGATGGGATACGTTGCTGTCAGCTCTGACGAGGAAACACGTCGCATAGGCCGGAGGGACATCGTCGTCGCATGGCGCGGCACTGTCACCCCGGCGGAATGGTCCAAAGACGTCCAGCAGCGTCTGGAGCCCCTGCATGATGCTGGCGGCAAGCTTCAACACGACCGCCATAAAGACGTCGTCAAGGTGGAGCACGGCTTCCGCAGCCTCTATACCTCCAAGGCCGAGTCGACCAGATACAACAAGACGAGCGCCTCCGAGCAGGTCATGGAGGAGATCAGGCGACTCGTGAAGATGTACAGCGACCGAGGGGAAGAGGTAAGCTTGACCGTCACGGGGCACAGCCTTGGTGGAGCGCTGGCCCTCCTCAACGCCCATGAGGCGGCGGCTGTGGGCATCCCTGGCCTTTCCCATGTCAGCGTCGTTTCCTTCGGAGCTCCCCGGGTGGGGAACGCAGCGTTCGTGGGGGAGCTGGAGGAATTGGGCGTGAAGGTCATGCGCGTGGTGAACCAGCAGGACCTCGTTCCAAGGTTGCCCGGCGCCTTCTTCAACGAAGATCTTGGGAAAATCTTCCCCGTAGAGAGTCTAGACTGGGTCTACTCACACGCCGGCGTGGAGCTGGAGGTGGACACAAAGAGCTCGCCGTACCTGAAGCAGTCGATGACGGATCTCCCCGCATTTCACAGCCTTGAGACCTATCTCCACCTGGTGGACGGCCTCGGCAGCGTGGTGGGAGCCTTCCGGCGGGAGGTGAGGAGGGACGTGGCCCTCGTGAACAAGGCCTGCGGGCTCTTGAGGGACGAGCTGAAGATCCCAGCGTGCTGGTACCAGCCATCGAACAAGGGCCTCGTCCGCAACGCCCACGGCCGCTGGGTGGTGCCTGAGAGGGACCCGGAGGACATACCCTCGCCTCTGCGCCATCGAGCGCCGCCGCCGTCACCGTCACGGTCCCCGAACTCCCAGGGTGCCGTGCCCTATTTGGTCGCCGCTTAGCTGAGTTGCAACGGGAAAATACTGTACACAGATCAAAACGAGGGCTTCATAGCCTTGCAGATGACCCAACTTGTCCGTCATTTAAGTAAATATATTACCGAGATGCAATAGTCAAAACAATATGAAATACTGGAGTAGCTTTCCTCATACGCAAGCGTCATTTAATTATATAGGTTTTTATTTAAACTCACACACGTACTATCCTGTAAGGGCCGCATCTACTAGACCTCACCCCACGGTACAAGAATGCCCCCAAGAATTAGTTCAACAGTGTAGCACCCACATCACATGCCTCCACATTGCTCACCTCCATGCCCATATGGCGACCACATGTCACTATTATTCCGCCCTACCATCAGGCTGTAACGTCATGAGACACCACATGAACATCATTGCATCTTGTTAATTGTTGTCTGTCAAAACTGTACATGAGCCACAACCTCAAATGACCATCAAAGGGCAGTAATACCTTATAATATCATCACTTGTTCTTTATGGTCTTATGAAACCCCACATCCAACTAAGGGACATCCTCCTCTACGCCCACTTGGGCCCATTATCTCTCTCTTCCTTCGCCTATATAAACACATGTATCTCTTTATTTACAATTAATTTAATCAAAGCTTTTCTTTGGGTTGAACACTTAAACTTCTTACATTACTTTCAACTCATAATAAGAGCTCACTTAAATTCTTGCAATCAAATAATTATTAAGAAAATATGAGAGAATCACTACTTAACTTCATAAAAGTCAAGTGGGGTTAGTCTCATAATATAAATAAAATAATATATATATTAATACTTAAATGAGAAAATATTATAAATGTCATAATAAGTCAATAACACATGTATAATTATATTATATACCTATTAATTAGCATCTATATATAAGATATTAACACAGATGTAACTACTAATTTATAATTATCAACTACCATCAGGTTTTTAAAGATAACTAATAATATATATTTTACCAAAAAATGATCAATTATTATTTTTATATTCTTAATAATAATATTATGAGAACTTATGTTCTTAGTATTGTGGTGCTTTGAGTGTAATTGGATCAAATATACTTGCCCATGTGGCATGTTGAGTGACGCAAGATTAACTTGTCACAAATCACTATTGACTGAAAACTTACATCCATAGTACTATGACACTTCACATGTTGTTGGATCATCATTTTTGGCCACATGTGTGTTGAGCAATGTTGAATTCACAAACCACCAACTAAATGCTTCACGTTGTGGGTATCATGGTGGTTCGCCTACCATGAGATCTGCTTTATTTGGTAATGTGGCCTATTGAGCACTACTAGATCACAACACACTGCACTTGAAACACATGACATTTAGTCCCACATTAGAGCTTTTTTCGGTGATTAAGCTCAATATATATCAAATTTATGTTCACTAAGCAAGATCCCTTCTCCTAAATAAAATAATATCTAAGACTATCTTGGGAGAAGGTAATAGATGGTTCGCCTTTGTGCATAGACCTGTGTATGATGCTCCTTGTTCCATGACCATTGGCCACCAAGACGTGGCAAGAGAATGACACACACATATACAAAGTGAGTCCTTTGCCACTTGAGCCTAGCTCATGGCTCCTCCAATCTAAGTCTACCCACTCAAGTATAACATCTCTCTCAGTCAACTATCGAGTGCTAGCTTGCTAATGGATGGTGATATTTTTATATTTTATTATAATAATTTTCTAATAATCAAGAATTATGCTAACTCATTTAACTACATACTTCCTAATTTAACAATATATTACTATATTTATTCAACAAGTTAAAACACAAAAATAAAACAATAAAACTATTTAAAACACAAAAATATAGCTTTAACACACAGCTTTTAGTCATTCATTTAAGGTCTAGAGCCCTTTATCCTCTCAATGAAGGTATGGAATTAAGCAATTTACTCATCAAGTCATGATCCCTTACCCATGCACCATGCTCTCACTTTGCATCCTACACTTGGCTTTGATGCCACTTTGTCATTAGTCAAATTGAAAAGTATGTATTATTTTATCAAACATATTTGCCTCAACTATCACACTCCCCAGTGTTGAGCAGCCTTTCAACTCTATGAAAGAAGTCTTTTTTGACACAAGGATAATGTATTTCTCTTTTAGAAATACATATATTAGAGTAAATCTCATTTAGAGTCATGATTTTCTTTATTTGATAGAGTTTTTCATTTATATATGACACCATGTCACCTAGAGGGGGGTGAATTGATAATGTCTTAATTATTTGACTTCTCTTCTTTACTTGATGTTTGGAATTAGGTTGTTAGGTAGGTACTTTTTCAGACAACTGCACTCTCTAAGTGTTGCATACATCCTCACATCCTTAGACTTTTAATAAACTATAAGTGAAATAAATATTGAATTATATGCTTCAATTGTATTTCCACTTAATTGAACGATTACACTTGACCCAAGATCTCACCTATAAATCCTCTTACATTTTCATGAGTTTAGGAGACCAACATAAAGGAAAAATTATTTGTCTCTCTTATATTCACTGCTATAAGAGGCAAAACAAAGGAGACACTCTTCTCCTCCAAATTTACAGATCTAAAGGACCACATGGAGAAGAGCCACTCATTTTCTAACTTCATTACTCTATGTAGACAAAGGAGATTCACTATTTTCTTCTAAATTCAAGACTTTAAGAGGTTAAACATAATTAGTACCTGCTAATCTCTTCAAGACCAGGGTCATAGATAGCTCTCAAGTGTTAATAAACTCTAAAAATAGAGTAACATGTGTTCTCATTATTGATGTTCAACCTGTAGTTTTTTAAAGGCTTCAATCTTGTAAACCTGTCATTTGATAAACTTTGCCATGGAGGAGTCTTGTAGAGCTTGAGAAGTAGCTAGTCAATATTGCCTCTAGGTGCTACAAAATGCAAAAGTCTATCTTGTGCTCCTCAAAGAAAGGTGACAGACGTGTAGGCTTTTTGTCATGATTTTTCTATCAGGTTCTTCCTCTCACACTCTTAGCTCAAGTGGCTTAAAGTGGCTCCTAGGGCCATCTTTTATATCCAATGCATTGGGACGACCAACAGTAGTCTGCAATTGTCCAATATATGTCACATCCCTACACAAAATTGAAACTTTGTAACATTTGTAAATATTTAAATAACCATAAGAAATAAAATTTTGAATTTCCATGTATGGTTTTTTTTCTTAAGTTCCACATTCACATAGCTTTCCAATAAGTACATATCTATGTTTGTGACACCAGCTTTCACATAAAATAATTTTATTAAAGTTCAAGTGTAAATGTTGATTGTCTTATCCTTGAGCAAAACTTCCCAATAATTTTAAGCATGTCAACTGACCTTTCTACCCTTGAGTGGGTTCCAATTATAACTAAAATATTCTTAAATAATCATTAATCTTGAGCATATAAATATATCTTTCAACTAATATGGATATACCAAATTTCCTTTAGTTTATATTATCACCATTAAAATAACTTGGGATCCTAAAGTTGTTAAGGAGTTACCTCATCTCCTTCTTAGATATAAGCTTAAGGGTGCCCATGTAAACTTTCCATATTCTAATCTTTCATATCCATATGCTCTCTTAGTATTCTTATTGTACATTACACCTAGATGTCAAAAAACTCACCCAGATCAAAAATCTAGGGGCTCATCCAAAAATCATGCATTGGTGTGATATCACATACTAGCATCTACGTGTTGCACTCAAATGGCCCATGTGCAGTAACCCAATAAGGTTTCGTATATTATGGGAACCCATAATCATTTATATGATGCGCCAATGGCATACTATAACCTGGTGCCATTGTGCTAATGTATTATCACACACACCATCGGCCGTTTAGTTTTATAGGACACCACTCTAAACATAACTACATTATAGTGATCATGGACGTCTCACAAGCATAGTGTTATGCAGCTGCACCTCTATATGCGCATGCAAAGTGTTGTGCCCATGACAATGTATATGTGCTAACACACCCTCATGCTTGCACCTAGAATGTCACTGCTCCATGACAAAGGTGTCATAGAAATCATTGACGCGTCACTACAATTAATTATACATTATGAACACCTAATTTGAGGCTCCCTACTTGGGAGAATGATTGACTTTCGTAGGAATGTTTTCGGTTAGTTGCTATTTTAGGGTTTTTTTTGCTTTTAAAAGAAATCACTTTATCCACCCATTGGATCTCACGCTTCATTTTTCAGAAACTATGGGCCTTCCATATATTTAAATATAATGCGCCCACAGTCTTTTCTGTTCGTATTCAATGATATCAAAATTTATGTTCTACAAGACCAGAATATATTTGGACTCTTTCGAGAAAACAAAAAACCTTTAATATAACAGAAGTATGTTTGTACAACAAACCGTTCAATTTCATAGCAATACCAATAAGACTGCAAATTACTCCTTTCTGGCGTGAGGACTAGTGATGTGGATGTGGATGCAGCAGCATTTCGAGCGGTTTCATCAAGCTTTATCGCTGAACGTATGACGAAAGTGAGGCCAGCAGACAGACCGATTTCAAAACTTAAGGCCGGCGCGCTGTTTGCCGCAGAGGGCGTGCGTAGCAGTCGACGGCGGCGCTAGTTGCGCCAATTGGCCCCAGCCCCTCACTCCCGCATGAACCTCGCGGCGTTGCGGAGGCCCGATTCCGCTGCCCACTATCGATATCTCTCGCACCGGGATGCTCGCCTCCGTTGCTCAGCTGGCGTCGATGGCGTCCCACGCGTTCAACATGGGAGAGCGGCGTCATCGAAAGCCCAAGCTTGCACCGCTAGCGTGCGGGGAAACGCGCAGATCACAACGCACGGCCGAGCGGGGAATGTCCGGGGAGCCCAGGCCGTGTTCGACAGCATGCCTCATAGGGACGTCATCTCGTGGACCGCCCTTCTGACGGCTTATGCGGATTGCAGGGATATCCGGCAGGCCAGGGAGGTTTTCGACGGAATGCCCAAAAGGAACGTCGCCTCGTGGAACGCGATGATCTCGGCATACGCACGCGAAATGAGGGTCCGTGAGGCCTCGGAGCTGTTCGGGAAAATGCCGTGCCGTAATGCGGTCTCGTACGCCGCCATGATCTCGGGCTTCGCGCGGGCTGGTATGATGCGCGAGGCAGAGGAGTTGTACGCCGAGACGCCGCCCCATTGGAGGGACCCGGTTGCCTCCAACGCTCTCGTCTCCGGGTACTTGCAGCACGGCGATCTGGAAGGAGCTATCCGCGTTTTTGAGGGGATGGCGGCTAGAGATGTTGTTTCGTGGAGCTCAATGGTGAACGGGTATTGCAAGAGAGGGATGATCGAGGAAGCAAGGAAGACGTTTGGGTTAATGCCGCAGAGGAACGTGGTATCGTGGACGGCCATGATTCGCGGGTACATGAAAGCCGGCTTGTGGGAAGACGGGCTCCTGACCTTCATGGCGATGAGGAGAGAAAGCGTGAGCATTAATCCCGTCACGTTGTCGGTAATTCTGGACGCCTGCTCAGAATTGGGTAAAATTCAAGAGGGGAGGCAGACCCATGGATTGATTTTAAGGTTGGGTTTTTGCCGCGACAACTTCTTGGGCAATTCCTTGATAGCCATGTACTCCAGCGTCAAACGTGTGGATGATGCAAGGAAGGCGTTCGACAATATGGAGGAGAGGGATGTGGTCTCCTGGAACTCCATGATCGGCGGGTACGTCCACAGCGATCTGGTGCAGTCGGCGCATGAGCTATTTGAGCAGATGCCGACGAGGGACGTCGTTTCCTGGACCTCGATGCTGGTGGGTTTCTCGAACTCGGGGCGGCTCGCAGAAGCCGTCTGCTTATTTCAGGAGATGCCGAAGAAGGACCACGTCGCCTGGACGGCGATGGTTTCAGGATTCGTCGCCAACGAGGAGCACGAGCTCGCCTTCCGTTGGTTCATTCAGATGCTTCGCCAAGGGATCACCCCCAACCCCCTTAGCTTGAGCAGCATACTGAGCGCCAGTGCGGGGCTGGCAATATTGAGCCAGGGGACGCAGGTCCACGCCTCCGCATTGAAGATGGACATGGAGTCCGACCTCTCCGTCCAGAATGCCCTAGTCTCCATGTACGCAAAGTGTGGGAACCTCCACGACGCCTGCCGAGTCTTTTCGAGCATCAGACATCCCAACGTGGTGTCCATGAACACCATGATCACAGGGCTGGCCCAGCATGGATTAGCAGAAGAAGCACTGAAGCTGTTCAGGAGGATGGAGAAGAAGGGCTGCCAGCCCAACCGCGTGACCTCCCTGGCCTTGCTCTCGGCTTGCTCTCATGCGGGCCGGGTGGACTTAGGGCTCGGGCTCTTCCACTCCATGCGCTCTTCGTACGGCATCGAGCCGGGGCCTGATCACTACACGTGCATGGTCGACCTCCTCGGCCGCGCAGGCTTGCTCGAGGAAGCCGTTGAATTGATCGGGTCGATGCCGGCTGATCCGCATTCGGCAGTGTGGGGAGCTCTGCTGGGCGCGAGTCGAGCCCACCGCCATCTTGCCCTCGCGGAACACGCAGCTGGGCAGATTTTCGAGCTGGAACCCGAGAATGCAGCCGCCTACGTCGTTCTGTCGGAGATGTACTGCTCGGCGGGCCTGAAGAAAGACGAGGAAGACGTTCGGACGGTAAAGAGATCGAGAGGAGTGCGGAAAAATCCCGGCTGTAGCTGGATAACCCTGGGGAACCGAGTCTCCGTGTTCCTCGCAGGCGATAAGTCCCACCCAGATTGGGGGGACATGCTGGCCTCTCTAGCCATTCTCTCAAGAGAGCTGGAACCGATCAGTTGTAGCTGATCTTTCTGATTCGGGTGAAGAATCCCGACGGAGCAACTCCCACTCCTCCCCATCAAATCTGACAGAGATGGGGGAGTGTCCCACCTGGAGACGGTGGTCTAGGAAAATAAAGTGGGCCGCCTCAGATGATCTTCTCATCCGCGGAGGGAGCTGGTGTAAACTAACAAGGAAACACTCACTGCACGTAAGTTACATACAGTGCGCTGGGATTTTCCTTCCCTGTTGTGCTTATTAGTGCCGACTTGTTAGAAGAATCAAGGGGTCAACGGATTTCTGAACTGATGGCGTAATGACAACACACTTTTTGGAAAGTATTCTCCTTAAGAATCAAAGGGTTCATGGAATCTAGGGGGTTTGGCTAGGTCGGTTGATTAGGTTCCCACCAGATTTGAAAGGGATTAGATCGACGCAATCAAGGAATCATCAAAGATTAAGATACTCCGCCATCGATAGATTTCTAGGTACAAAATCATTGAGTGAGTCTTAACTCGGTTGTCAAGCTGGCCCCTACTTGTCCAAGTTTAGTCTGCCTCTTGGGCAACTAGAGACACGGGTGTGGCAGCTTAGTTTTGTCCAGACATGTCACACCATATTGAAAGTCACAAAAGTATCGTTTAAAAGTGCTGCGTCATTTACCAGAGAGATCCACTAAAAAAGGAGTTGACCATGCTGTCACCATTGTGTAAGAGGGAGAAAGAAAGATTTGATATGTCTGGACTTTATTGAATTATAATTGATATGTAAGAGGACTGCAAATTTTATGAGAAAGAAAGATTTTATTGAATTATAATTGATATGTTTGTTTAGAAATATTTTTAAATATTTAAAAATTGATAGTTTCTAGTTTTATAAATTTTAAATTTATGTGATTTATTATAAAACAACTAAGTCATGTCAACACTCATTTGCACTTAATAACTCACTTTCATATAGAAAGATTCACCAATTCTCAAGTGTAGTTCTTGTATAAGGATGATCACTCCTCAAACATTATCTACAACCACTTCTCATTTTTAAAATAATTAATTACCTTTTAAAAAGTTGTGGACTCATCATCATCTCTTACAAATAATGTAAAGGTAACATAATATTTAAGACGAGTATGAGGCTTTACTTCATGACTACTCTATTTAAGAGTAATATAATAAATAATATCTATTGATTCTACAACTTGATATTCATTCATAATAAAACTAGGAGTACTCTACACAGTCCCCACCTTCAGTCTTGCTTTATCTTCAACTTGAGTATTATTAAAATTTTGAATTATATACTTTATAGAGAAAGACTTCAACATGTGATCTTCGTCAAAGACCTCATCTATGTTTAAAATAACATTCTTCATCTCTAAATTTTAAAGTCAATATTCTTTCACATTAGTGCTATAGTTTAAGAAGATACATTTCTTTGACTTTAGATACAACTTTGATCTCTCATCAGCAAGTATAAGGATATATTCTAAACATCTAAATATATATAAATTTAAATAGTCAATAAGGTTTTCAATCTATAACTATTCAGCAACCTTTTTCATCAAGAGTAGAATTTAGTAATCTATTCACCAAATAAGCTACCATACTCATAACTTTTGTCCAAAACTCATTTGGCAAGTCGACATTCAGTCATAAACACCATACTCTTTCAACAATTGTACAATTCATCCAGTCAATAACACTATTTTGTTATGGAGTCTTCTTCACTATATAATGATGTTAAATATCATGTTTATCACAAAATTAATCAAATTCAGAATTCTTAAATTTTATATCATTGTCAATATGTAAGAGTTTGATCTTTCTCCTCATTTGATTCTTCACCTTTGCACACTAAGTTTTGAACTTCATAAATACTTTTGACTTGTGTTTTAAGAAAAATATTTAAACTTTTCTAGAAAAATCATCAACAAAAGGTCAAAAAATAACGAGCACCATCTATTGACATCACATCAATAAGACCACATACATTTGAATAAATATAATTCAACACACCATTTGTATCATATTTCGTTGTCTTAAATGTCACTTTGTATTGTTTTCTTATGATACAATACTTTTCAAAATCTAATTTATAAGTTTCCACACCAAATAGTAATTCTCGTGCATGTAACTTCTACATATTTATCTCAATCATATGACCTAATCGCAAGGGTCATAAAAAAGTGTCATCAATCATATAATCATCATGTTACAACACAAATTCCACTTATAATAGTACTCTTCTCAAGTTTATAAATATTTATTCATTGATGTCTTCTTTTCATCACAACAAGTGATCCCTTGATAATCTTGAGGATATCATTCTCTCTTTTAAAGTAACATTCATTTGCTTTTAATATTATAAGTGAAATCAAATTATAATACAATGTTAGAACATGGCGAATATTTTCAAGCTCTCAAACCACTTTGTCAAACATCTAAACCTTCACCAAACTAATGCCAATAACTTCATAAGTTGTATTATTTCTCATAAAAATAACTCATGTTGCATTCATATATGAGTCAAATCAGTCAACATTAGGACACATAATAAAAATAATCAATATTAAGAATTCATATATTCGACAAGTCATCAGTTATAATAATACTAAAATAGACTTTATCATCTTCTCTATTCTCAACCTTCCCAACATTAACCAAATTAGATTTACCTCTTATTATCTATCACTCTAATTCTTTGGATAATCTCTTCACAAGTGTCCCTTCTCATGACACTTTGTGATAAGTTTAGTTTTTCAATTAATTTATTTGTGACCTGGACTAACTCTTTTTATGTCTTGATAATTCCTTCTCCTTCTGCTTTTCACATTTTCTTTTACCTTTCATGTATAAACCTTCACCACAAGCCTCACCAATATATTTCTTCCAATGATAATATTCTATCAATGAGTCAATAATATCTTCAAGAACATGTACTGTATTACTATGTAATAAAGTCATAATAAGATGATCATATGAATTAAGAAGAAAAATAAGTAGAATAATAACTTTTGTTTTTATTAAAAAAATTTGATTCTATACAAACAAGTCATTCAATAATTGATTAAAATAATCAATATGAGATGCTAAATTATCTCTATCTAATTTACATAATCAAAATAGCTTGATCTTGAATATCAATTTGCTCATCATCGACTTTGGTATACATCACTTCTTCAACTTCTTCTAAAATTCTTTTAGATTATATTCATCTATGACTTTCTAAAGAGATCAATTAGACAGATATGTATGAATAAATTATCTACCTTTCTTCTTCATTATCTCTTAATCATCAACATTAATCTTGTCATGCTTTAATCTATCTAAAGTCTTATACAAGTCAATCTACAACAATGTATCATATACACAATACTTTTAGATATTAAAGTTAGAAGACTTATTCAACTTCTAAATGTCATTGTACATTTTAGAAGTTATAGTAAATATAAAAATAATCAAATAAATATTCTAATATTATTTGTAGGAATAAAAATGTAAGTATAAGATCATAATAACAATAAAAACTCATTTTCTAAACATCAATGAAAATAAATAGAAAATAAATTATCAAATGATTAAAAATTCTGATGGAAATAAGACTTTCATCAAACACTTATAATTCACGCTCAACACCCTCGAGCTGACCCACAGACTGAAGAGTCAGCAATAGACTTTTATCTTCTTCTATGAAGATTTCACTCCTCGTTTTCGCTCCTTCTCCGGCACGACCCCCGAATGGGTCTAACGGGGTGATTGTAACAGGTATGTCACTACCCCTCTCTCCTCACACGTCTTCGAGCGAGTCAGACGGGATATGCTCCGGAACGAGTCAGCCGTGGTGGACTGACACCACCAACACTCATCGCACGTCTCCCGAATGAATCAGCCGTGATGGACTGACACCGCCAACACGCCTCCATCTGCTCGAGGGTCCGAAGAGCTTCCTACATCCGTCGGCGGTCGACATATGCCTTGATCACCGTGTTGTAGACGTACGTGTTGGGTCTGGCCTCTGGACTCCCCTCCATCTTGCTCAGCCAATGCAGACCCTCGTCGATCTTGTTGCAGCGGCAGAGGCACATCACCAGAGAGCTGTATGTGACGACGTCTGTGCGGATGCCTTTCGTCCGCATATTGTACCATAGCCTGTGCACCTGATCTTGCATGCCCACCTCTCAGAGCTTGTCGACGAGGATGTTGTAGCATACAATGTCTGGTCTGCAGCCACACTCGGTCATTTCCTCCAGAACCTTAAGTGCTCGACCTGGAGTTGCAGAGGGCTTGTATAAGGACGGTGAAGGAGACCACGTCGGGGGAATGGCCTTGTTTCAGAAGCCTGAGCAGCTCACAAGCCTCTGCGGGGTGGCCGAACTCCCAGAGGAACTTGATGAACTGCGTGTAAGTGACTACGTCCGGGGAGGGTCCGCTCTTGAGGACCCAAGAGAGAACCTGCAGCGTCACTCTGGAGAGATGGGCTATCCTCGGCGGGTCTCGCGGCGCCCGTCTTAGCCTGACCCGAACAGATTTCTGGTGGAGCCTAGATCGCCGACAGTTCTTGAATTCTCTCGAGGATGAGGTCGCGGGGAACGCCAGAGGAGTCGCAGAGGCTCTCAGATCCCTGAGGCTGCTGCGACATGTGTTCCCAGGCGAAATGGGCATCGGCGGCCGATGCGAATCCTCTAACAGGAAGCAATCGAAGATTGGGTTGAGGATGCTCTCAGCAGGATTGGTGAGAAAGGGTAAGGGATGGAATAGAAGGTGGGGCATCACCCTCTGAGACGCTCACGATTCCAGGCGAGAGTCGTCATCTTCTAGCCCGTTTTTTTCGCATTTGATCGAACAGAGGACAGGCATGACCAAAGATTCTGAGAAGCAAACCGCAGCCTTCAGTTAAACGAAAGCTCACATCGCGGCAGAGGAGAGGATAGAGAGTGACGGGACTGTTCACCCCATTTCCCCCTCAGTCTTGGCGCGCTACCGGTCGCGGTGGTTGCCTCCGGCAATCCTCTGCACCCTTCTAGCAGCCGCTACCTCCGCCGCCGCCGCCGCAGCTCCAACAGGATGTCAGTCAGAAGAGATCCTCTCTCCGCAGAGGAGCCACCACGCGACCTATTGACGACCCCCCAGATGTGGATGGGTTATCAATCGGAAGAATGCTTTCAGATGAAACCGGGATGCCCACTTGGGAGGAGGAATTCTCTAATTAAGCTGGAATCTAATTGAAAGGGGCCAGTTTCACGTGTGGGGATGAAAAAAAAAAACTTGGTCCCTTACCCGTTCGCTGTGGGCTACGATCGAATGTGGTGGGGCACTTGTGTCACTGCCTCATCTTGTTTCGATCGAAAAACCTACTCACATCTTATCGACTTCAAGCTTGGGAGTGAGGAGGAAGAGCCCAACGGCACTGCCTCATCTTGTTTCTAGTCGGCACTGGCGACCAGCCGCCTCTTTCTGTTTCCTCTTTCCGACATCAGCAACCACAAACTTAGGACGTCCTAAACCGCTCCCCCCCATCCCCATCCCCATCCCCATCCCCACTGCACACGTCTACTCTGACCATGGATGAAGACTCCCTGGCCACGGCTAACTCCGATATAAGAGAGCCCTTTCCTCTTCCGAGCTCCGCAGCTTTCAGACTCGCCTCAGGTCACTTCTCCTTCGACATGTCGAAAGTGTTTTTTCTGGTCTTCGTCTTGTCAGCCCTGGTCGAAGTCCACTTCTCCCTGAAGCCGGCCTCCGCCATTAGCTGCCTCGACATAGACCTCGCTCTCCAGCAGTGCGTCCCCCAACCTGGTCGGGAAGGCCCCGACACCCTCCACCGCCTGCTGCGACGGTGTCCGGCGTGTCAGGAGAATGACCCTCACCGCCGCGGGAGCGCCTCGCCTGCGGCTGCGTGGAGGACGCCGCCGCCCACGTCCATGGGCTCAACGACGAGGCAAAGGTCACGCTCCCGGCTAAGTGCAACACCTCCCTTCCCTATCCAATCTCCACCAACTTAGACTGCAACCAGTAAGTGCACAGTCTCGGAGCTTACGGCCAAGGCTCATCTGCGACCTGGTGGATGTCTGCGACTTTCTATTCCATGATCTTGTCTGCTCCATTCTCTTCTGGTTCAGAATCAACTAGCCCCCGGCGGAGCGATGGGGAAAAAAGAGAAGATGCCCATATCTTCTCTCTGGACATCGACGTCCGGATGAGGGGAGCCAAGAGTGCGAACTTGCCCCAGGAAGAGGGCGAGGAAGAAGAAAAAGAATAACTCGTTTGCGAATGTACGAAGAGATCGTGAACTGACGTGGAATAATGAACTCCGAGGCTCCGAGGATTTGCACGTACTGATTGGAGCTGTGTCCGATACACGCTCGAAACCACACTCACTTGGCGATGAATAGAGAAGAAAATTAGATGGGAACTGAATCAAGATTACCGACTGTGGGGACGAGGGGTTCATGTCGCTCCTCGATTGACGGCGGCTTCGTGGTGGGGTTTGACTTCGCTTCCCCTTTCTTCTTTGGATTCTTGACAATCGTGGAGAGTGTCATTTTAAGTTTTCTTACTTAGGTAGGTGTTGACGAGTGTTGACCAAAACAACTGGGTAGTCCGCTCGATAGGATTGAGTTGTGAATTCCTGAGATAAAAAAGCCACATAAAATGAAACCCACCAGTAGACAAGCTGATCTGAGGATCGGAGATGAATTCAAGTGCGAAAATAAGACTAACTTGGCTTCCAAGATCTAGTCAATACGGCTCTCAAGATCCGGCCAATGGTCAATCTCTTTTGTTGTTGCTCTTCTTCCAAGAACAGCCCATCTTCTCTTGATGCCATTTAACGCCGAGAACAGTCTGTCTACAGCTGGTTTCTTTCCTTGTACGTGCAACGAGGGCCAACCAGATCTCGCCTCTTCAATAAACGGAAAAGGGGGAGAGCCATCGAGTAGAATACACACGCAAGGGAAGAATAAAACCATGAACTATGTCCAAATTCGAAACCACATAATTGCCCTGCGAAAGGACTGGTTTTTATATCCCCTCCTCCCGTCTTAGAAGACAAGCTGAAGCTGAGCCTCCTACTCCTCCGCTGTCGGCACGGAGCACGGCCCAGTGGGACTTCGACAGCCCACCATGTTGAGCACAGTTGAGAATATGAGCCAAATCTCAACAGATTGGATCAGGTGGGGTGGATAATTCCATATATTTTATCAGAAAAATTCAGTCAAGGCATGTAAATTGCTCGTTAGTTTTGAGCCCCAACCGGCGGCCTGCTCTCCCCCAGTACTGCCGCTTGTCTGCAGGCCAATCATCCATCACCAGTCAGATTTTATTTCGCTGCAAGTAAGCGTATTATATTGGTGAACCCCGATGAAGTCGGCGACTCTGTGGGACTCTGTCGAGGTAGAATCTAGGTAAGCGAGAACGCATGCAGTACGAATTGTGCGATGAGTTTGGACGCATAGCTGCATGAGGATCGCAATGGCGGCTCCGGCGGGGGTCTTGGATGGTCCCTCTCAAGACCTAAGGCCTGACAGATTACCGAGAGAAGATGAGAGAGGGACAGAAGGTGAGAGCGTGTGCTCGACGAAGATTCATAGACGTGGGATATATCGGCTCCTGTTCCGCGGAGATAGATGAAATGCCGGTCCAATCATAACACCCATCATGCATCCCCTCCCTCATCCTCAAGTTCCCTCTCGCTGAGCTATCTGAGACGTCATCTTCCTCCGATGCGTGTGGCTCATCAAGATCTCGACGAAGAGGTTGAACCCAGCGAGAGAGAGAGAGCGAGAACAACAACGATGAATGAATCGTCGGGGGAGAGAGAAAAGGTGGCGGGGGGGGCTACAAAGCGGAACACTTTGTGCTCCCTCCTAGCCAGACAGCTTCGCTTTCCTCCGCACCGCCAAAGGAGTCGGGGGGCGCGAGCCCAGCTGTGGCCCTCCCCTGTCGAAAGGGAGTCCTCCTTCCGGGCCCCCCGAGCTCCCATCCGGATGGGCTGCCCCCCCCATACGCCTCCGAGAGCCGCTCCCATCGAATATGGCCCTCGGCGTCCTCGTTCATGTCCACAAGGAAAAAACCCAGTACTACCTCGATTGTGTGGTCTGGTTTTTCATGATATGGGCTACACGGAGAACATGTTATGAGAGAGAGAGAGAGAGAGAGAGAGATGGGCTGGGGTGCTGCTAGCCTAAATCTCCGTGTGGCGATCCAATCGGCTTCGGAATGGATGGCACTCAGATGTTCTTTTCTCTGGTCATGATGCCCCGTCAACACTTTTTGACGCCTTTGACCCTCCCCTTTGACCCACCTGCTCTTTAGAAGTGCATGCGTAGAGCGGCCCCGCCGGAAAAAGGAAAAGGAAAAAAAAAGAAAAAAAAAGTACAGGGATAGGGGGGGGCCAGCCCGCTGGTCTTGTATAGATCCTGGAGTCTGACTTTGACCGCTACTTACGAAGCGTAGGCAGGCATGCGTACGAACAAGTACTAAGACAAAAAAATACATCCTGTCTATTTGCATCTGCGCGGGCAAATCTTCTCTCCCCCCGCGTCCTTCGGAAAATGTAGTGCCACGTCAGCAATGGCCCCCGCTTGATGACGTCAGATTGCGGCCCTTTTGACGGCGGAGGCAAGTCCGCCCTCCCCCCCCCCTCCGTGCGCTCTGCAAGCGCTATATATGTCACCTGCTCCCCCCATATATTTTCTCTCACCGTCGACCTCCTCCTCCTCCCTCTTCAGCTCCGGCAGCAGGCTCCCGCGGCCAGATAAGATGTTACGGAAACCGCCGCGCGAATCGGAGGAAGAGGTCGGCCACACGTCCTCGTCCGCCTCCTCGACCACTGCCAGCGGCGGCGGCGGCGGTAGCAGCAGCAGGAGCAGCAGCTCCGGCCGCCGCAGCAGTGGCGGCAGCAGCGTCTCCCCTCGGGCCTCTTCCACCTCCTCCTCCACTGCTCCTCTGGCCAAAGTGGGCGTCTCCCCTTCGCCGCTGACAGGGCCGGCGAGCTCCTGGTCGACGCCGCTCCGCGAGGGTCCCCGTCTTCTGTCACTCCCCTCCCGAAAGCCCCACCGCTGCTCCGACCCCGCCTGGGTCGCCATCTGCGGCCTCGGTGGTGACGTGGGACCTCGGGATTTCAAGCTCGTCCGACGACTGGGCCGAGGGGACATCGGCACGGTCTACCTCTGCAGGCTCCGCGACGAGCACCACTGCCGCCGGAGGAGCGAAGGGCAGTCCCAGTACTACTACGCGATGAAGGTGGTGGACAAGCGCGAGCTGGCGAGGAAGAAGAAGCTGGGGCGGGCCGAGGCGGAGCGGCGGGTCCTAGGGGCCCTCGACCACCCTTTCCTTCCCACCCTCTACGCCGACTTCGACGCTAACCCTCACTTCTCCTGCGCCGTCATGGAGTTCTGCTGCGGTGGTGACCTCCACTCCCTCCGCCACCGCCAGCCCCACAAGCGCTTCCCCCTCGATGCCGTCAGGTGCGCGCTCCGCTCAACGATCATCTACGGTGGGTGCCCTCCTCTCGGGCTTACCTTCGTCTGTTTGCTTCTTCCTTACAGGTTCTACGGGGCGGAGGTGCTGATGGCGCTGGAGTACCTGCACATGCTGGGCATCCTCTACCGGGACCTGAAGCCGGAGAACGTCCTGATCAGAGCCGACGGGCACATCATGATCTCCGACTTCGACCTGTCCCTCGAGTCCACAGCCTCCCCCGCCGTCCACTTCTCCCCCGCTCCTCCCCCCGCGTCTCCCCGCACCTCCCCGTCCTCTGGTATACTCGGTCGCCTCCTGCGTTTCCTGAAGCCCCCGCGGATAACGAAAACGGAGGGGGGCAGTAGCTTCGCGCGGAGCCGGTCGACGAGGTCCTGTGCCTCGGCGGCGGGTCGGATGTTCGTGGCGGAGCCGATCGAGGCGCGGTCCAGTTCCTTCGTGGGAACCCACGAGTACGTGGCGCCGGAAGTGGCCTCCGGCCGCCGCCATGGCGCCGCCGTTGACTGGTGGGCTTTCGGCGTCTTCCTCTATGAGCTGGCCTGCGGTCGCACCCCGTTCGCTGGAGACACGAACGCTATCACCCTCCGGAACATCGTCCAGTCGCCGGTGGCCTTTCCCCGGCATCCGTCGACCGACCCCCGGCTGAAGGACCTCATCTCGAGGCTCCTCCGCAAGGACCCAGAGAGGCGGCTGGGGGCGGCGCTCGGCGCTGCAGAGGTGAAGGCCCACCCCTTCTTCGAGGGGCTCAACTTCGCCCTTCTCCGGTCGCAACGGCCGCCGGTCGTTCCGGGGTCGGCGAGGAAGATAGCTCGCCGAGAGACGCCGCCGCGTTCCCTCGACGTGTGGTTCTAAGCTGCGGCAGCTAGAAAGTGCCGTGGCGGCGGCGAAATCCCCACCATGTAAAGATCTCGCAGAGTAAGAACGGCGGCGGCTCAACTGCCTTCTTCTTCGATTTATCATACTCCGTCGTCCGGGAAGTTCTGGGCTTTTGTCGTCCATCTCGTCCTCTGCCTGTCCAACATTCATCGGCTCGCTCTGCGCAATGAGCTCTGCACTGATCGCCTCCCCCTGCCTGTTGCACTGATCCGCCCGGTCTTCACTACGAACTTGCACCGCTGCAGGAGCATTTAATCCGCGCGGAAACCCGCCAAAGCAGCCGACTGCCCCGGGGTTTTTAATGAACTCGTTCGTCAGAACTCTTCGCTAGGGCTGTAGAGGGGGGGCCTCATCCCCCACACGCTACCACCGCCGCCTCATCCTCTCGCTGCGGATCGGTCGTTGAGATCACAGCGACTGTTTTCCTGAAAGGGATAAGCCCCCGGTCGTTTCGAAGGAAAGGCGCTATTAATGCGTCCCCCGGAGGCTGGGCGAGTTTACTCCTCTCTGCTCCGACCTGACCCGCCATTGATGATGGTTGCTTGCTCCGTGAACAAGCGTCGCCGAGACAGGAGGCCCGCTATTCGTCTCCTCCTCGAGGCATTCCCCTTGGACCTTGTGTTCCCGGCGGCCGAGATTTCGCCAGGGTTAATACCAGGCGGGGCAGAGGAGGAAGAAGGAGCGCCCCCCCCCCCGGCCCCTCGTGTATCCTTCCTGCCTGCCTGCCTCTCTCTCTCTCTCTCTCGCTCTCTACGTCTTGTTCTTCCTGATTCTCTTCTCGAACTGGAGCCGGGGAGCCGGTCGGAGATGGCCCAGACCGTCTCACAGACGCGGCCCAGGCCGAAAGTTGACTGGGCCCTGGGCCGGGGCTCTCTTCTGGGCCGCCACGTGGACTCACGATTATTTAGTATCAGAAAAAGAACGAGCACCGGCCATTCGGTGTCCTTCCCTCACCGACAACTGCCGGTCAGGCGCGACCCAAATCTCGAGCGAGTTATTGAGCGGGGGCCGGGCCCGCAGAGCCTGCGGTGACCTGTTAAATTGTCTTGTTCTCTGTTAGGAGGAGGGTTCCTGGGGGAACAGCCAAAACTAGCATTTTTGGGTCGTCCTCTCTCCTCCTCCTCCCCTTAGAAGTGATCTTCGAGCTCGGGGAGCCGAGGGGTTACCAACCTCCTCTCCCGGCCCCCACCCCGCTCTCTGTTCATCGTTTGCAAGGCGAGGGTGCCGGAAGGAGATGGCGTCGTCGGCCCTGGACTCTTGGGCTAGGGATTACGGCGAGGCCGCTAGGCTGGCCGATGAGGTCGCCACCATGGTCGCCGAGAAGGGCTCCTCCTCCTCCCCCTTCCCCGGTGGTGCCCATCAGGAAGCCAGGCGGCAGGCGCCGGCTCTGCGCAGGAAGATCACCATCCTCGGCGCCCGCTTGGACGGCCTCGAGTCTCTCCTCTCCAACATCGTCGCTCTGCGGCCGCCTCCGTAGGAACCTTCCTGAACCCGTGGATCGAATTCCGGATAAATGCTGCTGTTATGTCTTATTTTTACCAACTCTTCGCTCTACATTCCGATAGATTCTTGATATAATCCCCTGAAATGCCTGATCCCCTCGCGCTGGACTCCCTCGCTATCAATGAGAGAGTTGGTAATCTGAAGCGCGTCAAGGAAACTTCTCCGTGTCGTCGACAATGGGTTCGGTTTGATGGGTGCCCGCCCCCACCGTCTCGCCTAGTATACTCTGAACTTCCTGATCAGACCGTTCGCCTTTACAAGGGTTCGAAGTCTGCCTACTGGCGAGGAGCATGGAGAAAGATGCTAACTGAGCGCGTATCGTTTACTGAACTGTTTGAGGTAGTCAAGCCCGTCGCTGCAGCAGGCCCCCGAGATGGAGACAGCTATCGATCGTAGAGAGTGTTTGGAGACGAGTGCAATCTTCAATCCAGAAGCTCGACGGAACGGGGCGATGATCAGGGACCAGCCATGAAAGATAATGGCCGGATGCTTTATCGTATTCTTTTGTTCTTGTCATTTAAATCAGTTTGGGAATGCGAGAGGGACTCTTCCAGATGCAGGATTGGATCGGGATGATCTTCCGGTCATTGATTTATTTGTTTATATTTCTGTCAGATTCATCTGAGGGAAGACTTACCATGTATTTTGATAACTGCAATAGCCTTCATTTATCTGTGTTGAGAACGGTCTAGTGGAGATGTGGAAAGAGACGAAGATATGCCGCATTGATGAGATATCTGGGCGCCGTTGAAGCGGATTTGTAGATGTTGCAGCTTTTAGTCTTGAGTAATCACGGGCTTGAGCTCTGTTGACTTTCTCTTCTTTTCCTGGTCCATCCCTTGTGCAGAGCAGAGAAGGAGCTGCAACGGCGTTGGGTCATGCTCGCAAACCTCAGATCTAAGACGAAGCAGATGGCCGCCGCATCGAACATGCTAAATTTCGCCAGCAGGTAGATTGCCAACTGAATCCCTCTCGGTCAACTCTGTTTACTCGTCGTAGATTCAGCCAGATGTTCTAGTTTGGTGCTCGCATTATGAGATCTTTTGTCACATCTTTTTGCATGAAAGCAGGGAAGATCTGCTCGGACAAGGTGGGAAACCTGCGGACGGAGTGGACAGAACTGCAGGCCTGGACAGCCAAGGGATCATCGGGCTCCAGCGGCAGATCATGAAAGGCAGGCTTCGACTACCCTCCACCTTTCTTGTTCATGGAAACACCCAGTGCGATCTTCTCCCATGACAAAAGTGGGTCTGGTTCCTGTGCGCCGCAGAGCAAGATGATGGGCTGGTGAGGCTGGAGGAGACGGTGCTGAGCACAAAGCATATCGCCTTGGCCGTCAACGAGGAGCTGGATCTTCATGCTAGGCTCATCGTACGATGGCGTTCTCTCCCCTACACGGGCGCTTCTTCTTTCTTCTTCTTATCGATTAATGGCGGCGGGTTCCTTGACCTGGTGCAGGATAGGTTGGATGCGCATGCGGACTCGACGAACTCGCGCCTGCAGGTAACTCCGCCGCTGACCCAGAAGTCCACCAAGACGATGATAAATCAGATGGCCATTGTTTTGAGGCTTGATGGGTCGCGCTGTGTCTGTGGAGGGGGTTGACTTTGTGGTTGCTGACTTCGTGTCCGCAGAGGGTGCAGAAGAGGCTGGTGATCCTCAGCAGGAACGCCAAGGGAGGGTGCTCCTGCATGTGCCTGCTCCTATCGGTGATCTCCATTGTGATCCTCGCTGTCGTGGCCTGGGCCCTCGTCAAGTACTTGTGAAAGGGAGAGGAGCGGGGAGGGCTCGGGCTGTCCTCCCTCTCTGCAATTCTGTATTCCTGTTTTCATGCAGTCTAGAGGAGATTGCATGGATGTTCTTGAATAAGGCGATTCTCTGTTTTCAATGGATTGTGTACGTTTTCTCTCTCTAGATTCCCCAGATGAGGTGGGGGAGGTGGCCACATCTCGTGGTCGCGCTCCGCCAGCTCCCTGCAGAGCAGAGAGAGAGAGAGAGAGTATTGGAGGCGTATTCTGAGGTGTAGAAGATTCCGCGAAGAAATGGGTGTCTGCCACATCAATCGAACGGCGGAGAGGAGGCGGCTGTCGGCCGTCGCCATGGGCCCCGTCGGATGTCCACCGGACGGTGACGATGAGCAGATTTTGGTCGGTTGGCGCCCGGGAGGCGGGGGGGGAGGTGGAGGGGCATCTATCGAAAACCTTATCGTGTAGGCGCTGACGAGCCGAGAGGTGGCCACGTACCCCGCGCATCGACCACGCGGGAGCAAGGGGCCTCTGTTGCCACAGGTTCGTCTCGCACAGAAGATGCGATGGGTGGTGGGTAGACCAGACCAGACCGACCAGGCGAAGGCGGAGATGTTGAAGCCCAGTTGGAATAGAGGGGGAGGAGAGAGAAGTACAACCCAATCCTCAGCCCCGTACGTCCTTCTCCTCTCTTCTCTCCCGCTTCCGCCGAGAGGGAGGGTTAACTGAGAGAGCCCCCGAGGCGCCTTCCCGTCCAGGTAACCCAACCCTCTCTCGCGTGCCTTCTCCTCCATTGGCATTACCGCTCTGGCCGTGGCTGCTGCCATAGGGCGGAGGTCAGGGCTTCTGGTTCCTCCCCCCGAGAATTAAGAACCCGGGAGTTTTTTTCCTCTTCCCTTCTCCTCTGCCGGGTAACTTCCCCGGAGCGATTCTCTGCCCTATGCCCGTTGAATATCAACTGGGTTTTGCCGCTAGCGACGCCCGGAGCCCGCCCGGAAAGTGAAGGGGGAGCCTTCCTGTTCGCTCTTCGTGTGCTATGCTGTGGATCGTGGGCTCTTTGTGAAGACAACCTGATGGCCTCTCCTGCGACACTGGCGACGTTGGGAGGCGCGAGGGCCAGTCCTTCTGGGGGGCTGGACTGCTGCTCCTCCCCTTTGGTGCTGGGGAGAATCCGGGTGGTGTCTAGGATAACCTACTCGAATTGTCTGCTGACGCGGCGATGGGCTCACGGTGTCTGCAAGTGCATGGTGAGGACGGATCTGATGGAGAAGGGGAGCACGGAGTCTGCCATTAGAGGCGCCAGCAGCCCCATCAGCGGCGCCAGCAGCATCAGCAAGGATGAGAACTCCGACATTATTCTCAAGCCTGCTCCCAAACCAGTTTTGAGCGCGCGCCCGAGTTCCCCGGTGGAACCCGTGAGCCCGACCCCCTGGAGCCCCGCAAAGCTCGTCCGCGACGACCGGGTAGAGAGGGCGGCGGAGGACAGGGAAAAGGTGATAGAGTCGCTCGGGGAGGTCCTGGAGAAAGCCGAGAAGCTGGAAGCATCGACCTCTGTAAAATTGACTGGTAGAGAGGCTAAGACTGAAGGTAGGTTAAACAACAATAGTCCTAGAGTAGGTAAGCCAGAACCTGAGAGTTCAGCTCTCCGGAAGTCGAAGACGCTCAAAAGTGTGTGGAGGAAGGGCAGCCCGACCGCCAATGTGGAGAAGATCGTTAAGGAAGTTCAGAAAGTCAACAAGGAGCCAGAAGAAGGGAGTCAGCTTCCGCCGGTGGCAGAGTCCAGAAGGTCGGACGCACAGCCTCGGGCCCCCATCAGAGCTCAGCCTCCTTCCCAATTTGCGCCGAATTTACAGGCGAGACCTGTGGTGGCTCCCCCTCCAGCTCCGCCTGCAGTGAAGAAGAGTGTGGAGCGGACTCCCATCCTTATAGACAAGTTTGCGTCCAAGAAGTCAGCTGTTGATCCTATTATAGAGCAGGCAGTGCTGGTGCCGATGAAGCAGGGAAAAGGGCCTCCTCCTTCGAAGGTCAAGGAGGAGCGGCGAAGGAAATCAAATACCGCTGGGGGTCTGCGGCGGAGATTGGTCCAGGACGGCAGCATTCCAGCGGAGGATGCTTCGGAGCTGGATGTCTCAATCCCTGGCGCTACAGCCAAAAGAACAGGGAGAAAGTGGAGCAAGGCAAGCAGGAAGGCAGCAAAGCTCAAGGCCTTAGCTGCTGCAGCTCCTGTGAAGGTGGAAATTCTTGAGGTTGGCGAAGAGGGCATGCTGATCGAAGACCTGGCTTACAGTCTGGCGATCAGTGAAGCAGATATCCTCAGCTATCTGTTTGCAAAGGGTGTCAATCCTGATATGGCGAGCACCTTGAACAAAGACATGGTGAAGATGATATGCAAGGAGTACGAGGTAGAAGTTATAGAAGCAGAAGAAGTCAAAGTGGAACAGATGGCGAAGAAGAAAGAGGTGTTTGACGAAGAAGACTTGGACTTGTTGGAAGAAAGGCCCCCCGTCATCACAATCATGGGCCATGTGGATCACGGAAAGGCATGCTTCTTCCTCAATTTTATTTTCTACGATGTTAGCCATTCATATTAAGAAGACTGGTCCCTGATGCCATGTCTCCATTGTTCTTTCCATTTGCAGACCTCGTTGTTGGACTATATCCGGAAGAGTAAGGTAGTGTCTCTCTCTCTCTCTCTCTCTCTCTCTCTCTCTAAAGAAAGAAGCCATCTACATTTCTCATTACACCAGACACCTAAGGGATGACGGCTAGAATCCTACAGGTCGTGGCATCTGAAGCAGGAGGAATAACACAAGGCATTGGAGCTTATAAGGTTGAGGTCCCCTTTGATGAAGGGCTTGCATACTGTGTTTTTCTTGACACTCCTGGGCACGAGGTAAGCCAGGAAGATTTCAAAGCATAGTTTTAGCTCAGTGCAAATGCTTCAGTAATCCATTTAGCTTGGTCCAGAGATGATGTAATATCTGTCTTTTAGGCATTTGGCGCCATGAGGGCGCGTGGAGCGAGAGTTACCGACATCGCCATCATTGTTGTGGCTGCTGATGATGGCGTCCGACCTCAAACGAGTGAAGCCATTGCTCATGCCAAGGCAGCCGGGGTGCCCATTATAGTGGCAATAAATAAGGCAAGTCTTGTTGCTTCCATTGTGAATCTTTTAGTTGGTTTGTGGGTTTTAAGTATATTTTATCCATATCATCCCATTATGCTTCCTCAGATAGATAAAGATGGAGCTAATCCAGATCGTGTGATGCAAGAGCTGTCCTCGGTTGGTCTGATGCCTGAAGATTGGGGTGGCAATGTTCCGATGGTTAAGGTCATTCTCTCTTTTCTGCGACATGCAGTGATATTGCCTACTTTCCCGGATGCCCACAGGGTGCTGATGCCCAATCCGTTTCTCCTGCAGATCAGCGCTCTTAAGGGAGAGAATGTGGATGAGTTGCTGGAGACTGTCATGCTCGTTGCCGAGGTACGTGCCATCTGCTTTTTTCCTACTTTCTTGGCTATTTATCTGCGCGTTTTGCATGCGGGTATTCCATTCTATTCATGGTATTTCCCTCTTCCTATTCCATTCTGAAGCTACAAGAATTGAAGGCAAACCCTCATAGAAACGCAAGGGGCACGGTAATTGAAGCGGGTCTTGAGAAATCTAAAGGGCCAATGGCCACATTCATCGTGCAGAATGGTACACTCAAGAAAGGTGATGTTGTAGTCTGTGGTGAAGCGTTTGGTAAGGTTAGTGATCATTATTATCCCAAAGTGTTTGCACTGTGAAAATTTTCCCATCTTGGCAATAGGACTAGATTACTCCATGCTCGGACGAATAATTGGCATACAAAAAATGTCATGTGATCAGGTCCGAGCATTGTTTGACGATAGAGGAAAGCGTGTCGATGATGCTGGTCCGTCAATGGCTGTGCAGGTACTGTTCTGGGTCTCTTACTTTTCTTATCTTAATCTCCTGCCATCTTCTTAGATTTCATCTCCAAATCAAGTCTTGCAGTGAGTAAAATAAGATGCTTGAGGGGTAAAAGTTTTCACTTTTTATCTCTTCCCTGTGAGTGATTGTTCAAAGCGACTTTTTTTATTTTATGGGAGTGACCATTCATTATATTACCAACATTTATGTGCTGGTGCAGAATTTAGAATGTCAAAGGTTTATTTGATAAGTTGGGTTCTTCTAGCTGTGGTGATGGTATAGGTAGATGCTCCAGGAATCATGTGTTCATCCGTCAAAGTATCAGACATTGGTGATTGATCCACTTCGAATTTCTTTTCATCTCATATTTGGCGATTTAGGTATTTGGCACGATGGACACAGAGATAATGCTCAGAAATTACATTAGGTTCAGAACATAGACTCTTGGAAACTGAAGAAAGTGTATATATTTCAAGAATTGTGCAATGACACTAGCATTCGACGGGTAATTGATACTCTAATATTTCAGCGAACCCGAGTGTTCAATAGGAGCTTATAGAGCTAAGTTGCATCAGGAGAGCGGCTGAGTTGGATTTTACTGTTAATGACTTAGGTTGACTTTGACACCGGCTTCTAGAGGTCTATTTGTCTGAACTTTCTTTAGGGGGCATATCTTTTTAAAGCTCTAGTCGTGAGATTCATCCCGTTCTAATGTGTTAAAAGGATTGGATATATGGATCGGACAATCCAGATATGTTGGATTGTACTTTGATAGACCTTCATCCCAACTTTAGTTGATCTTTAGCAGAATTGCGGTTATACGAGTGGCATTCTTCAATCCATTAGACAAAACTTTAAAAAAGACAGATATCTGGCATTCGACGATAATTTTAATGCTACAATTTAGTTCTTTATAGTCAATTTTCTATTTCGGGTTTTTGTATTTGTCATTTTACTATTCACACGGTTTTCCTTCTTTATATAATGATATCCATGGTTTAAATGATTATTTATTGATCCCCAAAAAATTATATGCGCCTATGAACTAGCACCAACTACGAATCCTGTCGTATTCTTATAATGATCGCCAGTTAGTACTAAAGGGGGTATATTGATAGAAGCAATCGAGGGTTGGTGCTGAAATGAAGTTATTATATTTATTTTAATCGCATAAAAGGAAGAAGAATTCACTTCTTCTTGGGGGATGCTGTCCCTCTCAGTGGCTGCTAGTTTAGCTCCATGTCAACGCTTATGGAAAGAAGGCTGGGGAAAATCCACTGTCTCTCAACATTTGATCGCAGGAGCTGGTGAGATAAACTGGGTTTACAGGGTTGGGGCCATCTTACTGAGATCATTCTCTCAGAAGAGCACCTGCAAGCCACCTCGTTATTTCAGAACCAGTTCCTAACCCGGCTGCATGATCGATGATCTCTCCTTCACCCCAACTGAAGAATTTGAGCAGAACTGATTCCCCTGTTACCAACCTGTTGATTGGACGTATAGATCTCGTATAGCTGGCAAACTGGGTAGTTTTGTATCCTGTTTTGTATGCTTCATTCTCTTCTACCCCAGGTCATTGGACTAAACAACGTCCCAATCGCCGGGGACGAATTCGAGGTCGTTGACTCGCTGGACGCTGCTCGTGAGAGGGCGGATGCATGCGCTGAGTCTTTGCGTGCTGCGAGAATATCCGCCAAGGTCGGAGAGGGGAAGGTCACCCTGTCTTCTATTGCTTCCGCCGTTTCAGCCGGGGGCCAGTCCGGGCTAGACATGCATCAATTGAACATCATACTGAAAGTCGACGTCCAGGTACGCGCGCACTCTCATCGCTCTCTTGAGAAGATTTTGTCAAAGACGGGAAGCTGAAGGTTTGATCTTCTTTCTTTGACCCAGGGATCGATTGAGGCGATCAGGCATGCGATTCAGGTGCTCCCGCAGGATAATGTCACCCTGAAGTTCTTGCTACAGGCGCCGGGGGATGTGAGCACCAGCGACGTTGATCTGGCCGTCGCAGCAGAAGCGATAATCATTGGTTTCAACGTGAAGGCGCCGGGTTCTGTTAAGAGCCATGCTGACAAGTGGAATGTCGAGATTCGTCTATATAGAGTCATTTACGATCTGATTGATGATCTGAGGAAGGCCATGGAAGGGCTTCTCGAGCCCATCGAGGTGAGGAGAATTTTCTTCTTCTTTTTCTTTTTTTTTAAATGAATTGAAATCAGCAGCGATTACCTCACGCTCTCCCTCTCTCTGCTCCCATCTCTTAGGAGCAAGTGCCCATAGGATCAGCAGAAGTTCGTAAGGTGTTCAGTTCAGGCAGCGGTCGGGTAGCCGGATGCATGGTGGCAGATGGGAAGTTGGTGAAGGACTGCGGGATTAAGGTTGTGCGCAGGGGGAAGACCGTGTACACGGGGAAGCTGGATTCTTTGCGAAGGGTGAAGGAGGAGGTGAAAGAGGTATTCTTCCGGCCCACCCACATGCGCTCTGACGATCGCGTGCAATTCATCTCTCTCACTGCCTCAATGGGGCTCTTGAGATCAGTGAACGAGGGGCCGACTATATCTGATGAGCCCCGTCTCGTCACTTATCGTCGCCCTCCCTTCCACGGGTCGTCCCCGTGGGGGCAAAGTTTGAGAAAGATATCGTGCCCGACTTCACCAAATTTTTGCTCTCTCTCTCTCTCTCTCTCTCTCTCTCTCTCTCTCTCTCTCTCTCTCTCTCTCTCTCTCTCTCTCTCTCTCTCTCTCTCTATCTCTCTCTCGCTCTGTCAGTCGCTGTTAGCTCATAGACCAAACCCACCATCTCAGGCCATTCGTCTGATTCGTTCATTCATTCTCTCTCATGGGCTCTCTCTTTATCTCTCCGTCGTCTCAGGTTGGTACGGGGCTCGAGTGTGGAATCGGCGTGGACGAGTACATGGACTGGGAAGTCGGGGACGTCATCGAGGCCTTCAACTCCGTCAAGAGGCGGCGCTCCCTCGAGGAAGCGTCCGCGTCGGTGACGGCGGCGCTGTCTGGAGCCGGCGTCCAAGTGTGAGTCCTCCGTGGTTCGGAAGCCCTCCCAGAATCGCCCATCTTCTTCATCGCCGCCGCCTGTGAGATTCTGTCCGCTTCGTCGTACCAAAAATGGCAGCTTTGGAGGCGCACGGCTGTTTGTTTTGACCTCCCATTGTTGAATTGCATTACGTTACGTGTGTATATAAATGGGCATGCCTGAATTTTTTTTCTTCCTTCCACGGCGGCATTTATTCTGCCATCTGTGTGCTTCCCCCACAGCGATTGTAACAGCTGAAGAAAGAAAGCCCTTGAACCCAGTTGTTGAATACACGCCGAGGTTGGCGCCTCTCTCTCTCGCTCGTTCTCTCGCTCTCCATCTTCATAGGCGTAGATAAGCGACCGCCTCATGGTCTTCATCAGTCCCCGGCTTCGTCCTTCTTGTCGCCGGTCTGCCAGACGATGTCTTTCAGCCCGCTGGAGATGTTCTTGTAAACCTGAGGAAGGTCGGTCGGGATCGCGATCGCTCAGCGCTCGATGGAGGAGGAATCAAATGGGAGAGTGAAAAAGGTCGAGAGGAAGGCGAGAAACCCTCACGCCAGACCTTGTGGAACTCGAGGGTGTCGCCTGTTGACTTGCGGAGCTCCACCATGTGCAGCGAAGGGGCCACCTCGAAGATCTGCGGGGGACAGGCAGATGAAGTTAATGGCCAGGCAGATCGGCAGAGCCTGCGGAGCTTAGTTAGCTACGTGGTGCCATTCCAAGAAGAATTCCATCCGGCTACCTCCGTGGCGATGGACAGGTGACCCTTCCTTCCCGTCTTCTCCCCTTGCAGCTTCAGCTGAGGCACAGCCCAAACACGTCGTCTCCTCCGTCACTTTAACTCGCTCGGGAAGAAGAAAATGGCAAAGGAGGAAAAAGGGGAAGAGGAACAGCCACCTTGTAGTTCTGCTTCTGCACGTTGAACCCTAATGGCTTCGCCACCTCCTCGATCTTGGAAATTATATCCCCCGCAGAGTGTTTCGATGCGAACCTCGTCTCGCGTTTCACAAGCCCCTGCTGACATATTATTCGTATATATCTGCATATTATGCGCCATGGTATGCTCGTTCTTGTTCATCAGACGAACCGACCCCAAGAGTCTTCTTTTTTTTTTTTTTTTGGTAAAATGGGTCGTTAGATTCGGAATGGGGGTGGGTGGGAGAGCGCTTACCATCTGCTTCTCGAACAGGGAGCTGAGGTTAAGGCCCTGAGAGGTGGAGATGAGCTCGAAGGCGTTCATCAAGACCGGGCCTACTTCTTTCTTCTCCACGACGAGGTTCGCCGGCGCCTTCGCATGGAGTTTTCTTAGTAGCCGGAGAGAGAGGAAGAAGAAGAGGAAGATGATGATGGTGACGAAGAAACGAGGGCAATCTTAGTTACCATGGAGTCGTCGAAGATTGCCTGGACGTCGTCGAGGGAGACGTCCGTCGTGCCAAACCTGGGTGGCTGGTAGCCCTTCTTGAACCACTCGTTCTCGATGACCTCTGCGATCGTGATGCGCTGCAAAGGTTCCAATCGAACCAAACGCAGGCGTAAACATTCGTGACAGGGACTCAAAATCATGCAGTAAAGTGGAGGAAACATCTGATTCTGATCAACGTTTTATCTTACGTTTACGGGATTGGGATCCAAGATCCTCTTTATCAGTTTCTTCGCGCCCGAAGAGAGCCAAGAAGGGCAGCTGAACTCCGCCTTGTGGATCTGCCACGAGCGAATGGATTAGAGAACCGAGGAGAGGGGGTGAGGGGGATGCTGGTGCCACTGGTTCTTCCGAGAAATGCACCCCACCTTCTTATAGAGGGAGGCCAGGTTGGAGTCCTCGAAGGGCAGATACCCGGCCATGAGGACGAAGAGGATGACCCCGCAAGACCAGAGATCCGCCTTGGCCCCATCATACCCTTTGCTGTTTATCACCTTCGGAGGAGACTCACCCCACAGAAGATCAGAGAGCTGGGACGATGATAAACACGCGAAATGGCCGACGATAATCCGACATACCTCTGGGGCAACGTAGTTCGGGGTCCCACAGGTGGTGTGGAGCAGGCCGTCCTCCTGCAGTGAAAATTAAAATAGGATATTTTTTTATAGAAAGATTCGAATAAAAGAAAGAACTGCGCGTGCTCGGACGACGAGATCGGAGAACCCGAATGATTGACTGAATGAATGAATGAATGATTGGGCGGCGCGGCGACGAGATCGGACTCACCCGGACCTGCTGAGGGAGCGCGCTCAGCCCAAAGTCGGTGACTTTGAGAAACCCATTTGAATCCAGCAGCAGATTCTCCGGCTGGGTCGAGCAAACCAAATCAGAAATCCAGACGGCGATCAAGGAGATCGAACAGACGGCGATTGATTCTACCTTCAGATCCCTGTGGAATACCCCTCGGCTGTGACAGTAATCCACGGCATTGATGAGCTGCTGGAAGTATTTCCTGGCTTCGTCCTCCTTGAGCCTCCCATGGCAGACCTTCAAGATTCAGGAGAGAGGGAAAAGAATCGGCTCACAAATCCGGGAAAGCAGCTCAACCTTTAAGAACCCAGATTGGGGGCGGGTTCCGAGCTTACGATCTTGTCGAACAGCTCACCCCCGGTCACAAATTCCAGAACGAGATATATCTTCGTCTTGCTGGCCATCACCTACGACAACGGAAGTCGAATTGCCCAATGAATAAGCGTCGTGATAAAATCGAAAAACTGTTTTCTTCTCGGTATTAGTCCCAAATAGGCGAGAGCCCAGACCCCCCACCTCGAACATCCGGATGACGTTTGGGTGCTCAATCAGCTTCATGGTTGAGATCTCACGTTTGATCTGCAGGGCACAGCAGATGCAGAACTCATGACAGCATGAAGAAGAACTCAAACAAGACCCTAGCAGAATAGAGATTAGAAACCAAGGAGAAAAGAATGTAATTATCAGAGGTTTCGAGAGGGCAGAAGTCTGGAGAAATGGTAAATATGAAATAATATTAAGAGAAATTCCAATCAGGTGAACCGTCTCCAAGCCGGATTCGAAGATCCAAGGAGGCCCCGTCTTCCGGAAGGATGGGATTTCATTCGTGGTTAGCTCTTCAGTTAGTGGATATGCCTTCGATTAGAAGAGTTATATCAAGCACGTTCCTGTTCGTCTATGGGAAACTCGGTATCTAACTCCTCCAAGGGGGGCTTTTGCAACCGCTCAATAGCCAAACTTAAAAACAGGTGCCCAGCATTGTCCAGAATCATTAGAGGGGAAAGGAGGCTAATTAAGGAATCATGATCCCAAAACCGGCATGAGAAACTGAAGAAATGGGTAGCCTTTCCCCTCTTTCTCCACTCCAAACAGAGGATTACCCATCGTAGAATTCAAGCATCTGGGTTAGAAATTAATGATTGAGAAGGGAGAGCGGAGAAGAAGAGACCAGGAACGTTATTTACTGGAGGAGGAGGAGACTAGAGAGAAAGGGAGAGAGAGACCTGGCTAATCATCTTGTGCTTGAGGATCTTTTCCTTGTCGAGTATCTTGATGGCGACGTTCTCTCCCGTCTCCAGGTTCCGAGCAAACTTCACCTTCGCGAAGGTGCCCTCTCCCAGCGTCCTGCCCAACTCGTACTTCCCCACCCTCGTCCTTCCCACGCTGATCCCTGCCTTGTTTACCCCCGTCGACCCGCCGCCGCCAGCCCCGTTCAACCTGCCCTCCCTCTCAGACGCGCCAGCCATCGAAAAGCCCAAGGAAAGGTTTCAGTTGTGTCAAGACCTCTTCTTCTTGCAGGGTTGCCAGACCTGTGACTTCTCCACATTCATCTTCCCCCCCGCAACGGTGTTCGAGGAAGAAGACGAAGGCCCCAACGGAAAAGGAAAACGAGAGAACTGTTCCTTGGCAGAGGCCGATTATGAAAACCGAGGCGATTCGGGAAGACCGTGTAATCCGATCTGCGGGAGAGATACAGCAACGACTGCGCAACCCAACATCCGGAAGGAAAGATTCATACTTCAAAACACCGGTCGGGGAGCTCTCTCTCTCTCTCTCTCTCTCGATCGCGAATCCTCAACCGATCTTTCTATGAGTGGAAGGAGAGGAGAAAGATCCCGTGAACGTCCGACGGTGGCGCTTTAGCATCGGTTTTGATTCCCTGTGCGGCCTCGTAACGTCGAAACCAGGATAAGCAAATTTAGAAGGGGCATGAAGCTCTGACTTATAATCGTTCAGAGAGAGAGAGAGAGAGAGGGAGAGAGTGAGAAAAGAGGCACAGGGACAGGGCCACATTTACAGCGCCATTAGAACCGATGGGATCCATGGCCAAAAGGAGTTCGCTGGTGGGAACTGGATACCCCCTCCGGCCTGTGGAAGTCAACCAAGGGAACTAGTAAGGTTGTGCCATCTGGAGGCGACATGGACGTTGGCTGCCGCCTATGCATGTGTGCCGGGTAAACCACCGCGACGCGAACCACACGACAGGCGCCAGCCCCTGAGAGGCTGTCTCTTCGCTTTCACCTCTAAACAAGTCTACGGAGCCATCTCGAAAGACTGAATCTTCATCCTTCTCTTCATCCTCATCGAAATATACACTCGGCTACCGTGCGTGGGGAGAACAGGTCGCATGGACGATCGCGACCATGGAAAAGGATTGCCAGAGCTTCTTCGCACTCTAGATTGAAGCGCCGGATGGTTCAGGAGCCAAGGTGTCCCACGGGGTGACGGCGGAAGAGAGGAAACCGGGGCTGGTGGGCAGAACTAAATGCCAAGCACTAGATATATAGTGGATAAATTATGTGAATTATTGGGCTCACGTCGCTTCCGTCTTCTATTTAATGAAGGAGACTAATCGGCATGTCAGTATGAGAGTGATTTAGAGAGGGCGAGGGGCTGTGAAAGGGAAAGGTTATCCTAACCGGGAGGGAGGGAGGGAGAGAGAGAGAGAGAGAGAGAGAGAGAGAGAGGGGAGAGACTCCTCGTCACCTTCATCAGTTGGCACCTCCACCAGCAGCTCGCAAGCCCCGTGGTTGCAGATTCCGCTACTGCACGTATTTCAATACATTAGTACTCGGTGATGTATCTTCGAGATTTTAAATGAAGGAACGCCTCCCCCACCGAGCGTACCAATCGAGTTCCCTCACATTCATCAGGTCATGTATGCACAGAGGGATAGAGAGAGAGAGAGAGAGAGAGAGAGAGAGAGAGAGAGAGGGGGGAGGTGTGTTGGAAGTAGGGCAGATGCGCGGAGAAAACCTAGTAGTAGCAGTAAAAATTATAAGAGCCTGGATAGACAAACATCGTGCCTATACTAAGAGTGAGAAGAGGAACCGACGAAAGCTTTTCAAAAGCTCCGTCAGAGTGAAGGAAGATCTTATTCATATCTGATGAAACTACAGAAGAGCAAGTTCCCAGGATGCAAGATTCTTTGGAATGCATCGATATGTCCAGGTGATTACTAAGCCCAACGTCCTTGCCGAGCAAACTCCTACGACGACGGCGATGACGATGGTCAGTTCCAAAGGTTCAGTGGAAAAGAGAAACGTCCCCAGGGTCGCGTTCTTCCTCGTGTGTACGTAGGATAGCAGGAAGTTGTGGTTAGTTCCTTGACTCCACACGACCGTCGCTGCCGGCGATCATTCGGTACTTGTCCCTTCGCGTGAAGACCGTGCACTCGAAGCCGAGCGCCCCGGCGATCGCCTTCTGCACGCGGTTGGCGACGTCCTGACCAGATCCCACGCCGCCGGAGACCCTGTCGAGGAAGTCCAGCCGGTAACGGGGTGAAGGATTCATCAGGAAGAAGATGGAATCGAGACACTTGTAGCCCCGCACGGTGGAGCCGTAGAACATGCTCCCCTCCGCCACCACGGCCAGTGGTACGATCTCCTCGGCCACTTCGGCGAACAGTGGGCTGAACCGGAGAAGATACGGCTCCCTGCAGGTGGTTCCCTCGGGGCAGACCACCAGGTCCCCCACCTCGAGCAGCCGCCGCATCGTCTCCCCGTCCCGTCGCCGGTCCCGCGTCAGTCGCACGGTGGGGATCGGCGACAGCGCCTCCGAGACGGGGCTCAGGCTGTACGTCACCGCCACCAACTTCCGCCGAAGGGCCGTCGCCGCGACGATGGGGTCTAGCAGGGTCCGGTGGCTGCAGGCGTAGAGGGTCGAGCCGCCGGCGGCGTGTAATGCCGTAGGCGCGAACTTGGCACGGATGCGCAGTCCCAGAGCCGCGCCGCACAGGAATTGCCATCTGTAGGGCAGCACCAGCCCCATCAGGATGCGGGCCACGGCTAGTGGCACGCTGACGGGAAGCCAGAGGAGCACCGCCAAGCAGTCCAACTCCGTTGGCCGCGCCACCAGCCTGCCGTCGTGAAAGACCAAGGGCTTTGGGTAGCGCCCCTGGGGCAGCACGGTGGCCTCCTCCGCTGGCGGGGGCATGTAAACCTCCTGCAGTGACGATTGCAGAGATGGGAATCAACGCACCTGGGAAGATAGATAGGTATCTAGAGAGAAACTTAAATGAGGCTCAAGGGAGAACGAGAGAGGGAGAGCACTACCTTGCAGAGCTTGAAGGGGAGGACCCTGAGCTCATCACCGTACCCAACGTCGAAGTCCCCTCTGTCACCCAGAACAGCTCTGAGAGCGTTGAGCCGCCGGCGGCCGAGCATGATACCCGGCGGCGCCACCACGCCGAGACATCGCCCACCGGCCACCAGCAGCTCTGTGCCGACCACACGCTCCACGTCGAGGTACTCCCACAGGAAAGGCTCCACCATGAGGCGGGGCATGGAGGTGACCACGCACTTCTTCCCCCTGGTCCTGGAGAGGGCCCCGTACACCTTCTCCGACAGGTCCTGGAGGAAGAACCTGGGGAGAGTGGCCCTCGCCACCGCCGTCACATCTGCCACCCGGAGGCCCGCCGTGGAAATGAAGATCATCACATGGAGGGCGGCGGCGGCCAGGCCGATTGTCTGGAGCAGGGACAGGATGGGGGAGATGAGCAGGAGCAGAAGGGCCCTCAGAGGACAGCCGGCTTCCAGGGCGACGAGCATGAAGTAGGGAAACACACTTCTTCTTATGACCAGGGCGCCCTCTAATTCGGCAAGAACGCTCTCATCCTCCATCGTCCTTGCCACTGGGGAAGCATCCCCCTACTGGAACCTGACCATGAACGAGCTATCGGTGCAACTTGTGAGACTGAGAGCGAGCGAGAGAGAGAGAGAGAGAGAGAGAGAGAGAGAGAGAGAGAGAGAGAGAGAGAGAGAGAGAGAGAGAGAGAGAGAGAGAGGAGAAATGGGGTGAGAGAGTTTACAGGAATAAATTAAGGGACGCATGCATGGAGGCAATGCCTCGTGAACATAAGGGGAGGCCGTTGGGCTCCGAGACAAGAACATTGAATAATAATCGGAGCGCACCGTCACCTTCGGGGCGCCGGCAAGCTTGCCGGGAGGCCCCGGTGTGACAACGCGAGCCGACCACGATGCGCGCAGGCAGGCGGAGCCGATTGAGACGATGTCGACCATCCAGGTAGAAGGCTGGGCATGGGTTCTCCCATCACCTGCCCTTCAACACCGGACCAGCTAAATCACCACCACGTATTTCACATGAAGGAGAATCCGGAAGACGAACCGATCTCGTTCGTCGCCCCCATCATACCCAACCCATGATACGAGATGGAAGATAAAACAACTTCCTCTCTCTCTCTCTCCCCCCCCACAACACGCCAGTTGGTCCCAAGAGGGACCTCGGTCCCCCCCACCCCGCCTAGGCAGCCTATGCGGTCAGTAGCCACAGTCATTCATCTACTCCTGGCAGAAGCTAGGGAGGATCGACAATCACCGGAGATGGTAGGTGATCAGTAATACGACCATTAAAGCGAGTGTGAGACACGGAAGGCACAGAACTGGAGTCCTCGTTCCCGTCTCCCACGTGGGCAAAACGTTATTGGTTTACCAGTCTATGTACATTGCGTCGCCGAAATGTGCAACCTCGGCACGTTGCTCCAGTTCAGACAGACAGATAGTAGAGAGAGAGAGAGAGACGAAGCGAGGGTGACCAGTAAGACCACTAAAGCGAGTGTGAGACACGAAGGCAGAGAACTGGAGATCCACATTCCCGTCTCCCAGGTGGGCAAAACTTAATTGGTGTACCAGTCTATGTACGTTGCGTCGCAGAAATGTGCAACCTAGGGACGTCGCACTAGTTCAGACAGATAGAGGGAGAGAGAGACAGAGGGAAGAGAGAGAGAGAGAGAGAGAGAGAGAGAGAGAGAGGAGGGAGAGAGAGACAGAGGGAAGAGAGGGAGAGAGAGAGACAGAGGGAAGAGAGGGACAGAGAGAGACAGAGGGAAGAGAGGGAGAGAGAGAGACAGAGAGAAGAGAGGGAGAGAGAGAGACAGAGGGAAGAGAGGGAGAGAGAGAGACAGAGGGAAGAGAGGGAGAGAGAGAGAGACAGAGGAGGGAGAGAGAGAGAGACAGAGGGAAGAGAGGGAGAGAGCGAGAGAGAGAGAGGAGGGAGAGAGAGAGAGACCGAGGAAAGAGAGGGAGAGAGAGAGTGTTTGAAAATAACATTTGTACACTGAACGACATATTTTGGTACTTCCTGTTAACGATAAAACAGGGGCTGCGCCCAAGGAAGAGAAGAAAGACAGACGAACTGTCAGTGGCTGGACCAATGAGCCTTGCTAGCAAGGCATCTTCATGATTTTCGCAATGAAAAGTCCACTTGTACTTGACGTTGAAGGATCGAAGCGTAAGGTTTTCAGGATCTTTCCGCTCCTGCAAGGCCAGTTCTTGGCAGCATCAACGTCTTGTAGATCTACAAGGCCAAATTGACAATTCTCAGGCAATAATCTCAAACTAAGCTCTACAGCATAGATTTTTTTCTTCATATACTGAAGTCTCAGCATCATACAAGGATAAAAACAAATTCAGGCCTGTCTATACAAATTTTGGAGACTCTGGATGAAGCTAAGGAAGCACTGTTGACTTTTTTTATTTTATTTTATTTTTCCGACCGATTGCCTTGCTTGACTTTTTTGTTCTTTCCATGTAAGAGTCATAATCATGCGAATAAGATCTTTAGATTCAGTACATAACAGAAGTGAATTGATTTATCCTTCTAGTCTCAATGTGTGGAAAAATCCCAAATTTATAGATTTGTCGATCCAACTTTGGAGAACTATTGATGAAACTAAGGTACCACGGTTGACTTTTTCTTTTTATGGTATTTTTTGCTATTTATTGCCTTTGTTGACCTTTATGTTCTCCTGGGCAAACAGTCTACATCCAATCTGATAAAGAATGTTCACTGCTCCATCTCATGAATGGATCTTACCACAGACCCCACCCTCAGCCGAATCATTTTTCACTATCGAACTAATGACAACTGAAGGATTAACATGTAGCAACAACTTATACGAATGAAATGCATGACGAATCCTGATCACTGAATCTGGGAAATTACCAGCAGACGGATTCTCCGAGAGGAATCGCTCCACCACATCCTCATTCTGGGCGACTGTTAGGCTGATTAAAAAAGCAAAAGTATCTAAGGGCTTGGAAGCGGCAGTGATGGATCAGAGTGGCAGCAGGATGCAAGGGATTGATCTCACCTGCAAGTACTGTACACCAGCGACCCACCAGCTTTTAACAATCTGAAGCCATTGGTAAGAAGCCTCAACTGCAGCCGAAAACAAGAGGCACATGTTAAAATCATCTTGGCCTAAACTCCTGTTACTAGAAACGAATATGAATTAAATTACCTGGAGTTGCGTCAAGTTATCTGTTCTTGGTGCATCTAACACTCGACGCTGGAGAGTTTCCCAACCCCATCGCTCAAACTTTTGAATGTGTTTAACCGACCCATCATGAGTGCATTCCGAATCAACAAGAACCTACCCAGAAGGCCAGAGTGGAAGTTCTTGAATCACATGGTGAGTGAACCATCCCAGTAGGTCTAAAGTAGTAATCAGGAGGACTGATTATGTCCGAGGATCAAGCGGTCCAGTTAGCTTAGATTCTGTAAAGCTATAAGCTGAAGAGCTGTGTTTTGAAAGAATGTACAGATACCACGCCTCATAAAGAACCACATCCTGCCACTTGTACCCTATATCTTGATCTCCGGAAATGATTGGACACTTTGATATCATCTAGGAGGGTTTAAGTTTTTTTTTTTTTTCTGATGAGGATTAATAACTTGGGTTGAATCCCCAAGTCATTTAGTGTATCTAGCTTATCAACTTTCGTGATGGTTTGGAAATAAGAACCAACAAATTGGAACATGTCAGAGCAGTTTCGCCCGAATCCTTGTGAATCAATCAGATTGAAAGAAGAATCTTCAGAAAATAAAAAAAATCAAAGAGACACCACAGTTCAGTTCAAGGATAAGTAGAGAGGGCACACCAGTTACAAAATTTCAAGGTTACAGTTGTTATAGGAATTTTTTTAAGCAGGTGCGCTTCCTAGAACGTCCCTCGTTTTAATTTAGTGAAAGTTGTGATAATTTAATCAGATTGTTATAAATATTTTGATCTCCTAACATAGGAAGGTAGTGAAACGCATCCATAGAACATCAAACGCATCAGTAGTAGTTCATTAGATGTACCTTGTCATACCCAGAAATGGACATCTCACTTTCGTTTCTTGGCTTGAAAATCTCGCTTTTACTGTGACCGACAACCCCTGCCAGCCTACCATAAAAGATCAGCTCCGGCGCATCAGCTGGAGAAGCTAGGCAGGTCTTCGTTGACCTTTTCGCATTTTTCCTCTCCTTCCATGTTCTTCTGGAAGACCATTCTTCGAAAACTTCGGTCATCCCTTCACTCTCTGTCGAACCTGAGAGGTTTCAAAAGGTCAAAAGAGGTCTCCCAAGTCAATCAGAATGAGGGTTTTCACTAAAATGATAGAATCAAGCAGGAAAACATCAAGATTGAAAACAGTTCCCCTTACATGATCTGTGGTCAACTCGAGAGGGCATTGGGGAGAAGGAGAAGGAGGTTCCATCAGCGAAGAACAGCCGGCAGTTGTCTCCCAATGAGTACTTGAGCAGCATCGAACGGCAGACGTTCAACCGATGTCTTGCTGCATCCACACCAGTGATTGTCCCCGAGCCGCCAAGCAGGTCGGAGATCATGCAGAGCTTAGCCCCTGAAGCTCAACCGGGGAGGAAAAATGTAAATGAGCAGTACTCAGAAGAGGTTAAGATCAACTAAAGTTGACGCTTTGGTGAAGAAATAATGAAGGGAAACGATTCAAGAGACCCAGCCCAATACAGATTATGCATATTGACTATGGTTACTTCGTCATTCATTGACACACGAAATTCAGGTCAAGAGAAGAATCCCACGTTTCGAAAATGGATAAATTGGTGGAGCTGAAGGAAGTCAACATGAGAGGGAGAATGCATGCGCGCATATCACCTGGCGCGGCACAGAGATCGAGAACATGATCCCCTTGCAAGACGTTCAGAGCTACAACAGCAGCTCCCGATGCAGCATCCATTCCATAGATCTAAGTGACCATACCCAACGTAAAATTAGAGGAAAGAAGGAGAGTTCTGCAGGAGATATCGGCATGTGAAGAACACACAGCCTCAACAAAGGGACGAGGCATACGAGAAAGATGGGTCACCTTCCCCTTTCTGTACGCATCTGATCTAGCAATTTGAACCTGAGGTGGGATAGCAAAGAATCCCTCCAACCAGACAGTGCTATCCAATCTGCACTGGAGCTCGTCTTCGAGGTCGGAGAGGTCAAGCTGGCAACCTGGTTTTACCCTTCAGAGCAAATGAGAAAGCATCCATCATTGAGAGCAGGGGCAAGCAGAGTTCCAGACTGTCGAGAAGAGAACGTCTCCGCCGCTCTCAAACAAAGGACCACTGCGCAGGCCCGTCACCACTGCGGACTCTAAACATCATCGAGCGAGACTCCTTACGAATTCGGTGAGTCGAACGGGCAATTAAGCAAGCAGTTGAGATGCAGGAAAGAAAGGAACAGCTCCCCCAAACCTGACGTAGCGGGGGACGGAGCTCTCGGCGGAGTAAATAGAAGGGTCGACGTCGTTCTCCTCGAGGAAGCTCACAAAAGGCATCGGCAGGGCCAAGCCCCCAGAGGGGGCAACGTCCTCCGCAGAAGCCATGGCCATCACCGACCGCGTCCGCCCAACAAATGCCGACAAGAAGAGCCGAGCGACATGCCGCGAACAGCTACCCCGGACCCAGACGGATCACACATGGAGAGAGACTACGCCATCTGCGGCATCGCCTTTCAAATCTTCCTGGTTCTACGCGGCTCTGACGCTGGCGCTGGCTCCCGTCTCCTCCCTCCTCCAGCTGATCGACGAAGTGCCCGATAGCTTAGTTTAGACGAAAGGGTAAATTAGATATTTCATAAAAGTTGGATACGTGTCCTGAGGTGGTTATTCTGCTCAGTCCGCACGTGGTTTCTCTCTCTCTGTCCGCTGTCTTCCACGGGATCGATCGATCTATCGCATGTTGGAACGGGAGAGAGAGGCCTTGAAGAGGCTGCTCATGGCGGCGGGAAGGCTGCTCCTAGTTTGATTTGACCGTTGAGGGCGGCTGTGGGGCGGCGTACGTCAGCGTTTAGTCAAGGCAGAAGCGACCGTGTGGTCGGGAAGCCTGCCAATGACCGACGGCATTCATGCACTTTGGTAGCAACGTTGACCATGGCAGCACCTGATTGGCCGTAGTTTTTCCGCCATTCCTCTCTCTCTCTCTCTCCGTAGGTGCTTGTGTTTCGAGGGTTTTTGGATTCTTGTTAGGAGGAAAGGGGGTAGACGGTGATCCTGGCGACGGGGGAACGATCGGGTTGGGGCCCTAAGGTATGGTTGCGGGGCGAACCTGGAGGTACCGGTAGCACGTCGGAAGCTGCGAAAACAGCGCTCCCCAAGGTCCTCCCTCGGGGGACGATGGAGCTGGAAGATGGGGGGAGCACGTCGGGGAGTGGGTTAGGAAGCCCCTCCCCCCGTCCCATCGCTGCCAGACGGAGATCAAAAGGTAAGCAGTGCGATTCGTTTTACCCTCCCCCTCCCCCAATTTCCGTCTTTCCATTCGTTGATTACTTGCGCTCACTGGACGTTTTTATCTCCTCCAGCGCGAAGTCCAGAACAAAATTGTAAGATTCTTAGAAAACATGCCGCTATATTTATTCCTGCAATCACTTTGCGGATTGAACCGATGCACGAGGCATCTTGATTTTGTCAATTCTTGTGTGAAAATCGAAGCTACGAGGGGGGAATTTGATGATGACTCTATGATCCTAAACGGACACATGATGTTTCCGGAATCTGTTCACAGCTTTGATGGGATTATGAAGGCAGATCAGAGGCTATGTATCCTCTGAATGTACCACGGCCATGGAAAGCTTGTGCATTGTTACAATCAAGATTTCTCATCACAATTTCTGGGGATGAACTGGGATTCGTCGGAGGAAAATTGAAAACTTATAGGCAATAGATCATGCTAAAGAGATGACGAGAGTGCCTGCAGTATCATCTTACGTTTGGTTTGGATTCCTTTCTGGTCGGTAGTGCCTAAGAGCGCCTTATTTTTCTTTCTCCTTTTTTTATCCAGTCCATTTTTAAAATTTCGCATGAATCTTTTGATCATAATGTCCGGTACACTACATATATATTTAGAAATCTTTCCAAAATACCATATGTCATTGCATGATGCTTTATCTGTAGAGTATGAAACTCGATTAATAATGACAAATAATGCAACGGCTCCTAGATGCGGATACAGAATGAATCGGTTCTGGAGTAGCACCTCTTTGACTTTTTAGGTTTACGATTTTTAATCAATCATTGGCAATCTTGAAATATTTACGTTGACCCTATTGCCAGATGTATGCATTTGAAAGGGTTCCTCCTGGGTATTGGAGCCTGGTTTGCTGGTCATTCTCATTAAGTTCCAGTTCCTCATTTATGCTTGAAATTAATAAATAAACTGCCTTAATCGTGTTAAACATCTCCATTGCTTCTCGTGCTCACTGACTCTTATCTAATGAATGTTTCCAGCTTTCCATAGGTTCACTCAACAGAATCTACCAGCATGTAAACCTATCTTGACACCTGGATGGGTGAGCATAACACCTTTGTCAAAATACTTTGGTTGAATTTCGTAGTGGCTGCATAAACTAGAGTATCTTGATTTTTTTAATTTTTTTTTACAGGTTATTACTATCTTTCTGCTGACGGGGATCATTATCATACCTGTTGGTCTTGTTGCCCTTCGGGCTTCTCAGAGCGTAATATCTTCTTTTTTATTTTCATATACATACATGCATTCATTATTTCACATGTTTTATATTTCCTAGGACTTGCGTTGCTGCCAAAGGGAAACATGATGTATGATGATGACCCTTTTTTTCTTTACTTTTCTCCTGCATAGACTGTGGAAATTGTGGATCGATACGACAATGATTGTGTACCTGAGGAATTCAGAGCCAATAAGCTGTCTTACATCAAAGACAGCTCCATTTCAAAGAACTGCAGCAGGCAATTGAAGGTGATTCTGTTATTTTCTCTGTAGATATTTTTATCTTGATTTCACTTCTGTATTCCATCTCCAAGGACCTATCATATATCCTCCTGATAGAAGGATATGATATCCGTTCATTCTCTAAATAAAAATTTAAAGGACAATACTTTTCAAGGGTAGGATCTGGAGTAGGAGAATCAGTGAAAGCATGTTGATAATTTCGAAATTGCATTTGACTATGTGGGGTTTCTTAAAACGGTGAGATATGATTTGGATTCTTCTCAATTTCTTTGTCATTGATATTCATTATCATTTTACCTTCCAATAGTGATTATGTGGAGTGGAGAAACTGTAAGAAACGGGAGATGGAGTGTGATCATTGTCAATTAGTTTCCCCTTCTTGATCAGTTGAACAATGCCAATGTAATGGACAAAGTGTGCCGAAAAATATTTTAATACATTATGTGGGTTTGAATCTAGGAAGACCACACTATTAATCTCCAAGGACCATTGGCCTCATGAATGCACCCTGGAATTGTTAATCGATGTGTTTTTCCCCTGGTTTATTTTCGTATATTATGAAATACTGCGGATCAACCCTAGATTGGCTTACTTCCACTAGCTATGTGGTTTCCATATTTGATATATATGAAAGAATCGTGATCATGACATTAGAACCAAGATATATGGCGGCCCCATTTCTGTCAAACTGAATTGAATGCTGAGGTAAATAAAATGGTGCCACCGCTAATAGCAAATAAATTGCCGTTCAATAATTTTACTGGTGTAAAATGGAGTTTGTGTAAATAAAATAATGCATGCATTCAAGTCCTGATATTGATCATTGCTGCGCATGAAAACCCTTGCTTAGTGATTGAATGGAAATGTTATAACGTAGATGAAATCCAGCTCTTAACTTCCGTTGCTGCAGTGGAACGCAATGCAAAAAGCTAAGGAATCGAGATACTCAATCCTCTGAACAATGCAATCTGAGACCGGTATAAAAAATTTAAAGACTTCAGATTATGTACCTGCAGTCTTTGCTCGTTTTATATCCGCTAGATGCCTAGGGAAATTCTCTGCTTACCCTTCTAGAACCACCCTTGATCAGCTTTCATCAAAGAAGCATCGCTAACTTTGACTGAAATATGCCACGGTCTTCCCTGTTAAGAAATAGTGCAGTATCCTCTGCTGTCCTCCATATCCATCTGCTTGCGTTCATAGCTTTTCTCTCTGGCTGTGTTCTGATTCCTGCTACGGCCCTGAAAAGTCACTCTATACCTATTTGATCCCCCAAATTAACTTGCAGGATCTTGAGTAAAGGGAGTTTTCCTTGGTCCTGGTAAAGGGACAACCTTGAGAGATGGCCATATTTGCCTCCTGTATTTTACGATTTGCATTGGAACCTCTAGAATGGGTTCTAGGTATATATTCTGCATGGCAAACCTCCGAGATAACACTTGTGTAGAATGATATGAATCTGTGAAGGAAAACACTTTGGTACTGGCTCCCGATCCCTGTGGTGAAGTTGGATCACATCTTGGGCAATGCATCCGATTTTTTTTAGAATTTTTTTTTTCTCTCGAATTGAATAATCTTTTAGACAATATTTGTAGAAGATCGACGTTCCCATTGTTTTTTCATTTTCTTTCTTAGACTGGAAGCCATGTCCAGTACGCCGGCATCTCCCTGTGGTGATTGGTATTTGTGGATCATGCTTTTTTCTTTTTCTTTTTTTTTTTTGTTGTTCTTCCCTGCTAGGTTTTCTTCAGACCAGTTCTTTCGCCAACTTGTTTGCAGGTGATGAAGCGTATGAAAGCTCCAATCAATGTCTACTACCAGCTTGATAACTTTTACCAGAATCACCGGCGGTGAGGCTTTCTGTTCTCTTAGCTTTTAAAATCAATAAAATGTAATAGACATAAATATTCTAGTAAAAAATTAAAAAAAAGAAATGCGTCAGCCCTAATTTATGTCGAATGAACTGTATAAATGCACTCATGAGCAGTCTTTAGAAAACATAAAATAATTGTTAATATAAATCTATGACATGGGATTTTTCATCTTTCAACCAATCCTTGAGCTATACAATTTGCTAAAATTATTGTCTGTGATGCTTTCTCACTGGTCCTGAATTCATCTGTTAAGGCGAAGCATGCTCGGTTTTGTACAATACAAGGAACACAATCTGTGACTGATCATCAGGATGATAATTCGTCGTTGCTCTGTGGTTCTCTCCTTTCATTCTTGAAGTCAACGGACTAAAGCTCTCAGCTTTCCCAGGTATGTGAAGAGCAGAAGCGACCCACAGCTCCGAAAAGGGCTGCATCAGGTGGACACCGGTCCCTGCAAGCCGCAGGAGACCAGTAATGGGCTTCCAATTGTTCCCTGCGGCTTGATTCCTTGGAGCTTGTTCAACGATAGCTTCGCATTTGCCCGTGGAAAAACCGCGGTGAATCTCAGCAGGAAGAACATCGCCTGGAAGAGTGACCGAGAGCACAGATTTGGGAAAGACGTCTACCCCGTCAACTTCCAGAACGGAACGCTGATCGGAGGAGGGCGGCTCGACCCAAGTCTTCCTGTAAGTCAACGAAACTGCGGATAGCTCTCTGCGGAACTCATATGAGTTCTTACCCGCCGATGCAAATCTTCATCTTTTCTTTCTTGATTCTGTGTTTTCTCAGCTGAGCGAGCAGGAGGATCTTATCGTGTGGATGCGCGCTGCGGCCCTCCCCAGCTTCCGCAAGCTCTACGGGAGGATCCTGGAGGACTTGAACCCAGACGACTTGCTGGACGTGTGGCTCGTCAACAACTACAACAGCTACAACTTTGGAGGGAAGAAGAAGCTTGTTCTTTCCACGTCGAGCTGGTTGGGGGGGAAGAATGATTTCCTCGGCGTAGCCTGCGTCTCCACAGGCAGCTTCTGCATACTGATTGCCGTCGCCTTCGCGCTGCTCCACGTGAGGAACCCAAGGTGGGTCTGGCCTGTGTTATCCTAAAAAGTCAACGGTCTTGATGCTCGATCAAGCACCGGAGAAGCTGGTACTGGAGCTTGAGCTCCCCTTTCTCTGATCTTCCGCCATTGACCCGGGCATCACTGTGGCAGGCCCTGCGCGGATCCCGCTTTGCTGTCGTGGAGCAGGAAGAACGGCGCTCTCTGAATGGAGGACGATCTGCGCGCGTCCGCATGCAGGGGATGATATCTCACGCGTTCGTTTCCGGGAAGGAAGAAGGGAGCTCTCGTTTGGTTTTGATCTTGTGAATTGCTGAACTGGAATGGAACGAGGAATTCCTGGACCTTTGGAGAGGAAGTCCAGGCGGGTTTTCGGCGCCAGGGACCGGTTCAGATGGGTGGAAGACGGCCGCCTTCTGTCTGTGGGAGAGCTCCGAGTGGTGGGGGGGCAGAGACTTGCCGGAGAGATCTCTTTGTAGCAGGAGCTCATCACGAGTTCTCCGCATGATGACGGCAATAACGACCCTCTCTCTCTCTCTCTCTCTCTCTCTCTCTCTCTCTCTCTCTCTCCCTCCCTCTCTCCCTCCCTCTCTTTCTCTCTCGCTATGGGTTGGGATGAACGCACTTCCTGATACAGTAACAAGCGAGCTTCTGTATCCTGCCATCCGTTTTCCGGTCTGGGGAAGCCGGAAAGGGGCTGCTCTGGTGACCTCGATCGGTGCCTAGGATTTCTCTTTCTGGTTGGTTTCCGATCTCTTCACAGAATACCGGAGGACCCTCTCTCTCTCTCTCTCTCTCTCTCTCTCTCTCTCTCTCTCTCTCTCGCGCGCCTGAGCCCTGCTGATGGACTGAATATTGTTATCTCATGTCTGGGGAAGAAGAGGACCTTGACGCCATCAAGTATGCGATCAGGCAAGCAAGCCGTTTTGCACCGGTTCCTCTGCAGGTGGAAATGACCTAGAAATGGAAACGGTGTGCACTGGAGAGAGAAAACCCGTAAATTCCTCCGTCTCCCTCTCTCTCTCTCTCTCAATAACTGGAGACAATCAATCAGGGATCATCTAGTAGCCGAAGAAGAAGGGAAGAGAAGAGTTCGTCTTTTTCTATCCTCGTACGATACAAAAATGAGAGTTGGGGCTCCGATCGGGCCATTCAAGTGGAAGTAAAGAGGTCTGATATACGCTTATCTACAGGTAGATGCCCTACTCTTACAGCATGCACGAAATTTACCCAACGCCTGAACCAGATCACAGAGAGAGAGAGAGAGAGAGAGAGAGAGAGAGAGTCATAGCCAGAGGGCTCCGGCTTCCTTGAGGAGAGGGATGAGGGTTCCGCTAATATGGCAGGCCATGACGGCCTCCAGGCCTCCCACGAGCTTGCCGCCGACGAACACCGCTGGCAGCACCGGCGTTGGCGTAGGAGAGGCGGCGGAGGAGGAGGACGCAGTGGCGGAGAAGATGCTGCGGAGGACGGCCTGTATCTCGGTGCCACCCTTCTCGATGTCGAGCTCGTAAATGGCGGGGCCAACGCCGAGACCCAGAAGAAGCCGCTTCACCACATGGCACATGCAGCACCCGCTCAAGCTGAAGACCACGACGGCGTTGCCGGCGGCGAGCCGCCGCACCCGCTCGTACGCCGCTGCGGGACCACCGCCGAGGATGAGCCTCCTCTCCGGCTTCTCCGCGGGCAGGTCCTTCGCCTTCCCCTCGCGCTCCCCCCACCACTCCTCCAGCAGCTGCATCCTCCCCATCTGGAGAGGGAGAGGGTAAATGGGTGCAGTTTGGGAGGCAATGGGGCGGATGAGAAGCGTGATTCTATCTATACAAGGAAGGATTACCTCGGTTGGGATCCCTTCCTTACAGTGAGAGAAGTGGAGTGCCTGGCGTAAGATACGATCTCGAGGAGAAAATTGTTGTAATGAGACTGGTGCAGAGAGAGGGAGAGCCAGAGAGAGAGAGAGAGAGAGAGAGAGAGAAAGAGACACACACACACACACACAGGGAAGCAGGAGAGATGGGCAGGATCAAGTTCTAAAAAAGGCGAGGACAGATAGTCACATTAGCAAGCAGGGCGATGTTGTGTTTCCAGAGCCATACTTGGCAAGACGCGAGTACATGAAATCCAGAGGGAGAGACGAAGTTGGAGATAGAAAGATGGATAGCGAGAGAGGGATAGCAAGAGAGAGAGAGGAGGGAAGGAGGGAGAGCAAGAGGCTTGGTAATGTAGCTAGGGAGAGGGTTGGGCTTGGTTTTAAAGGGGTTGCTGATCCGGAAAAAGAAGGGAAAGTAGTGCAACTTTTGCATCTCGCCTCCGAAGAACCCAGGTTATCTCGCCCCCCTCCCCCCCCTCACCCCCCGCCTCTCTCTCTCTCTCTCTATCTATCTATCTATGCTTCTCTCTGGGGCTGTGTCTGCTGCTTCAAGCCCTTGAACGTTATTCTCTCTAGGGTCTTCTCGTCAGTGTTTACTAGGTGCTGCCGTCCATCGCTAGGGTTTGCTCCCCCTTTCCTGCACCACAATCCCGGCAGCCTCTGACCCCTCTCCCCTCCCCTTCCCCAGACTTCCAAAAGAAGGAGAAACAGTGCAGCAAAAGGGAGCTCCTCCTCTCTCTCTCTCTCTCTCTCTCTCTCTCTCTGACTGTATTTTTTGAACGTGGCAGAGGTTGATGTGTATACATGAAGAAGGCCTACTTAATGGGCGGTAACAGAGTGGAGCTTCTACATCTCCCTCACTCTCTCTCTCTCGCTCTCTCTCTCTCTCTCTGTCTGATGAAGATGAAGCTGACGAGGGAGTGCGGCGGTTTCCGTGAACGTAGTCACGGCCGCTGACCGCGATAACGACGCCGTTCTCGAGGAGAAAGACCGACTAGAAAGAGAGAGAGAGAGATTCGAAACCGACAGGCCGACATACAAGTCATCCGAGCGCCGCCAAGTCCCCGGATTCTCGTCCGGGGGCGTCCTGCTCACTCCTCTCAGCCTGGGAAACGCGCTGCCGTTCTCTTCTCTCTCTTAGCTACACAACTACCCTTCCCTTCCTCTCTCTCTCTCTCTCTCCTCCACCCCTCGACACACATATATGCATATACAATGTCCACGCCTCGTACGGACTGCACCCCTTTCTTGTTCTTCGGTTACTCCTCGTTATCCCGCATGTCATGAGCTCCCCGTGCAGGCACGGAGGGGAGGAGGAGACGGAGACGGAGAAGATGGGGAACGGCTGAGCTCACCCTCTCCGCGCCTCCCTGCGTGGTTCACTCACAGGGAGGAGGGAGAATGGAAAACGGGGGGAGCTCTCTGTTAGAGCCAAATATTCACCCACTGCAACACAGAGCTCGGAGGGAAGCGAAGGGGTGAAGAGGCTGCTGTTCCAGCGTCTGCGGCGTCCGAGGAGGAGGAGGAGGAGGGAGCAGGGGGGCCTGCGGGACCTGGACGTTGGATCAGATCAGAGGCAGAGGGTGAGGAGGAGGGGGAAGAAGATGAATCGAATCAGTCACGAGCGGGCCCGGGTTGCTGCACAGTCTACCGCGTTGAATAGATTAAAATAGCTGCACTTTTAGTTCCTGCATGCGATTCTGATTGGACCAACGAGTTTGGCCCCTTCTCCTCGACGTATTAGGAAAGCAGACCAGAACGAGGCGTACCCCCCATTGAGAGATAGAAGAGAGAGAGAGAGAGAGAGAGAGCAGCTGCGGCGGCAGTGAAGAGGGTGGGGAGCCGTCCTCGTCAGGCACGCGGGTCAAAGGAGGGGGGGTGGGTGGGCAGGTGGTCCGTCAAACACAGAGCGGCGGTCAGAGGAGGAGCCACACGCCTCCCCTGCCGCCACCCGCCCTTTTTGTCCGTCTCGGTCTCGGTCTCGGTCTCGGTTCGCCCGTCTATCCAAGACTAGTTTTTTCACACCAAATGGGCCTCCCCTACAAGCCCGTTAGCCCTCCCACCACAGATCGGCCGGCCCACGCGAGTTCCTGGCGGCAAGATGGGATTGGGCCCATTTTCCGTCTCCCGGCCCAACCGACCAGTCAGTCCAGTGGGCCTTCTTAACCGCGTTTCAACAGTAGAGCGAGAGAGAGAGAGAGAGATCTGACGGGTGCACGCATGGCACGGTTCTCGAGGCCCACCGCCAACTCCTGACCGTCAACGGCGTCGTCGTTTAGTCAACTCAGCGAGACGGAAGAGGAGAGGTGGAGGGCAGCCTTTCGTCCCCACCACATCCTCTAAACGGGGCTCCATGTGGGAAAGCTGAAGCTCCGTTGCGCAGACGTGATGGGAATCTTCTCTTTTCTGTCCTCATATACCCCCGTTGTCCTCCTCCTCACACTCCCCAGTCAGGATCTCTCTCCCACTCTCTCTCCCTTTCTCTCTCTAGATGAAGTGAGGCATTCGTTCCTAAAGCGGCCATGGAGGGCGGAGCTCACGGGGCCGACTCTTCGGCTTTCAGGGAGTGCTTCTCCCTCGCATGGAGGAACCCGTACGTCCTCCGGCTCGCCTTCTCCGCCGGCATCGGAGGCCTCCTCTTCGGCTACGATACAGGTTAGTTCACTCCCTCCCTCAAAAACATAGAGAGAGAAAGAGAGAGACTTACAGAGGGCCATCATCGGGTGTTCTGCTGCTGCAGGAGTGATCTCCGGGGCGCTGCTGTACATCCGGGACGACTTCCCCTCCGTGGACAGGAAGACATGGCTGCAGGTGACTGTCGTCGATTTCTTTTTGTTTTTCTTCCGAGAAGATGGGAAGAAGGGGGTTGCAGCGAGGTCAGCTTCTCCGCTGGGACTATGTGGGCAGGAAAGCATCGTGAGCATGGCGGTGGCGGGGGCAATTGCGGGGGCGGCGGTGGGAGGGTTCGCGAACGACAAGTTCGGCCGCCGGAGTTCCATCCTCGCCGCCGACTTGCTCTTCTTCGTCGGCGCCGCCGCCATGGCCGCCGCTCCGAGCCCCTCTCTCCTGGTCGTCGGCCGCGTCCTGGTCGGCCTCGGGGTGGGGATGGCGTCCATGACGGCGCCCCTCTACATATCCGAGTCTTCTCCTGCGCGGATCAGAGGAGCTCTGGTCAGCACCAATGGCTTCCTCATCACAGGGGGCCAGTTCCTGTCCTACCTCATCAACCTGGCTTTCACCAAGGCACACGGCTGTCCCTTTCGCCTCTCCCCAGACATCCATTAATCTATCAACATATATGAAGCATATATGAATATATATATATATATGTATGTATGTACCTGTTTGCTCTCAGGCGCCGGGGACGTGGAGGTGGATGCTGGGAATTGCTGGAGTTCCTGCTCTGGTGCAGTTCGTCCTGATGGTGTTCCTCCCAGAGTCGCCTCGGTGGCTGTACAGAAAGGTAGGCTTGAGTTCATGGATCATGTCGGCAGGGTGTGGAGATTGCCGTTGACTTGCTCTTTTTCAGGGAAGAGAGGAGGAGGCGGAGACCATACTCCGGAGGATCTACCCTGCCCATGAGGTGGATGGAGAGCTCCAGGACCTCAAGGACTCTGTGCAGGCGGAGATCCGAGAGGAAGGGTCCTCGGAGAAAGTCAACTTCGTCAAGCTCTGGAAGACGACGGCCGTGAGGAGAGGGCTCGTCGCCGGAGTGGGCCTCCAGGTCTTCCAGCAGTTTGTGGGCATAAACACGGTCATGTACTACAGCCCCACCATCGTCCAGCTTGCTGGCTTCGCGTCGAACCAGACGGCGCTGCTGCTGTCGCTGATAACCTCCGGCCTCAACGCCCTGGGATCCGTCGTCAGCATCTACTTCATCGATAGGACGGGGAGGAAGAAGCTGTTGATCATCAGTCTCTGCGGTGTGATCGCCTCTCTGGCTGTTCTGTCAGCGGTCTTCCACGAGACCACGGCGAGCTCGCCGCAGGTGGGCGGGCGAGAGACCGCCCACTTCTCCGCCTACACTTGTCCGGATTACCAGTCAGACATCTCGAAGAAGAAGAACTGGGATTGCATGAGGTGCCTGAAGGCGTCTTCCCCGGACTGCGGCTTCTGTGCTTCGGCGGCCAACAAGGTAACTCCATCTGTCAGAAATCTTGGTGTTTGATCGGATGGACTAGTGAGCAGCTTTTCATCTGGTGGCAGCTGCATCCTGGAGCCTGTCTGGTTGCGAATGCCACAGTGAAGGGCCTCTGCCATGGGGAAGATCGGCTGTGGTACACAAGAGGATGCCCGAGCAGCTATGGATGGCTGGCGTTGATTGGACTGGCTCTGTACATCATATTCTTCTCTCCAGGGATGGGGACGGCCCCGTGGATCGTCAACTCGGAGATATACCCTTTGAGGTTCAGAGGAATCTGCGGAGGGATCGCCGCAACCGCGAACTGGGTCTCCAACCTGATCGTCGCGCAGTCCTTCCTCACCCTGACGGAGGCCATTGGGACCTCCCTGACGTTTATGATCTTCGGTCTGATCTCCGTGGTCGCCCTCATCTTCGTGCTGATCTGCGTGCCAGAAACCAAGGGACTGCCGATTGAGGAGGTGGAGAACATGCTGGAGAGAAGATCTCTCAACTTCAGGTTCTGGGAGCGAAGCAAGAAACCTGAGAAGATGAAGAAGAAGAATACAAATGTTTAAGAAAAGAAGTAATATTTTCCTAATTGACTTTCATTGATCTCTTTCAATGAATATGTAGCTCTGGGTTATGTAAACCAGGTAGCAATGCGTAGCATGAATCCCTGAGACGCAGGAGACAGACCCGCAAGCAATCTAAACTCTACTCACATTTCTGCCAATCTCTGAGTAAGGCCCAGAATGAGCTTAATAAAATAAAGAACATACTCATATCCAAGATATTTGCAGAGAAACATGCTCATCATATATGGAGAAGGAAACATCGGAATCGCATCTGCATAGGGGAGGGAAATTGAAAAGCCTCCAAGCACGTATTTTTAAAAGGAAGAGGGCCCAAGCCCAATAAGAGAGTAACGGTCAGCGTAACTTAAGGACAGTTCCTAAATGGTTATAGCAAGGAGCAGGATATAAGGAGCAAGCGAGAGGGTTTGGAGGTTCTGGATTAGGAGTTGTATGCGATTCTGCAATCTGACCCTGGTTCTTCTGTGGTTTCTATCTCTTTCATCAAATAAGATAAGTTCGTCATTCTTGATTTTGGATCTTATCAGAAATGTGCACGCAGAGTGGTGATGATTAGGCCACTCTTTCAAGGTCGGAAAATACGTATTTTTCTATATATTGAGTTCTCAGAGAAGATGATAATATACAGTGTACGGAAGGAATCATTTACCTGCTTGTTGAGAAGTGAGAGAATCAATAGAAGCTTGTCGGTGATGTGATTTGGTGGCATGCGGGAGGATAGATCTGTTCCAACGACTGAAATAGGGACAGATGCGAATGCCTCTGTCACTCATCTGACCAGTGTATGTGATTCGTAAATGTGCAGAAATAGTAAGGATTTTGGCTAATACGCTCAAGCTCAAGCATTTCCTAGAAATGGGCAGCAATTCTACCCGATGATGCTGTAACTATCAGCAGGGTATATCTCTAGAATCCTAAAAGCGTTAAAATTCTCAGAATTATCATGGCCGGCGCATCCACAGTTTGAAAGAAGTAAAGAAAAGATGACCTACCTCTATCATGGAGAGGCATTACTGCTGTGTTCTGTGGAACATTGTTGTCATCCCTTGGTACTGGACAGCCCTCTGAGAGAGGAGGAAGATGAAAGGTGGTTACGAAAGAGAGTTCAGTAACACGAAGATGGTGAGATCAGATATATTCAATAAAATGTGAAAGATTTTACGCTGCCCCATCACACATGTCATAAATTTGAGTGCAATAACTACCACACTTCTTCTCTGACAAGCTTTAATGCTCTGCATTTAGAGGACAGTTCGGTTATTCACCATGAAGGGTCCAGGGAGGGGAGGATTGGAGAGTACTAGATCTACGACGACGCCTTGGCAGCCCCTGCGATTGTACTACTGGCTGATGCAATTTTCCCACCCGAAGATGTACAGCATCGGGTGCTTCTGCGTCACCGTCACGAGATGCGGGATACGGCGAGCACATCGTCGGCAGGATGTGATTGACCTTGGCGGCCGAGGTGGCGCCTCCCCGTGCCTCGCGTCAGTCGTTGAGTGCCGTACACGTGAATCCACAGACTCCAGCTTAGATTAATCCGGAACCTGCGAAGGATTTTGGAAAACAAATCACCGTCCGACATCTATGAGATGTAATCAGATGAGACTGTTCTCTTTTGTTTAGGCGGACTTACAGATGGATGGATAGTGGGCTGTCGCGTTGCGCGCTCACATGGTGCTCGAGAAAGTGCCAAAGCGAGACCCGTCCTCTCCACCACGTCGCCATTGTTTAGGTCCAGAGCCAGAGCGATCCTCCCTCTCAGAGGGCCTCCTATTCCGTCCTCGTTGTTCCAGTGGAGGACGCGTCGGTGGCCTTCCTCCACCCCTCCATCTCTCGCTTTTCCTCTTTCCCCTGCCGCAGGGTGGGGGGAGGGACGGCGGCATCGGGCGGCGGGGAGCACGCGCAGCCGCCGGCGTGGGAGGGCGAGGCCCCCTCCCACGAGTCGCGGGATCCTGACCTGCAACTGAGGGACAAGGACGGGACCTGTACAGGAAATCGGGGACAGAGGACCGATAAAGGCCGACCGCAAGCAGTGGCTTTGTGGACCGCGGCAGCGCCGCCGTCTCGGGGGGTCGCCGATCGGCGCTCCGCCGGGGAATCCGCACGCCCGCCATTGACGACGGAGCAAGCAAGCAAGCCAGCATGGAAAGGAAGGTCCCCTCATCGTCTCTCGCGCCGGCCGAGTTTGAGAGCGCCACGTGCGCCTCGATAATCGCGCGAAAAATAAAATACCTAATATTCTAAACTAAACATATAATAATTATTAATCACATTGGGAACAGCCCGTCTTCGAATCGGGTGTCATACCTGGTCGACCCGGTCCAACTCGCCCCGCTTCCTCCACCCCCCCCTTCTTCTCTCTCTCTCTCTCTCTCTCTCTCTCTCTCTACGGCATGGCCCACTCCTTAAAGAACAGTCACAAGAACACCTCTCTCTCTTCTCTCTCTCTCTAAAATATAATACTGCCGGCGGAGGGGAGGACGGAGGGCATGATCTCGACGGTTCCATTTAGAGCAGACAGAGGTGGAAAGGAGGGGGGAGACAAAGATCGGAGGGTGTGGGCCGCTCCCTCTGCGGGATCGGACAGATAGAGATGGTTAGTACGAGGGTTAGTTACTAATGCCAGGGTTAAGTGTAAAGCCATGTTATTAGCACGTGGGGAGACGGTTCTACTGGTGTTGACGGAGGATTAACAGGTGGCCTTGTGCGCCGGGGTTTCGATAAATGTGGGGAATATACGACGCAAAGGGGGAGAAGACCCCATCCCCACACCTACTCCGCAACCAGTTAGTTCGCAGCAGCGGCGGCGGCGGCGGCGGCGACCTCCCCTCTCTCTCTCGCTCTCCCCTTCTTCGCCTTCACTGTGCTTAAAGTGCAGGGAGAGAACTCTACGGCAGCGTGGCTCGGCGGAGGAATGAGCGCGCTTCTCCGGCATTCGGCGGAGGAGTACTGGTCCTCGGCCTGCGGGGGGGAGCAGGGAGGGAGTGTCGTCTGAGCGAGGTGCGGCGGACGGAGGGGAGGTAGATCCTGCGGCCGTGGAATCTCTCGTGGAGGGGGAGGAAGAACTGAGTGGAGGAGGAGAGTGGAGCTCGGTATTTCCGCTTCTGTCTTTCTGTGTCGGTCTTAAATGCGGCTGGGGGAGCCGCGAATGATCGATCGATCCCCTTGTCTCTCTCCTGCGTTGCTCGCGCTGGTTCCGTCCTCGGTCTCCCAGGGCTCGGAAATCCTCAGATCTGAAAGCGCGCGCGGAGAGACGGCGTGAGTAGACAATCGCATCGCGTCAGTCTTGCGGTAATTATTCCTGAATTCTCGTCGCCATCCCGCCCAGTTCTTCACAGATTCGCCGACGTTCAAAGTAGAGCTAGGGTTTCAGTATCCCTTTTGCGCTCCTCCTTTTTCTCTTTCCTCTTCTGCACTGGTAGACGGACCTTCGGGACTGGCAGAGAGAGAGAGGTGTGGAGGAACGGATGCCTTTAGACTTCATGCTCTTCTGATGCCTCTTCCTGTTTGCGGCGTGGCCTGTGCAGGAGGCGGCGACCGTGATAGCGGTAGCAGGTAGGTACTACCTGCCATGTCTATACAAGCTGGCCGCGAACAGAGCTCGAGGTGAAGGCAACGAGCCGGCCCTCCTCCGTCTGTTCTTCTAGCCGGCCGCTTGGCCTGGGAGAAGTGGGAACCTAGCTGGTGGTGGCTAGTCCGATCACCGCGGCGGCAGAGGCAGCAGCAGCAGCAGAAGAGGAGGGTGATGAACGGGACGAGGGGGGGTCCGGAGGCAATCTTGCTCCCATTTCCTGACCTGTGGCCGTCTTTTTGATTCTCTCACCGCTGTACCAACGGCAGGAGCTCTGATCTGTGCAGAAAGAGAGAGAAAAGACAGAGGGAGCGAGAAGATTAAAAAAAAAGAAAGCGAAAGCGGCATCTCCAGAGGCCCCGCACCGGCGGCTGACATCTACACGCCCCCTTCCGCCGTATTTCCCCTCATCTTTTTACCTCTCCTCCCCTCCCTTCTCTTCCTTTGAGATTTTCTGATCATTTTGGGCAATAAAAAGCCGCTCCTCCCATCCCCGGTAATCTCTCCATCAATACGAAAGGACGCCAGCGGCAGCAGCAGCGGCAGCAGGTTCAGACCCTATTCATCAGCTCCACCATCGCAGTGCCGCAGCCCACTAGAACTGTAATCTCCAGAACCCACCCATATATCAGTCCAGCCAAGAAGAGGGTGGGAGAGGAGACGGGCAGCAAGCAACAGCCGCGCTGGAGAGGTATGAGAGCGGCGCCATGGAGATGGACGACATCCACTCGTCGAAGCGCGCCCGAGTGGGCAACGGCAGCGTCGGCGGCAGAGATCACTCCAACGCGGCGGTCGCTAGCGCCTCCAAAGTAGCTCAGGAGCAGCGCAAGGACGAAGATGAAGAAGACGGAGACGGTAAATCCATCCTCAGCCCTTCCGCCGCCGCCGCGGTCCGGGGGCTCCGGCCGTGGCACCAGCATTCCGCCGCCTCCAGGATATACCGCGTCGCCCGCTCCTCAGGGGGAAAGGACCGCCACAGCAAGGTAATGACGGCCAAGGGCCTTCGCGACCGGCGCGTCCGGCTTTCCGTCTCCACCGCCATCCAGTTCTATGATCTCCAGGACCGTCTCGGCTACGACCAGCCCAGCAAAGCCATCGAGTGGCTCATCAAGGCCGCCGCTGCGGCCATCTCCGAGCTGCCTGCCCTCGACGGCGTGTTCTCCGATCAGCCGCTATCTGGGCACCGGCAGCTGGAACCAGAGGACGAAGAGAAGCCCGCACGGGCGATCGGGGACGACGACGATGCGGACGTCTCCCAGATCCAGTACGTCAGTCACCAGCTCCGGCGACACCAACCAGAGGAACAGCAGCAGCATTTCTCGTTGACCAAATCCACCTGCAGCAGCACATCGGAAACCAGCAAAGGCTCCGTGCTCTCCCTCTCGCGGTCTGAGATCCGCGTCAAGGCCCGAGAGAGGGCGAGGGGGCGAACCGCCACGGCCCTTGAGAAGGACAAGGACACAGAAGACGATGCTCACATGACCTCGGCAGGGCATCACCATGGCCTGAATCCCAGTCCTACCCCCCAGAGCTCCTTCACGGAACTGCTCACCGGCAGCGGCGGCGGCGGCCACCAGAACCAGGCACATTACCATGGCCCCGTCACTGTGGCTCATGCGAACCCCGCATCGAATTTCTTCCAGAAGCAGCTCCGCCACCAGCCGTCCGCTGCAACAACCACCGACTACTTCGGGCAGGTAGGCCTTCTCGGAACGGGCTCAAGACCACTCCAGCCGATGGTGTTTTCTACCCAAACCAGCTTTGGAAACAGCCCTCACATGGGCATGACGCCTCTCAACGTCGCAGCAGCGGCAGCCGCTGCGTCGGCCACGGGCGACCACCCGGAAATGCAGCAGCATTTCATGCAGGAACACTTCGTCCCCTACGCTGTCACGGCAGCAGGGGGAGACTTCATCAACTTCTCCATCTCCTCCGGCATATCTGCTCTCAATAGGGGGACCCTTCAGTCCAATTCGCCATCTCCGGTGCTTCATCAACACCTGCAGAGGTTCTCTTCTCCGGTAGATGGATCAAACCTGCCCATATTCTTGGGCGCCGCTGCCCAGTCCTCGTCGGCCTCTGGAGAGGGCCAACTGCCGTCCGGCTTCGACAGCCGCTTGCAGCTGTGTTACGACGGGTACAGAAACTCCGACCTGAAGGGCAAGGGGAAGAGCTGAAGCCATGGAAGAGCCCAAAAATAAGCTACGGAAGTCGAAAAGTGAAGAGAGAGAAAAGAACCTTCCGCTGCTCCTGCTAGTCATCTCTCTCACCCTTTCCTGGTAAGCGTCCAATCCTCTCTCTCTCTCTAGATGACTTCCCCCGTCTTCTCACAGATGCTGCTCTGACTTTTCCGTCAGATTGGTTGCAATAACTGAGAATCCCATGATTTAACAGTGCTTGTCCATTCACTAGTGGAGGGTTCTCTCTTTGCCGCTCCTACAGTCCCCTCCCCACCTCATTGTACCCAATCCAATGTGTATCCAATAATGTTGTTCTTCACCCATCTTCCTCCCTCGTCCCCAGCTCCTCCTCTGGTTCCTGTTTGGCAGCGCCTACCGAATCTCGCCGGATTCAGCGCGACCAGCCGGTGCGCATGCCGACGGGGGTGCTCATCTTCCGTCGCTTTACCCAGTGCGTTCCCCTCCCGGCTCCCTGCTCTGCCGAGATGTCAAGCTCTCCTCACTGCACTACAGCCTTCGCAGCAGTGAAATTTTATCAGTTGAAGGCACAGCATGGATCTTCGAGTAGGGAAACTCTGGGTGGACCAAGGTATTTTATTTTATTCAAAAAAAAAAAACGCTAGATATTCTGTTCAATCCTGGGAAGTATCTGAAAAGTCAATGCCACGGTTTTTTATGTTTGGTTCACGATTATCTGAAAAGATCTTGGATTTTTATTTTTATTTTTCTGTCACCCTGTTTCATCGCCTTGAAGCTTCTTCTTTTTTCTCTCTTGAGAGAAATAAACACCTTCGAATGGGTTTTCTTGATAATTTCTCAGTTTGACTGATTTCATCGCTCTTTTGGATCCTCATCCCCCCTCTCCCTCCGTTGACTAGAAACGGCGACGTGGTGAAAAACGCTTAGAACAGTAGACAGCTTTCGGCCTTTTTCCCTTCCTCTGGTCAATGCATGGCGACAGCCGAGACGTCTTTCCTGGCATTCATCCTGGCCATCGCTGCATATTATGACCTATTGAATGCTGTCGGCAGCTGGGCTTATTATTCCACTCCATGAGAAAGAAAAAATAATAATAATAGCTTTCTTCTCCCTCATTTCCTCCCGGTCTTGCGCTGACCCGGTATGGTCAACCCTCTTTGCAGTCTGTTTTGGAGTTCACCCTATCCGTTGACTTCTCACCCTCCCTGCCTCTCTTCGTATGCCGATGAGTTAGTAAGCAGGGAGGTGTTTGATCATACGCTCAGAACAGTCCCCATTTCGTCGGTGAAATTTTATACGACCTGAGATGCTCGTATAGGCGCCCGTGTCAGTCAACGCGCGGCTTAGTCGCTCACTCTCCCAGATCATCCATTTGCTACAGCAGGAATCATGAGGTTCCATCCTGTGAGGGAGGAACCGTCAGAACGGAAGGTCAAAGCCATTGGGGAGGGAGATGCTTCGACTGCCCCGTTGACCGTTCTGCGTGGGGCAGGGAGGCATCCTTCACCTTCCCTCCCTTTCCTTCTCTACTCATGGAGTTCCCTGCTTGGTATTATCCTCGAGCTGGTGGAGAATTCGATGCACTTTAACTTCATTACTTTATTCATGTTCGCTTGGGCACGACGCCATCGTCAACGAAAGAGAAGAGAAAGAGAGAGAGAGAGGTAGAGAAGGGGAGAGGGAGGGATTGGGGGGTATGTACACAAGCGAGAGAGGGTGGAAGCTGCCTTCCTCTTGGGTCAGAAGGAGTTCATCTCCAGACGGTACAACTTCCTACGGAGGAGCTGTTGGGCTGCCGTGGCGTACGGCTCCTCGAAGGCGGAGGAGACCCAGCCTGTGTCCTCTCCCGCGCCGGAGGTGGAGGCCGGGGAGTCGTCGTCGCAGGGGCGGATGGCCACGAGGGTGGCACCCTTGAGGACCGTGCCTCCGGGGAGCTCCAGGTGGGGGGCGAACCAGAGCATCAGCTGCAGCGACGGCACGAGGGTGCGCTGCGATGAGCCCGCCGCCGTGATGGGCTGCTCCCGCAGCTCCTCCAGCTGCCGGAGATCCATCCGCAGCAGGCCCTGCCCGTCGGCGTCTGCCAGATCCAGGCTCTCCAACGTCTCGTGCTCGGTAATGACGGGGTACAGCAGGTAGTGCCGCGCGGAGGCCGCGATGAGGGAGCTGATCGTCCAGACCACTCCGAGCTTGAGGCTTCCGTTCGCGAACAACGACTCCGGGATTCTCTCTCCGCCGTTCGTCTCCCGGCGGAGGAGGCCCTCCTCACCCTCTTCGCCGGCGGGGCTTACGGCGTCGCTGCCCTTGTCGGCTGCGGGGGGGGACGGGGGCGTCGCCTCCGGCGAGAGCACGGAGGAGGCGCCGAGGACGACGCAGTTGTTCAGGGTGGAACCGAACTGGGCCTTCCACTTGAGCAGCACCCCGTCGTTGACGCTCAGCTCCCCGGCCGGGAGCTCGATCCTGAGTCGCCGGATCTCCTTGAAGTTGCGCAGCACCTCGGCCGGCGAGTGCCGCGACGTGTCCGTGGAAGCGGCCTCCGACGCTGACGATGAGACGGCGGCTGCTTTGCGCGGAGATCCCCCGGCACCTCCGCCCGAGAAGACCTGGCTTATGGCCTGAAGCGGCCGCGCTACGCCGCCGAGGACGAGTCGCAGAAGATCGGAGAAGAGCCCGCGGGGCTTGCCGGCGCAGGGAGTGGAGGAAGAGAAAGCGTTGGAAGGAGGATAATCGTCGGGAGAACTCCGGTCGTCGTCGCCGGAGACGACGCAGTCGACGCGGACGAGGACGTCGTCAACCTGGCGGGCCAGGGTGAGGAAGCGGCGGGAGACGACGCAGCAGCGGCCGAGCGCCTTGACATCGGCGATCTTGCCGAAGACCAGCAGCAGCACCGAGTCCGGCAGCCGGTCGAAACAGTCCTCCGCCCCTTCCTCTCCCCTCTCCACCATCTGCGACGAGAGCACCGCAAGCGGCCCCGCCGGATCCGACGCCGGCGGCGTCATCGACGGTGCAATCGGCGGAATCTCCGGCGGCGGTGGAGTCCACTCGAAACGCTCAATCGCCGCTCCTCCCGGCGGTCGACAGATGGAATCTTGGAGAAGCGCCGAACGCCGCCTTAGAGGCGACCCATCGGAGATGAGGAGGGACGCGACCTTTCCGTTACTCCCAGGGGACGGCTTTTACCAGCGACGAAGGGAGGAGGAAGGAAGCAGCAGCGTCGGCGGAGGAGGAGGGCCGTCGAGGGAGGAGAAAAGAGGAGGAAGCAGGAGGAGGGCCGTCGGGGGAGGAGAAAAGAGGAGGAAGCAGGAGGAGGGCCGTCGGGGGAGGAGGAAGGAAAGGTGTGAGACAGGAATAAAATAGCCGCCCGGGGCTCCGGCGGGATCAGCCATCGGGAAACGTTGACCGTGCGAGTGGGGCCCATTGGGGAAGGCGGCGGATGACAGAAAAGCCCTCCTCGGCTGGAGCACGGCACCAATGATACCGCCGTCGCGAGGAATCCGTTTGCGACGGCGATGCGACTCGCACGTGGAAATGCGGGGCCGCGAGTCGGCCGCCACGAGCCCTTGTCGCGGGGGAGGGAAAGGGCGGCCCACCTGTCGCCTTCTCACGGCCGGGGGCTTGCGCCACGGGGGACAGCGCCGCCGGGACCATCAGAGCTTGTCGGTTCCTTCCCCCCCTTCAAATTCGATTTAAACCCCCAATATCGTGTTTCATTACTATTTTACCCCACGAGTATTTATAATTTCGGAATGCGGACTGGGAATTGGAGTTCGCCCCCCTCCCTTCGGGTTGGAGGAGAAGGATTGACCTTGCTTGTGGGGGCCCCGGGATACTCTTCGGCTCCGTCGGGAGGACGACGATGGAGTAGAGACGGTCGTTTCTTCTTCCTCTTCTTCTTCTTCTTCTTCTTCTTCTTCTTCTTCTTCTTCTTCTTCTTCATCCCTGAGAGTCAGCGTCGTGCTTCTCCTTAAGGAGCAGACGAAGACGAGGACGACGAAGTGGAAGGGGTCGGGGAGGACACTGGAAACGGCGTCCTTCCGGCGGCACCTCTCCATCCATTCGGAAGTGAGAGCTTAGAGCCGAGGGCGATGTCCACGTACCCAGGTGCTCCCGCTTCGCCTTCTCCTGCACCTCCCCCTCTTCGTCTTGCGCGGCCGGCCCCCGATGTTGTTGGTATATCTGTTCACTAAAGGCATGCCACTCTCTCTCTCTCTCTCTCTCTCTCTCTCTCTCTCTCTTTCTCTCTACACGATTCTCTATCAGTCCCCAAGCTCTAGGGCAGCCCAGGCCCAAGAAGGGCTTGAGGAGCACGTCGGAGGAGCTGGCAGAGGAGGGAGAAAGGAGGAGCAATAGAGCGAGAAAGGCACCTTCTTGTCCACGAAGTTGGCCCAGAAGACCTCGTCGATGTCCTGGATAATGATCAGCGACTCGCAGAGGATCAGAACGCCATGGATGATCGCGGGGATCTTCTTGTGGATGGGATGGGTTCTACGGGAGGATAGAGGGGACTCTTCTCTCCCAGATCGTCCTCCCGGTGCTCGTCCTTCACCATCATCTCCCCCAGTGCGATCCTCACGCGGACTCCGAACACGCTCGGCCAGCAGTCCCTCACCCTCTCTGCCTCCATCTCTCCAACGCCTCTCCCTCCTGCTGCGGCGACGGCCTCGGGTTTTATAGGACGGAGGGCCCTCCAACGTGCGATACAGAGTGTAGGGCACTTCTTGACGGCATCTCATTCTGCCAGAGTGGGTCACACGGGAGGACGGAAGGCTCCACCAACGTGCGAGACAGAATGAATGGCACTTCTCGCGGATGATCTCATTCGGCCTCAGTGGTAATGACTCGTGTACTTTCTCGCGGACTTGACCGCTATTGACTCTCTCTCTCTCTCTCTCTCTCTCTCTCTCTCTCTCTCTCTCTCTCTCTCTCTCTCTGAAGAATTCTTTGAGAACGTGTGGCCTCAAGGATCAACATTACACAAAGGGAGGAGAGAGAAGGCTATGATGAGCAAGGCTCAAGTCGTCTTAGGAGCAAAAGTGACCACTTGAAGTACTTCACTTGTCTTGGTTCTGTAACTGCATTCACATGGTGGATTTGCATGTCTCTTTAACAAGTGCCTCCAAGGGCTAAACGTCAATCGTTCTCCCATTTTTGTAACTTCAACTATATTATCGCAAATGTTAAACAATTTTGTTATAATCCTTATTTTTTTTAATAATGTATTATGAAGAAGAAAACAACAGATAATGTTCTAGCCATTTAAGAGATCAGATATGTCATAGCTGCTCTCCTAAATTGTAGATAATAGAAACTTCAATTTTGGACAAGAAGAGTGAAATGATAGTTTATACTCCTAATGATTACATAATTTAGAATAGAAATTAAGGTATTGTTTTAAATCACAAATCTGAATCATTTATCTATATTATAATTTATTATGTAATTATCTTTTCTTGCATTATGAATTTTTTTTGTACTCATTTGAAACAATTATGGATCATCAACCAGATCCAGATAGGGGAACTATTTAATCTTCCTCCCTCAGCCCTATCTAACAATCAAATAAGACGTCATCATAGCATCACAAATTTTATAATCATACAAGCGTATAGTTAATGCAAATGTTTTTGCTTTTGATAGTCTTAGTTATCGTTCTCATTATAACTGTGGTTTTACTTTAGAACAATAGGGTAATGGTTGCTCATGAATAGATACATTGATTCTTGCTTTCCTTACTACTAATTGTATTTTTCATATTTCAGTACCTTTGATTGACAGCCTCAGAGAAATCATGAACAATGAGAGCTAACTATGTGAGAAAACCGACTATGGTGCAGGATCCTAAAAGGAGTGGAAATTATTTTAAATGAGGCAGATAATAACACATTTCTTTAACTAATGTCTCCCTCAATGAACGACTTCTTTTCTCAAATTGTTCCTTACCTCTCTTTTTATTGAACTCGTCCTCATTGTTAATCATTTTCTTGTTTATTTGAATGATTTGTACCAATGTCTATGCAATATGCTTATGCCTTACACATATTGGTGCCAATAATTTTGTATTGTTAACTTTCATAAGATTTATGTGAATGGATGTTAACTTATCAAGAATAAACCACATTCATGTTGTACTTGTTTAAGTTCAATAATTAATTTTTTTATATATACAAGACATGATCAATTTTAAGCTGTGTATAGACTCAATTTTTTATATAATATATATTTTATTATTATTTGAAAACCATTATCTATTTAAATTATTTTAAATTATTAAAGTTTCAAAATATTTTGAAATCTATCAAAAAAAGTGACCAATTGTGTAAGTTTGATGCCAACAAATGGCATATGGAAAATTGTCTTGTCATCAATGTGTATCTTTAGTGTGTAATGATGATGAATTATTTTAAAAAGGTATCTTTAGTAAAATACAAATGTAAGTTTTAAGGACCATTAAAATAAAAGAATTTTCACAGTTGAACTGAAGTAAACATGGTGTCATTAATAAAGTGAGGCATGAGGAAACACATGGAAAATAGTCATCACAATAAGTGATGAGAAAAGATTTGAGATAAATGGTGACATATGAAATTTAATAGATATGTCATGATTCTTCAACTCACGATTTTGACTCTCTTCACACACTAATTGAAAAAACATAATTCATATATAATATACAATGGTATGTTATTCTATAGATTTGTGATATTGTGTTATGGTCTAAATAAGAGTTGAAAGCAAAACATTAACCTAAAAGTATGGATAACTAGGCATTATTTCAATATAATACTTCTTCAAATTCATAAGTTACATGCTATTTGATCATCATTTTTTTGTCTTCAAGGTTAAGCAGAATATTTTTATAAAACACTATTATTTAAGTTTATATTTAAATTATAATTTATTTGAACTGTTGTTAGATGCAATGGACTTTTAAGAAACAGGTAATAACCATGTTCAACTTCCAATGTTGTCAATTTCATGACAAAAAATGTTTGATTATTTTCTAGGAAGAGTTTTTTTATTTTTCTCCTAATTAAATACACCATCATCTTATTCATTATTGTGCTTTGTCTCGAGCTCAATCTCTATTTCTATTCCACTTCTTCATCTCTTTGATTTTCTTATTTTTAGCATTAGAATACATTTTCATAAACTAACTTCATTAAGTTTCTCATAACTTTGTTGACCACTACTTGTTACCACATTTTATTTTTTCTCCAAAAACACAAACATTTCTCAACTAGCCACTTTAACTTCTCCCTCATTAGTAGCTTCAACTCTTTCAAGTTCAACCTTCATGGTTTTTCATGAATGATATGAAATGTGTTCGCCCTATTTTTTCATTATTTGATGTTTCCTTTTCTTAATTCTATTTTTTATTTTTATGATAATAAATGCTACACATTCCAATGTTTTCTCATTCATGTGGTAATGTATGACAATAAACTCAGTTTTATTTGCTTTGAACTAGAGATTCAATAAGAAGCTGATAAAGACAAAGGAAAATAGGTACCTATGTCAATATCATATAGCTCTAGTAACCTTTTTAATTCCCAATTTCTAGTAATGTAGTTATACAAAATGACTTTAACTTATCTTATTGAAAGCTAACTCCTTAAAGACCTTATCTCTAGTCTACACACTTTGCATCCCTAGTAAAGAATGATGAATGTAAATCACGGTGGTTGGTTAGAAATTGAAATCTCTTTAACAGTCACACAAATATCTAAATTCAGATTCAAAAAACTTTGTATATATCAACTTTAATATCTCCTAGTAAAAGAAATAACCAACATCTTGTACATTTAGTCTTCTCTTAATAGTCATGTAGGTTACTAATTACAACATGTCATTCAACAATAGTGAAATTAAGTTTAATTGCATGCTTCAATGACATTAAATATCAACTTTAATATGTTGTATAATAAAGCTAAGACATACATCATTC